GTAATTCATTCATATATTTGATGTTAGCAAATGTTTTAACCACAACAAACAGCTATGTAACAAGCGGTAACTCAACAGGGTATGTTCTTAATTAGTTAACGAGATACATGTAATTAATATTTATCTATCTTCCATTAGAAGCTCGGAGGCAGCGGAGCGATTAGCGCTGGGGCTCTGGAGCTCGTCTTGCTTTCTTGCTTGTTGAGATCACTATCGTTTTTGGCACCACACTGTTTAATTTATCTACGCTAAGATAACTCTTTGAAAATATATCAGATTGCTCGCCATGTTTTAGTATTGTTTTCCTTTTGTAACAGAGAATTTAACGTTATAGAAATTGTAATTAGTCTGGTATACTAGAATTTGGTGTGGATATTCTTCTTTTAGAATTTACTATTTTGTACCATTGTACCATTATATGTAGAATAGTTATATTGTGTACAAATTGTTTCTTTTTAAAGCTTCGTTTACAAAAAATTTGTAAAAATGAGTTCAATAATTTTTCAGAATTCAGTTACAAAGACAAACTGAATTTTGATAAGAACAAAAACATGATTTAAAAATTGAAACGTTGTATATTTATCCCACTCTTCTGGATTCCTTTGATTGCAAACGGAAGACATAACGCGATCATTCTTTTCTTCGCTCGCAGGATGAATGATCTTTCTTCTAAGATTATCCCTAAACATCAACATGGGATCTCTGAAAATATTTATCTATAAGAACAAGGAGGACATTGCATCTGCAATTCACCTTGTGTTGCAGATGTCAAACGACCTAAACCATTTGTTACATAATACATAGTATATTTACTCGTTCACCAACTGACTAATCAATCAAATAAGTTTCAGAACAGAGAACCTATATACACTTACATTATTGTTTGCAAGTTATTGAACATATCTCTAGATTTGACAATTATTTTTATATACAAAATTCTCGTGTCGCGGTATTAGACAAAGAACTCCTCCGAAACGGCTGAACCGATTTTGAGCATATTTAGTAGGTCTGAGAATCGGCTACTATCTATTTTTCAAACCCCTAAGTCATATGTATTGTTCACCCTTAATTTTTTTATCGAACGATTTTTTTTGTTTTTATCGCCAACCCCTATTTTTTATATGACAAAACAACGTTTGCTGGTTCAGCTAGTTTTTATATATAATAAATATTTAATATAACAGTTTAAATTCAATTTCGCTACAGAAGCTTTACAATACCATAATCTGTAATTTTCGTATTTTCTTACAATAACCCTGAAGAAAGAATCAGTATTCGATTCTTATTTATATAAAGATATAGAGTAAGTACTTGTATTATTTTTAAATATCATTAATTAAACATGTTAAATAAATAAGTTATTTCGTATGTGTCGTTTAGTTAGGTGGTAAAGCCTAGCTGTGGTCATGTTACTGCAGCTCGAACATGGGCGCGCTCGACCGGGGAAGTACAAGCCTCTCACAGAAGATCGGCGTGAAGTAGCCTTATTCGGCTGCGTTTCGTCCGATGAGTGAGAGAGCCGGTTGCCATTTACCTTTTCCTCCACCCTTTCCTAAACCTTCCCTTTTTTCTCCCTTTCCTACACTATTTTCCCCCTCTTCCCTTATCAGGGCGGGTACCAAATCCGCAAAATACGTTTCGGATGTCCACGGGCGTCGGTACTATGTACCTACATCAGGTAGGCCTTCTGCTCGGTTGCCCCTTTTCACATAAAAAATATATATATAAGTTTCACAAAGTTTTACAAAGGCATTAATTATAAAAAGATTTTTCTCTTTTGACTGCTATTACTATAACGTAAAGAAATTCACTTCAATTACTAAGGTTTTTTCTCTGCCAATCTTTTATTCGGAAACTTAAATAATAGATTTATATTTTTCAATGTATACTGTATCTATTCATTTTAATTTAAACCACAATATGTACGTACATACTTAAATGAAGTAATGTAATATTAATAGAGCTTTTTTTTCATTTACAAGTACCCTCATACGAACTTAGTAAACAAATATTTTATTGCTACAATACTCAATTGGAATGCGATAGTGGTTTTTTGTATAAAATTACATAAGAAAAACTTTACTGGTTCTGATTTCAGTAGGAGGGTGTATGTGATTGGTAATGGGCTGTCTCTAAGAGTCTACTGGGAGGTAAAACAAGGACGCACCCCTTGGCTATAAACAAAACAAGAATAAAAATACACTTCAAACCATTTATGTTTTGTTCCTGACTTCATTGTGAGTGAAACAATGGTTACAAAAAACTTTTTTGTGAAGTCAATCTTAGATGTAAGAATATCTTAATTTTATTTTGATAATTAAAAAAGTTTTTAAACGAAGTTTTCTTGCCTTTTTTTTGGTAATACATTATATATGAACTTTTTGAATACGAACATAATTTTAAAAAACCAAAGCAATCACAATATTTTGAGATATAAATATGATTGCTTACATAAAAAGTTTTTTTTTCTTATTATCACATAACTTTCAGATTTTTATGTGTTGGTATGCATTTTTTTATTCCTAACAATAAATTTAAAAAATATCTTCAATCTTGGTTAGTCTAATATTTAGTTACTTATAAACTTTAATCCTTATGAACTCATTTGATCTTTTTCTAAACGGAGATAAAGATATCATTTAAAACCAATAAAACAGTTATTAAATGTTATTACAAAAATCATATATCTATTAAAATAATTTAATACATGTTCGAGAGCGTAATGAAGTCTCCATAATGACGGAACAAGTTTGTTTCATAGTTAAAGGGTAATCAACACTATTTGCACTTCCGCTCGTATTAATATATCAAAACTAGATAAAGACTATAAATGACAGACTCATTAGTTTTATACCTTCCCGATATTAAGATCTGTTATTCATAACAACTATATCTGTACAATCACTTAACTTAATATGCAATTATAAAAAACATTTTATAGGAATTAAGTAAAATCGGAAGACATAAAATAGAGCATTCCATTTGTGGGCAGCGGAGTCATCACGATTTCACGGGCTCGGTAATGTCTTAGACGTAGCGAAACGGCAGATATCGTTCGTTAACCCGCCGCCATTGTTGTGTAGACAGTTTTATTCGGACTTAACCGCTTTTTAATAATATACACTTTGACATAACTGTGCTACCATTGTTGTTCACCGGTTCGAGAAAGCCACAGCTAAATAATAAGTTTGTGATTAAACGGAACGTCACAATTATTTACACTATTTACTTAACCGGATGGTGTTAAACACTTCACTTCACTATTCTTGTTGCGGGTATAGGTTTTAGGGAACTTATATATAGTTTAAATAAATGCAATAATATAAAAATATCTGGTTTTTAAACTTAAATTACATAAAAACTTTTTAGTTGGTTAACGTCCATTGATATAATATGTATTATATTGATTGACTCGTCTCGAAGCTAAAATAAGTAGATGTGTAGAGTCCTTGAGTTAAAAGTACATTGTTATAAGGAAACCCCATTTAATATATCTATATAGAGATCAAATTGAAGCAACAAAATGTTTCTTTCATTAATTTTCATTTTAATTAATGTGGCATGCCTGCGAACGCAAATGTGACGTCTGATTGCCGTTAAATTACTTTTATTCTGGGATAATGTAAAGTACAATAACAATTTATTTGTAAGATTATTATTGATTTCTCGAATAAGAATGTATTTTTATAATTTTTGATGTTTCATATTAACTTAAACACTGAACAAACATTACTTTCAGTAAATGTGCAAATATAAGATTTAAATTAAATGTCAATGCGTGTTTAATCATGTAGCAATTTTATGAAATAAAAAGTGGAAATATTTTAATAATAATGCCCCTTCCATTATTGTAAAACAAATGTTTATAGTTGTTTTTAAATTAACGTCATTTTGGCATTTGGGGACTGTGAATTTCTTTTCCATTATAGAGTCCTCTTTCTATGAAACATCTAGTTCCAAAGATAATGAATGCTCAAGCTCAGTATTCTTAGTAGATGTTTGTGTCGTCACACTACATATGCATCGTTAACAGTTTTTCATTTACAAATTTTCGCATATTATTATCAATATATTTCATAGGATGTGAAACCGAAGTTCCTCGTTAATAATGTAACGATGAAATCTAGGAAAATTCAATTTGGAATAACCACCCATATTAAATATATTACTTTAAAATTAAAAACTTGAAAAAGTACTTGAAATAAAATTTATCACTTGTATTAATATTTGGTATATTATGTTTGTCAAAAATATAAAAAAAAACAACTAAAAAAAAGAATATTCTTCACGACAGAAACCACGCGACAGATTATGTATAGGTTTTTATCTCACATCTTAATAAGCATTATGTATAAATAAAACACAACTATCGATATCTGTACATACAAATAAAAATTTTAATAAAAAAAGTACATATACTAATTCTTTTCGTTAACTTCAATGTACTTATAGATTTATTTAGTTTAAAACGATATTAAGATGTCACTTTTTTGTACAAACCTGTACCTTTCCCGCTTCTGAAAAAACTTGAATCAAATTTCATCCACTTAAGTAATAATCAGAGATGTGACTTATCTTAAATAAAAGTATCTGAAATACAGATACAAGATACAAAATACGTATTTACATCTTGTATTTGAAATACTATTTATATTTATTATTTTGTATCTTATATTTAGATGCATGTTCCTGGCATCTTAGTATTTTCAAGATATTTTGATCCCCAAGATACTTTTACTAAAATTTTCCGAACATAACTAAACGCAGCGAATCGTTTATACATTTTGTCGATATTGTCGGAAAACAAATGACAGATGGCGACACTATCTTTCTAGAAATGTCACAAAATTCAAAATGAAATTCACTTTTTAAGTGAACGTGTGGACTGTTCGAAGTCAATAGCAGAAGCTATTCAGAGCCTGCAAGGGGAAAAAGACACTTATTATGGCTGTCTGTTACCGGAATTATACAGAATCCAACATGCTATCAAAAGCCTCAGAATGGAAAATTTAAAATACTGCAGCCCTCTGCTAGATGTAATAGATGAAAACTTAGATAGACGGTTTAAACAGTTTTTGCAGTTGGAACCAGCAGCAAATGATGCCATACTAGCCTCAGTCAGTGTCCCATCCATTGTTTAAACTGAAATGGGTATCAAAAGCGCGAAGCAATATGTAAAAGAACTTTTCCTGTCTGAAACTAGAAAGATCAATCGATCTGAAAAAGAAAGATCAGAGGCTTTAAATAACATTGAAGATGATATAAAAAAGAAGTCAAAAGATGAATCCTATTATATGTTTCTAGAGGACTCTGATTCCTCTATTGCTAGTTGCGAAAACACAAGCAGCGCCAGTGATTTAGAGACACTCCATTACCTGAACAATAAAGATGCAAATATTAAGAGCTTAAATCCTACAATTGAAAAAAAAATATTCCTAAAATATAACACATTTTTGCCCAGCTCTGCTCTCTCTGTGGAGCGACTCTTTTCCTTTGGGGACATGATCAAGAGGCCTCACAGAAGGAAGATGAGCGACAATATGTTTGAGGAATTACTTTTACTAACATCTCAACTAAAATATAAAGTTAAAAAATATTTAAGTTTCAATTTTAGTACACCTTCCTATATTATAAAAAAATGTTTTCTCATGATGGTTCAATGAAATGTTTCTTTGTATCTGGTATCTGAAATACTTTTTTAAAAATTATCTTGCATCTTGTATTTCAGATACTTTATATAAGGTATCTTATACATACATCACTGGTAATAATGGACACAAATAAAATATGATTTTTATGTAAAATATGTTTTATTTAACATGATTAATATTTACATACATTTACACTGTACAAACTATTCTCAAGTATTACATTGGACCCACTAAGTGCTTCGATGTGTTTTGTTTGTACGTATTAAATGTAAGGTAACAATAAAATGCAAAACAACACTAGCAGCAGAGCAGTTCTATCACTTTACAACAAATACATATACATATTTTAAAAATGCCTATAAGGTTAAGTCTAAAACAAAGCAATTGATGTTATATATTGCAAATATAAGTGCAGCAGAACGATTTAAATACAAATCATAATTATGTTATACAATTTACAGAGCACTATTAGTTCATACTTACTCTATTCCATACTTACAAATCATATACATTCTACTTTAACAATTTCCTTTGTACAATCTGTAAAGACGAGTTCCGATTCAATATAGTATATAGAGGCTATATCTATTTAATTCCTGCATCTCCAATGCACACATCTTATCAGCTAATACTTCATTTTGTATAATGATAATCAACTGTTTCCATTGTAAACGTTCAAATCAGTATCCATTGTATTGTCTACTACTAATAAATAATCCAAAGTTTTCTCTCTTATATAACTTATATACAAACAACATGACTAACACACAGGCGGTACAGAAATTTTAGTAATAATCAACATAATAAAAATTAACAAAATAATATAATAACTCTACCATACTATCCGTTATTAGCATCCACTTCATAAATTATCTTACGATTTATACTTTTCATACATATTTACAACTCCTGCTATATCATTATCATATAATTATATGAAAATCAATGTGATATAATGCAATATGCAACCTCATAACGATTTAAATCATAATTAATAGCAGTTTTTATCGTGGAATGATAAAATGTCGACACATTGTAATGAAATTAACACTTTCTGTTCGGAAATGTACGAATTGAAATTTATTTTTCATGTATCCGAGTCCGCCTGTCAACCGCGAGCAAAATGGCAGTGATATTAACCGATTAAGTTTTAATTATTTTCATCAATACCCCTACCATGAGTCGCATCGATAGAATAAAAACATTTGATTTTGAGTAAAATTACTTTGATTATATGCGATAATTTACGAATAAACGTAAAGTTATCTGTATTTAATTCGACAACGCAACCCATGGTAAGGATACTGTTGTGTAACATTTTTAATAATGGACGGAGTTATTGTTCTAATATCTTTCTATAATCGATAATTTCCATCATGTGTCGTGTTAATCAAGCTCCAAACAGAGTTCACTCAGCACGTAGCACCAAATATTTTAGATATTGTACATAAGATCACTATGACATTACAACTAATCTATATTAATTCTGGGGTTTTCTGTTAATATATTTCACTTATAAGTTCACTCACTGCTATGAGTGTCATCACACAATCCTGTCCGATAAAGTATTATAAAAATGTTCACATTTCTGTCCCTCACAAATCACAATGGCCATGTATCTATTGTAATATGAGCCATCCCTAACTATCTATATGGTCAGGTTCTAGCTTAGCTCCCGAGCGTATCATGACCAGTTTTTCCTCAGAATCATTGCTCGGATGCATGGTCTCTATGGTCAACATCATTTTCTCATCACAGCTGTCATCTCCGGAGTCTGAATACATTGACTGTGTAGATGTCGCCACCTCCTGGTAATACATATATAATTAGTTAATAACTTTGGGTACTTTTCATTGTGTGTGACAAATGTAGCAATGATATATAAAATTTGGTCGCATTAGCTAACAAGTGATGTATCTAGGAATATATGGATACGATCATAGGAATATAAAGCAAACATGTCGTGTTAAACGTGATTATTTCAATATGGTCGTAGTAACAAGAACGAATAATTTAGTAGTGGGTCATTTCACTTGACATTTAATGCGTTGTTAATTTTTCATTGTGGAACACAAATATTTTTGAAGGTTTGTTAGTAAATGCTTTCTTTAAGATTTAACAAACAGAGTTTGATGTAACTGGGTCTCAGTATTGTAAATAAACACAGACCAGCAATTCCCACACATGACTATATCTACTTCAGTTAAATTGAAAAACTAGAATTTTTCGCTATGTACTTGAACTTGTGTTAAAAATACATTACCTACTTATATACTACGAGTATGTATAGTGTATACACAATATTATAATGTCATAATTTCTTTTAGAAAAATATTCCATTTAATTTTTGGTTATTATCATTTCTTTATGTCATGTGTGAATATTAATCTGTTCTATATAAAGAGATTCGTGACTACTAAGATTATTGTAAATAAAAGAATTATAAGAGAAATATAATTTCATAATAATAAAGTATCATTGTGTATATGATAAATGTTTCTGTATAGTTGTTTATTACCGTGATCCTGTTCTTGGTGTGTATCCGCACGTGTTTCGCGAGATGGTCGGATCTCATGAACCGCTTGCTACACTCGGGACACTCGAAGCGTTTCTCTCCCGTGTGTGTTCGTCGGTGACGCTGTAGCTCATCCGAACGTGTGAACCTGACATACGTACATACACATAAATTATTATTTCATATATATATATATATATTACATACTAGCTGCGCCCCGCGGTGTTATCCGCGGATTTTCGGGATTTCGGGGATGTAAAGTAGCCTATATGTTATTCCTGGACGTCAGCTTCCTGTATACAAAATTTTATCAAAATCGGTTCAGCCGTTTGAGCGTGAAGAAGTAACAAACATACACACACACTCACAAACTTTCGCAATTATAATATTAGTATGATTATTAGTGAATTGTTCAATTTGGTGTATTGAGATATAGCTCGTGTTTTATTATCTTAAAGTAAACAATATTATGAAAACAATAGGAGGTTTACTTATTTAAAAATATATATTTAACTTTCCTTATGAATTGTATTTGTAGCCTTATACTTCAAGTTGATTCTAGAAATTTCGAGAGTTTTATAAAGCAGGTGTCCTGAACCGTTTGTGATGAAATTTTGTTTTGTTTAGTCTAAAAGACGATACGACGGTAGGAGTGTGACGTAATCTTAGAATATTATGGCTTGAGACCCCAGATGTCGGCGCTAGATATATTTAATACATCACTATAACATCTGGTAAATATAAGAACTTAAACAGCTCAAAACTATCTGTTTTTAAAAATATCTTACATTCATATATAATATAGAAATATCAGTTAAATCATATGCACCTTTTCCCGCAAAACAGCCAGTTACAAAGGAAGGGTCTTTCCCCAGAATGCCATCGTAGATGTGCTCTTAGATGCGAGGTCTTCCCGTAAACCTTGTTACATCCCGGGATGTGGCAGACATGTTGTTTCTTACGATCCACCAGACGGCTGGGAACATAAGTACATACATATATTACAAGGACACATGATTAAAGAGCAGTACTTGACATCTTAGACTACCTTAATTAAATTGAGTAGTAAAAAGCATCTATTTTATCATTACATTAAATTCTGTCATCAAGGACATATAAAATTTGGTCGCATTGGCAAACAAGTGACGTATTGAGGGAAATATACTATCAAAATATAAAGAGGTGCATTGTGGTAAACATGTATTAAACGCTATAGTTTCAATTTGGTCTTCTTATAACAAGAACGAACAATTTGGACGTCAGTCATTTAACGTGACATTTAATAATGCGTTGTTAATTTGGCATCGTCGAACGTTAATATTTTAACAGACAATTATATTTTTGAAGGTTCGTTAGTAAATGCCTCTTTTAGATATAACAGAGTTTAGTGCAACTGGGCCTTAAGATCAGTGCCGGCGTTAGGCGATGGGGCGACGGCGAGGGCGCCAAATTTGGGAAGCGATTAGTGGAGGTAGGATACTTATAAATGAAAAAAAAAAATAGGAGCTACATAACTTTCTACGTTCACGTCGTCAGGTCTGGGTCAAGCTAAAGGAAAAATAGTAGATGGAATATAGAATTCTTAATACACGTTCATTGTTCATATTGGTTTAGCAAAAAATTAATACTAGATTTTGATTTCTTCAAGTGGTCAAAATATTCTTGCCCAGGGTGTCAGTCCCTCTAACGCCGGTACTGCTTAAGATTATATTTAAATTTTACGTAGGCCATAGACTCACTTTTCTCCCTGATCACAGTTGGGACAGGTGCAGGCGACTCGTTTCATCAATCGTTTCCCACTGTTGGGACTGCTGGCTCTGTTCTTGTTGGCCTCACACTCGGTGGTAGTTGTGTTCCCCGAGCTGACTGTCACCACCTGCCACTTGCCAGGCTCGTTTGGATCCTGCTGTATCTGCTGACCTGAAATTATTAATATTATTATCATTCAACAAGTAAATCCCTAATAATATTATAAATGCGAAAGTAACTCTGTCTGTCTGTCTGTCTGTCTGTCTGCTACGCTTTCACGCCTAAACCACTGAACTGATTTTAATGAAATTCGGTACAGAGATAGAGTTGACCTTGAGAAAGAACATAGGATAGTTTTTATCCCAGACTTTTGAAAGGTTCTCTTGGAAACGCGATATAACCGAACTCCACGCGGCGAAGCTGCGGGCGGAAAGCTAGTTTGGTATAAGATAGATATATTACCAGATTAATGAGATTATTTATGGAATTCTGAAGGTGACATATGTTTGAATATAGTTGTTTTATAAACAATCTTAATGAAATGATTACTTATATAGAAATTTTTCAAGAACTAAGGATCATTTAAATAGTGGATTTGTATGTGGTAGAGGTGGGAGCGAGAGGTATAACGGCTAAATCTCTCTACAACCTACTAAGACTTGGGGGTGTCTAGAACTAATATCAATGCATTATTGGAACGTACTTCGAAATTAGCCCCAGTTGATTTAATTCCAATTTGGTTAGGTACAGAGAGGAGCTTGAACAGTGGAGGTGAGCGTTTAACGTAAGTTCAATTTTAGATATGGGCCCCATAAACCTATATTTGGATCGCAAGTCCCAGGCACTGTTGAAGCTCACTTCAATAAATAGGACCGATTGGATGAATGAATTCAATGCTAAGAGGTTTCGTATCTTAAGTATTGAATGTACATATGAGTTATATATTACCAATGAGAGGTTGTGGTTGCGGTGTAGGCGCGGGTTGCGGCTGTTGTTGTGGTATCTGCGCCAATTGAACACCCGGCAGGCCCACAGCTGGGACCAGCTGCACACCTCCAAGTCCGCCTACGCCCAGCGTTGGGACCTGAAGTAATTAATGATAATAGATCAATGTTTATACATGTATTTGTATATTTTTATCCTCTCAAGTTACCGTCTTACATTACTAGACGCAGGTATCACAGTGACCTGCTGTCCGTTCGGAGTGCTAGTGATGATAGCCTGCTGCTGTACTTGGCCTGTGTCCTGCATTGGATTAGACACGGCCTTCCCGAGCAGCGTTAACGGTTGACATTATGTTAGTAATATATTGACGTTTAAATTCCATACATATGTATATACCATTTATATTTGGTTCTTATTTAAATATAGAACCCTGAATATGATTTTTTAATTTTTGATATAAGTATTACCTGCAGTGTGATTGTCGGTTGACCGCCATTGCCTTGCCCGCCTGAACTCTGCTGTTGGACAAAAATACACAAAATATATCAATTAAATCAAATACAAATAGCTAGCAGATAGTCAGTATGTATGAAGGTTATTTAATATTCACCTGAACATTTCCTAGTGATGCGATCTGTATCTGTTGTATTTGTCCGGACGGTGTGAGGACGTTCGCAACTTGAGGCTGGGCTTGCATCTACAATGATTATAGCACAATTAATAATATATCCACTCGATTATATTGGCAGTAACAAAAAATATCTGAACTATAGCAAATCAAATAACAAATAAATAATCGAAGCCGTCATACTTGTTGCAGTACCTGCTGCAACTGCGGTATTATTTGCAGGTGTGGCGCGTGTAACGGCACGTGGACCGTTTGGTACACCGTGTGACCGTTGGCCACGCTCACGGGCACTTGTACGGGAACCATGCCCATACCGCCCACGCTGCCCACGCCGCCCACACTGCCCACGCCGCCGCGAACAGCAACCCCGCCGCCTGATCATTAGTTATAACAAGATTTGTTGTTTATTACTTCGTTGGGTACTCTTCATGACATAATTTTCCATTTTTTTGACAATTAATTAATTATTTATCAGTTATAATTATCAAATAAGATTTTCATCTTTATGTTATACAAACATATGAAAATTAATTTCGTCTTTCTATAAACCTTTGAATTTGACGTACCTTAATCGAACTTAAAAAAAATCAAGCTTCAAACAAATAAAAATATAACAAATAAAATTGCAATAAATCATTTTGAAATAAAAAATATATATAAATCAAAACCAGCTTAATTAACTTATCGCAAATGATAATAAATTTCAATATGGTTAATGTGCGATGTTAACAGGGTGCAAGGATTGTGAAATGGAACACCAAGCAGAAAAAAATAGTGTGATAGAAAAACGCGGGAAAAATTAATAAAAAAAAAATACTCAAAAAAATTCCCTGTTCATGAACGAACCTTGCCCCGGGCTGGTTGGTGACTTGGCCTCTTTTCCGTTTCCGTGTTTGCCGTCTGTCTGTATCGTAACTCCGTTATTTGGCTGCTGCCCCGTAGAACTCGGTATAGTAATAGCCTGGCTGGTCGGTATCTGTATCCCGCCCGGTATAGATATATTCGTTCCCGGGATAGTTACCATCTGATTACCGGTTAGTGCGCTTAGCGGTATTGTTAAGTTAGTGCCGGGGATGGACACGGTCGCTTGTTGCTCTGTTAGATAACATTAGTATATAAGCGATAGCCCGCGAGACTTGTTGGCTCGTAAAGTATATAAAAGCAAAACAAAAACTAGAGAAATACTTTCAACTTGGAACGTTGGTTAAGGATAATTACGATTTTAATATAGAACACACAAGCTGTGACTGTAATGTGCCAAATTAATCTCATTATTATTCATGAAATTTATAATATTTTTTTTTTGGATGGAAGCTAGGGTTAAAAAAAAGTATTTAATTAAAACAACACAAACACTAAGACGAATATTTGGATGACAACAGACATCTGTATAGACAGTTAGTGAAGGGTAAGCAAATGAACAGTGACAAAGGAAGTGTAGACCCCAAGCGAGTGAAGTGCAAATGTATATAGAGATATATATATATCTATATATACATATATATAGTGTGAATATATAAAGATGTACCCGCAGGGAGATGCATCACGTTGTGAAGAAACCCAGATGGCAGAACAGGCGTGCGAACCAGCTGTCCGTTGACCAAACTCACTTGACCCATGCCCGAGAAGTTCTGGAATTGTATGTCATCATGGATATAGTGTTAACATTCTGGACGTTAGGTTCTATAATGAAGGATTATAATTTGTGTCTAAATAAATACTTCAAAAATAAAAACAAGCCCTTTTTGAGATTGTATTTGCAGAATACCTAAGAAAATGAAACTTTCTAAAGTATATTATATCATCGGGGAGAGGGCAAATCCGCGTAGCTAGCGTTGGGTAATTCAGCGTATCTACCTTGCAAGCAGATTATCAGCAAAAAGTTTGAACTGAAATATTTTCTAATATAACGACTTTTAAGGTAATCTTTTCACAATCCCTACTAATATTATTAATGAGAAAGTAACTCTGTCTGTCTGTTACGTTTTCACGCCTAAACCACTGAACTGATTCTAATGAAATTTGGTACAGACATAGAGTTGATCTTGAGAAAGAACGTAGGATGGTTTTTATCCCAGACTTTTGAAAGGTTCTCTTGGAAACGCGATATAACCGAACTCCACGCGGTCGAAAAGCTAGTTAGTAATAAATTAAACATTTAATAATTAGTGTATGTATGTATGTTACCTGCGCGTGGTGTGAGGGTATGAACAGCGCGTCTTGTCCGTCCACGGTGACAGCTTGTAGCGGAGTGACGCCCCCCACCACACATCCGCCGTACACACCGCCCGTCTGTTGCTGAGAGACAAACATACACACATTACTATCACAACATACAGAGTATATAGGTTGAAATAATTTAAAAAAACATGTGAAATCAAATAGTATATGTTTTATTCAAATGAATACTTGAGAGTCTTAGATCTCATAACAACATACATTGTTATTACTGAGTTACAACAGTGATATATATTATTTAATTGATGTGACTTATTAAAGCTTAACTTATGAAGACTTGACTTATTAAAGCAGTAGCTTTAATAATTTTTGTGTTGACAAATCAATTTATGTAAATATTTTTTTGTAAACACCACCTATACCTCTCATATGTTTATATAATACAAAATTGTCTAAAAAATCATATATGTAACAATTTCTGTATCTCAAAACTCAGAGACACAAAAAATGTATAGTTAATAGTTATATCATGTAATTAGCTTCAATATATTAGTGCCGTACTTGCAGCAGTTGTGGGTGTATTTGCAGCAGTTGCTGCGGTGAGTTCTGATAGGGCGTGCCCTCACTAGATGACACCACGCCGCCTCCTAGCAGGGATTGCAGCTGCTGCATTGAAATCACCTGGAATTATAGAAGCAATTATTAACATAACTTGAGTAATTAGTTCCAGATTAGTGTTAGCCATATTCTGGATTCAATTAAGTGTATTTTCCTTTGTTAACTCTACACAATCCTACTTATATTATAATTGCGAAAGTTTGTGAGTGTGTGTGTATGTTTGTTACCTCTTCACGCACAAACGGCTAAACCGATTTTGATAAAATTTTGTATACAGGAAGCTGACGTCCAGGAATAACACATAGACTACTTTACATCCCGGAAATCTGCGGGTAACACCGCGGGGCGCAGCTAGTAATAAATAATACTCAGCAAAATGAGGTATAACTATCTTCACACAACGTCTTTGGGTTTCTCTACAATTATATGTATACAGGGTGACTGGTGAATTACTATCGATACTTGAGGACGTGATATTTGACGATCATATATGACAAAATAAAAATTAATATAACATAAATATTAATAAACTTCTAAGTAAAGTTAACCAAAAGTTATGTAATTAATTACGCATCGTGTGAACACCCTACAGATTAGGTATACACACACACACACACACACACACACACACGCGTGCGGCGGCGTGGTATTGTATCAGCACGCCGCCGCACGCGTCCACACTTGGAACACTTGGAACGTGTCCACACTTTATTTATTTATACGGAAATTTGGTCAAAAATTAAGTACCAATTTTTTTTACATAATTCGAATGAGAATCATGTACCGAGTATTCTCCTTAAATATTGATAGTAATTCACCAGTCACCCTGTATATGTATTTTTTAATATAATCATCACAATACCTGAGGTTGCTGAACTTGAATGCCATTTGGAACTGTTGTCGCAGCATTCACAATGGCCGCTGATAACTCGTTGCCCTGTCAACAATAATAGTACAGTTGTAACAAATGAACTGAGTATCAATACATAAGCAATGTTATTGCTAATGTGTTAAATAAAAATAAACCTAACCCACAGTCTGTTTTAGTAATTAGTAGCTGTACTAATGAATAATTATTAAATGAATGCTGTTAATTATGAAGCTACTATTGTTATACCTGAGTGCTCAACAAGGTGTTTTCCTGTTATTATATTTTCAGTAAGCTTCTCATTAATGATTTTTCTTATGGAAATCCATATTATCCTTAAGTTACTGTACCAATGTTTGTGACATTATAGATGAATTTCTTTACTTACAATGAAAACATAAAACAAAAAAGAAACCTAATATCAAAATGTTTCAAACCAATACAATACTTACATGTTGAAGCGGCTGGACACTAGCATTTACATCTCTCCCCACATCACTCACCGACAGGCCTTGAGCTCTCAGTTGCTGCACCACGGCTGTGCTGATGACTCTTAGCTGCGGCTGCTGCAAGTACTGCTGCTGGAGTGCTGCGAGTGCCTCGCCCTGTACTTGTTGCTGGACTAGCTGAGCTTGTTGGACCTGTTGCTGTTGCTGCTGCTGTTGTTGCTGCTGTTGTTGTTGTTGCTGCTGCTGAACTTGCTGTTGGTGTTGCTGTTGTTGCTGCTGCTGCTGCTGTTGTTGTTGTTGTTGCTGCTGTTGTTGTTGCTGTTGCTGCTGTTGTTGTTGCTGCTGTTGCTGCACTTGTTGTTGTTGGGCTGAAAACATGTTTAATGATTCAGATTAGTGTACCAAAACACAACCATTTTAAAGTTAACAAATAAATGAGTCACATGATTTCAAAAATGACTTCGCTAAGTCAATTATATTTTTTGAGAATACACGGACCTCAGAATGATTAAAAGTATATTACTATTATTAGGCTCACTGTAATGCTGCTGCTGCTGTGGTTGTTGTTGCTGCTGATCCTTCTCCTGCTGCTGTTCGGGCCCCATGCTGACAGCGCCGTAACGGCTACACGTGGCTGCCAGTAATGCTAGGGGCGACTGGGTGCCGCTACCCTCCTGAAGATAATATATATATTTACATAAACAGTGTCTTAATTTAGATTATACTAGCCTTAAAACTTAAGATTTATATGTCAATGCTATCAAATCACAATATTCTTTGGTAGACTTGTTTTGTGAATATAAAGTGTTGTGGAACATAAATAGACTTCATTGAATTTATATGTAATGTAGAAAAATAAAGTATTTCAAACATTTATTTCCGTTTTTGTGAATATAAGGGATTTAAAAAATGAATTTGTACTAGTATGTATAAAGTTGCCAGTAACTTCTGTCAAAACTAAGACAATTTTATTTCTACTAAACTCTTTGCAGGCCTTTTTTATTTGGAACTTGTCTTTCACTATACTACAAATGAAAGATATTAAATATGTATTAAACATGAAATATCGTAGATTTTAAAAATATCTATATCTCAAAGGTGAACCACCCATTTTGTAATTGTAAAGTTGAACAATACATATTATGTCGGATTGAATAACATTTTATTACTAAGTAGAAAGTAAAAAGAGAGTAAGGTTCAAAAAAGGAATTATATTATTTTATATTGTATTTTATGAGACGAATTCAACTTGAAAAGTTTCTTAGTAGAACTAAGTTGAATGAATTGAACTTGAAGTTCTTAAAACATTGTCTAAAACATGTAGATGTATAGTAAAAATATTCTCACATAGTATTTAGGCCTTCGAATTCTCACTAATATGAAATTAATGTGTTAAATGCCCAGCTTTTTAGTAAACCAAGATTATTTATTAATTTATATTTAATATGACCATGCAGATTTTTTTACACATTTTCTGAATGTATCAAACAGATAAATATAGAATTATAACTTGTAATAATATTAATTCGTAAGAGTTTATAAGGGAAACATGGATAGAATATTGCAAAGTTAATAAACTTTCTCGGTGGGTAAACTTAAAATATTGCTTATTGCTCTCAAAGAAATAAAAATGGTGTTAAACAAATTTCAATTAAGGCTTTAAAGAATTAAAGATTATTTGGATCATTTCATAGCATTGCTTGCTTTTAGCGAGTATTTACAGAAAGCTTGTAGGATATTTGAATAAACAAATTGCATGATGAGAATAATTTAAAGATACAAAACAAGGGCAGTTCTAGTTCAAATAAATACTTATATATTTTATATTTATGACGGAATATGTGCCATTTTGGCAGAAATTTTAATGTACAGGACATATAATAACAGATAAAAACTTCCACTTACTTGTAGCTATGCATAACTTAGTTTTGTGAAGGCAATGTTTATCTTAATGTCATATAAATCATGCAAATTAGGACTTACAAATAAGTACAACAATTATGTAAATGATAAGCATTCACAACAGAATCATGATTTATGGAACATGGACTCTTTAACATTGTATAATTCAATGTTTAGTAGATATATGTGTGTAACTTTACTTATTAGTGTAATTAATGTTAGTCAGTAAATAAAAATAATATCCTTGTTCATCCTAATTTAATATCATTATATTTTTCTAACACTAATTAATTATAAAAAGCAAAAATTTTACCAAATACGATTTTTTTAAGTTGTTTAGTAAATCAAATAACTACTTTTCTATTTTTACTACTCCAGAACTATTAAAGAATGTCCTTAAATACTTTTTAAAAATAGAATTTAAACTGTCACAGGTTATAAAATATGAGTTATTTTTTTTATAATTTTTAACAGTATATTTCTGTACGTAAAATAGTAAAGTACCTACTGCACGCCTATATCACATCACAAAAGGGGTCTTTCATTTGCGAATCAATAGAAGTTAGCTGTGCAAAAAGATGAAAAAGGCGCGAATGCTAGGGGAGAATAAATGTTAGAGTGATTTAGATTTCAACTCTATAGAGATAATAAGTAGATCGTTTATCCGAGATCATCGTAAAACCTAACAAAAGATAGTTTTTTATGTAGGAATAAACAAATAATGTTATAATTTATTTAGTACCTACTATAAAAAAAATGTATAACTTCTTAATAAAAAATAAGTCATTGTAATCATTCGTTCTTTTTGACGGAAGTGTTACTGTTTGGTTCACTCACTACTTATACAAAGTTTTAACAATTCCATTATTATGATAGCGTTATTTGTGAAGCTAATGGAATGAAATGCAGCTTACGTAGTTTATTAAGCGTGGTCGATGGTATTTTGGATGTATTTGAAAGTTTTATGAAACTAATAAGTTTTGACTTTTCCAGCTGTTGTCGAAATTTCAGTGGAGCATGTTGGATGTAATCGTGGTTGTTGGGTGTCGACACGCCTTTTCCTAACAAGTGCCGTGAGCCGGGAGTCGTCGCACTCAAGGCCGCCGCCGCCCTTTGATCCACCCACCTAGAATCGCGTGACTGATATTTTACGCATTTATAACTAGGTTAACTTTAATTTAACTTTTAATTTTCGATCCAATCACTATTTTACCAAAAAAAAATACTAGTTCTCTAAGCTTTTCGTAATACCACCGTCCTATTTATTTATCAGACATATAAAAACAGGTCCACGCATAGTTATTAACGCTAATGAGGATCGTGCGTCACCGGTGGTGGTATGTATTAATGATGATAATAAGAGTAACATATAACACAGTCAAGGGTGTATCAGATACAGCGGTCACAGCCTCCTGCGTGTGGCCTGGCGGGCCCCACACGCCGGGGCCGTACGCTCCGCCCTCCCCCTGCACCCACCGACACTCTAGAACGCGGCCCGTTGGCGTCCGTCTGTTATACAATAACACTACGAACTCTCGACAGCTACACCACCATCATTACCTTCACTGTTCTGTCCTCACTGATATATTCGACTGTCACTTTGTGGGACTCAGACGACATCATCCGGACGACACTGGCTGACAAATGTATCCCTTTGTTCTCTGAACGAACGAACCATTCTCGCGACCGTCCGCCGAGCTGCGGCGACAGAACTGACGACACACGAGCGGCGACCCGCCGACGGCACACGAACGAACTTCGGCTGAACTCGGAGATCCGCCTCCTATCGCATTCGCGTCGCGTGGTTTTTAAACTGTTTTTGGCTTTACATAAATAGTGTTGCAATTCAAGGATGTATGTTTTGGGTCAACGTCTTTATGAAGTGAATGAAAAAAAATAGTATGATCTATAGACGGCGCGGGTTAGTGTAGTGATTGATTTTGAAGGTTCGCGGTGAGAGTGTCCGTCTCGCTCGTTCGGGAGACAGGTCTTGATTATTGGTAGGCAGCAGCTGCGCCTCTGTCGGCCTCCCCGACGGGTGCGGCGCCGCGCCCGATAATAATAATTGAAAGTAGGAAGGACGTTATAATGGGTGTATAACCTCGTGCCCGCGGCCTCCTTGGGCGGGAAAAAACATGAACACATGTCGTCATGATGCACCATGCGTCTGGCGATGTCAATGTACATTCTACTTGACGTGTTTCAGTTGTTAACTGGCCACGTATTCGTAACTGATCAATCAAAGGACTTCTCTATACGACCATTCGACATTATATATCACATATGGTTTATCTCAACGTGACCTTATAAGCGTCGCCATTCATGAATATTAATATGCATAATATAAAATACATTCATTATTCCGATATATTGCGAGTGTCTGTGCGTCGCGATATATATATTTATAACGCGTTAATAGTCAGCGGATGTAATGATAGTGAAAGTCGATCCATGTTTTGTCAAGCGTCAGCGGCGTTTGCCCCAAGTCCATTATGCACGAATGAACAGCCGCGTCGAGAGAGCCTGTGTCTCTGCTTTAATTATCCAGAACATCTACAAACGAATATACACCTTATAACAATCATATAACGTTCGTATTAGAATAGCATAGATTGTATTTCTGTGAATTTCCAAGAGAACTGTGCTTTCTAATATAAGCATTAGATAAATAACCTTATTGCTGATATGAATAAGGCTGAAATTTGATTGTCGTTGTATCATTATGGGTGTACCTCGGGTGACGCGTCGAGTGACGTTACACGATTCGAATATAGTTAATTAGTTAGTGCGTTCGGAAACAATGCACTGTCACATTCATACATTTGTTTTTAAACATCACTTGTTTACTATTTTTGGCAATGACCTAAAGTGAACAGCCAGAATTATTAATTCGTACAAATTAATATAAATTTTATGTCTATTTATCCTTATATTTTTCTTGCCTTATAACGTAAAAGGATAAGGCAGAACCTTATTTACTTTACTTATGTTCTTAGTATCTATAGTACATAGATATATACTATATAGGTATATGTGTGTACATATATTTACATTCCTCAATGAAAAATATTTAGTATCTATACAGATATCAAACAGATATGTCCGTAACACGCCACTTGTACCATTATTGTTTAAGCGGGCTTCGCGAGAGAAAGTACAATTCGTAACAGCTTTCTATGGGCGGGTTACTAGCTGATCACGTTGTGTCTTGTAATTAAACAACACTACACGAAATAATATACCTATCAGTTTTAATATACAGGTCTATCAATATTTTTCTTTATTTGTACTGAATTTCGACGTATTTTTACGTAACATTGTATCATGAAGTACCAGTCACATGTAAAATCAAACATCACTCGTTAATAAAATTATGAGTCGCTATCACAGACGTGTTGCTTAAGCTGATGAGATAAAACGATTGTTCTATGAAACTCATAGAACTCATAGTACTCATAGATGAAGATGATTCTGGAGGATGATCGCTAGACTTAACGGAAGCGGAAATGACTGTGGGCGGGGACGGCACCCGCCTCCCGCGACACGCCCTTGGAGCCAGGCCCGGGTCACGTCACATCCTCACATCATGATGGACACTATGAGATCTATGAAATCATCGTCATTCATAAACTCAAACTCATCGCCGCTCCAAACATCGCTCTCGATCCAGTCAGTACGACATAGATTATACATACCTATGTACCTACATATGCACATGTAGCTTTGTTCATAGATAAGGTAACATGTAATTAGAAGTAAAGTACTAATAGTTACCTTTGGTAATTATAGAATACAGATACATCAAACTAAGTGGTCGGTTGGATATAATGATGAACCTACTGTTATTTAAGGTATAGGATTATGGAAAATTTTTGCAACAGCTGTCACGTATTGAAATTTGAAATACACGAAGTATTTCATAAATGAAGACTTAGGGTTCAATCTATCAGCCATATTAAAAGCTCTATGGTCTTGCTGATTAACGTAAAATTATTAATAGGTTCAGTACATTAAATATCCATACTCTGACACACAAACGTTGAATATTAAGTACATATATATAATTTCTATTAAAACTTTTCGTAATAATATTATGAACAGCCTACAGAACGTCCTTCGACTTCAGAATGCCCTTCAGACGTTAGCTTCAGGCTTGCTTAACGCTTAATTCGACTGTATCTGTGTTGTGTGATAAAGATTACTTTGCTTAGAAATTTGTAACTTATGTCATATAAGTACCTATTAGGTAGAAGTCGGATCTCATACAAAGATATCTTATTTCATTTTACCTACATATATCGTCTACTTGAATTTCATGAGGGAATATCCTTTATTTTTCAGACAGTCTCAAAACCCGTAGTCACGCGTCATTTCCATATTATTTTTTTAGCTTATCAGAGCCCACTGCTGAGCAAAAGCCTCTTTCTCTCGTAGAGAAGGTTTGACTATTAATCATCACGCTTGTCAAGACGGGTTGGTGATTTCAAACTTATAATTGTGAAATTTTAAGTCCAAGTTTCCTCACGATGTCTTCGTCCACCGTCACGATGATTTGCATATAATTTGTATAAATAATATTTATTTATTCCGTTTAAATTTTGAATTCGAACTACGTACGAGTATGTGACCTTGTGCCATATTTTTTAATGAGAATTTGTTACGGAACTTGATCTAACATGTAAGTCCTCATAAAGTGAAATTAATGTAAATAAGATTTGAAAAGGTAACGGGTAAATAGTTACTACATCCCTACTTTCGAGTTATAACAACTACTTAGTATATACCTATTAAAAAAAAACTCAGGATAAAATAATCTTAATGTGTCAATATTAAAAGCAGCTCTAACAATTATTTTTTAATCATAAACCATTAAAATTAATTACGATAAATTTTCTAAGATTATATAATAATCAAAGATGTTCCTCAAATCTATCAGTTAAACGAATCAACCTAATCCATATCCATCATAATATGGCACAAAATATAAAAAACGACAGGAAAACGTTCAAAAATCATGGTAACGCATCAACAATTTCCACCCTAAAGTTAAAAATTGATGAACGGACCTGTTCATCCACCCACCGCCCGCCCGCGACTACCGGAGGCGTGACCGCCGCCCTACGTCCGAGACACAACTCACTAACAAGTTACAGTAACCTTACAAGTTACGCAACTTACTTTAACAACTTACCGTTACTGAACTTTACTTACGATCAACTCATGACAGTGACATATGACTTATTAAGTACGTCTTATTGAACTGATTGAAAATATTCTTCCAATCAATTTTATATACGCGTTATTTTGTTTCATTTTTAAATAATACTCTATTTTTTATATTATCAGTTTATGTAAATAAAATTTTCAAAATTTATAATCATAATCATTTGTTTATAATCATTCATTCATTAATTTTCACACTTATGCTCGATTACTATTGAAAGTAAAAAAAGTATGTATGTCAAAAATACGATTTAACTTTTTAGTTTTTCATGTTTTGTGTAATTTAATAGAAAATTATCTAACATAGTAGATGTTTCTAGACGTTTTAATACTTAGGTTTGATGTTTATATATTTCGACCTTGAAATACTCGATTTGGTATGCTTACTTTACCGAAGTATGGTAGTGGAAATACTATGTACATAGTTTCTCATTGAGAATAAGGATTCTTAGTATGTGGGTGTTAATTTAAAGACAGTTTATATCATCATATATTTATTGCACAAAAACACTACTTCAGGACGATTCGGGAGTACGCTATGCGTGAGGTTATAAATAATTATTAGCATTTATTACAAATATATTAACAAAAAGTATGGTAACTTACTAATACTGTGCTCGATCGATTTAAGTGCAGTATAAATAAACTTACAAAATTTTGATAATAATTCATTTCATAAGGATTTCTACAATGTTTACACTATATTATTTCTGCACAAAATTAATTATCTGTACATACAGTTAAGAGTATAAGTTATTAAGGAAGAAGTTTTTACATACAGCCTGAGCCATAGTTCACGTAAGAACTACAATAAATAATAATACTTATTTAGTGTCATTTCTATTAACAGACATATTGATGCTAGGCTTCTTTTTAATCTGTAACAAAAAAATCATTATTAATTAAATGACAAGTTATGTTTTGACAACAATTGCTATTGCATATCTCCTTATTAACATGTATGAATTGTTAGTCCATTCCATTTTTGAAATATTTTTGTAATAGCATAAATTTCACAACTATATTAAGCAATCTTAAACATATTGTTGGTAATGATTATTTATAACATAAAATGTGTTACACTTTTTAATTCTTAGTTTAACGTTATTTATATTCTGATATTAATTGAGAATTCTTATGATACTTAAGCACCGCCCTCTGTATGATATTATAATTTACCTAAATATATTACCTTTGAATATTATAAATAGGATACAAGTGCTAGACTAGGGATTATGTTACTAGTTGTATATACCTCTTAACTGACAATTTAATCCAAAAGTACTTTTTTATTACAATAGACATAAAACTCATATTCGCATAGATTGACTTCACTGCTATCCAATATTTCTTTAGCAAACAGTTTCTTGAGCTATATGAAAATATCTACTAAGTGGCAGAATTCATTTATTCATATATGTATATTTTAAAGTTTTTCTTCTGGTGTATAATTAGATTCTCAACATTTAAGAGGTACTTCATTGATGATATATAACAATATATATTTGTACACCTGTTCCATTTTTAAATATGTTTTTTAAAGGAAAATTTCATAACTATATTATATATTAAGGTATGTTATAAATATAAATATACCTATGAGATGTTTACAACCCTCCGCCACTCCTTTCAACGGTGATTTTCTTCTTAAGAGTTTCCTTTTCATGGTGTTCCTCTTCAAGCTCAGCCATTCGAGCAAATCTTGAATAAGCCACATGTCCTGACTTGATAGCTGACATCATCTGTTATATTTAAGATATATAAGAAATACTATATTTATTTATTTATGTTTAATGGGATATAAAATCAATATACATGCAAAAATATTATTGATTTAAATATACAGTTATATGTTACATTAGTGAGAATAAAAATATAAAACATGCTTATTTATGTTTTATAAATTTGAAAATTATAATTTAACATTTAAGCAACAAAAATAACCAGATAATAAACATTAAAATACAGATTATAAAATGTTAGTAATTTTTGTTAATTGTTAGTATTCACATAAAGCTATTAGTCAAATCCTTTTTACATTCAAAGCCAAACCACTGCTACTTATGACAATGAGATTGTTAATTAACATTATAATGAAATTATTTTAAATATGAAAGTAATGGATTTTAATAGAAAATCAAAATGAGTGATTAATTTAAACTTGATATGTGTTGTCAGATATACAATATAAGAAATTTTTATTTCCTTAATAAAATTTTCATGCAAAATTATATGATTATAATATTAAGATGCAGTGTTATATTGATATGGACCTGTAAATATTCATCGAGTTCGACTTGTCCGTTCATGTTAGTGTCGATTTCTCTCAATATTTCGTGCAACTGTTCCCCGGTCACATCCTCACCGTAGTTCTGTGAAACAAGCTCCAACATTTAACACAAAAGCAATTGATGAATCACCATTGGTATAGAATCTTTTTGATTATAAAAAAGATTCTATTAACCAATGTTGGAATTGCAGACTAAGACAGTAATTGGTATGTGTATGTACTCCTTAATCCCAGGAACATTTAAACGTGAACACAGCTTTTATACCCTCTACCGAGCTTCGTATGAAACAAACAAGTGCGTCCCCATACTAATGTACCCTCCATATGTCTACCTGAAGGTAGTCTTGAATTTCCAGTTGCCCGTGATAAGTGACATCGATTTCTGATAATATCGCACTTATTTCATCGTCACTCGGTTTCACGCCCATACTCTATAACATTGTTGGCAAATACTTGAAGAAATATACAAGGAAAATCATAATAAAATGTTCACAGAAAATATTTTATAGGAAATGAAGGTAGGGAATCAATTTCATACACATTATAGTCCACTACCTTGAACAGACTTGAAGTTATATTAATTTCTGTTTCTTCCTTACTTATCTATATTTACATAGAATAATGATAATCAATTGAAAGATATACATGGTTTTCACCCATTGTACTCTCAATAATACGCTCTGATAAAAACCTTGTTGTTTTGCGTTACCTTAAGACTCCTCCTAATATCATTGATGGAGACGAATCCCTTTCTGTCCTTGTCAATGATCTGGAACCGCTTGATGTATGTCTGAATCTCTTCCTTGTTCAGATTGATCGGTATCTTGTCGCGACTCGCGCGATTCACCATTTGTCCCATCTCATTGGCAAGGAAATCCGCAGCTATTTTAGTTTGTTTCTGCAATTTTATATTCATATTTCTCAATACGTTATTGACATCCAAAAATTTAGTTTGCTTGTGAATATTTTCGTCGATTTTGGTGTATATTTTGTATCTTTGGATCGTTGGCAATAATGTATAGTAGTATGTCCTATACCTGTTTTTCGGCTTCGTTCCACTTAAGTTCCTCAGCCATAATTTCTATGACGGCGGGGAGGGCCTCGGCCGCGGCTTGTACATTGAGGAACGCAAGCCTCAGCCTTCGAGCGATCATGTCGACCGCTGTACACGCGTACTCGCGGACACCGTACCTGAAACCATAATTTATTTCAATTCTTTAATTTGTGGCAATTATCACGAAGAAGACGTGAGAGACTTGGTTCAGTATAGAGTTCAATATAGTTCTGTAACCACATCTAAGAATTATTCTTGACTAAAATTCTTGTTGATTAAAATTTACTAGCATTCATTACATTTCTTACGCATTTTAAACATAAGTGGGTATGTATAACATTAAAAAATATATAAAAATAACTTTATCTCAGATTTATTTGACCATGTTTCCATACCTGATTTCAGCGTCGATGTAAGGGAACTCTGGATGGATCTTTTTACCAATAATGGGCCATCTCTTGCCGGTCATAGCTGCCATTTTTGCGACTGCGAATGCTCTATCTCCGTATGACTTGGCCAGATGTTGTGCTACCTGATTGTATAGACACAGAGCATTAAGTAAACTGGTGGTATATACGCATAGGATCTTGTATTAGTAGGTACCTCCATTTCCAGTCCAAAGTCCTGCACCAATCTGATGTACATCGTAGGAGTCCAACCATGAGCACCTTCGATAAGGAATCCATCGGTTTGACATTCCTTGTAAAGTGGCTTTAGGTTGCAGCCTGCAAATGTAAGGAATAGAATAAACAAATCTTGATTAATTACTAGATATAACGATTTTAGATTAATGAAAATATCAAGAATATTTATTACGTATTCATCGACCTGAACCGGCCGTATAGGATATTAATTAAATCTAGTATAAAAATTATTTTTATCTTCTAGATCCGTACTCATGAGCGGTACAAATAGTACTATATTAAACTACCTTTAGTCTTAAGCAGTATGGTATCGAAAATTTTCTTCAAATACCCTCAATTTTTTAATGAGATATAATTTATATTCGCGATTATGTAATATGTTTGATAACTCACTTTCAATGGCCGCGTCTACCGCCTCAGAAGCCATAGCGCGGTAGGTGGTCCACTTGCCTCCCGCGATGGTGACGAGGCCCGAAGGAGAAACGTGCACGATGTGGTTACGAGCGAGGGACTGTGTGTCCGGCTTGTTAGGGTCTGATACTAGTGGCCGAATACCGGACCACGCGGATAAGACGTCCCCACGACGAACTATGTATATAGAATCGAGATAACATAATATAGAGATATGAAAATCAAATCATGACTTTTTTCCTATTACAAGGTCTATTAGGAATATATGTTTTAATTTGATATAAAAGAAATACATTTGTAGAAGGTTGTTTTGTTTTTGCTAACAGGGATATTTATGTGTAAATATTTGTTATGATAAAAATATTGCAATTAATCTTAAACTTAGACATAAATATTTAATATTTCTTTAAAGTAAAATTGTTCTTATAATATTGCTATTAATCATGATTTAGGCCGAACTTTGTGAAGTTTAGATATATATAGTCATATTTAGTTAATTCCAAGATAATCAGAACAAACCTTCAACATCCGGGTTAAGATAGTTCTTGACTTCGGTGAGGATGAAGAGGATTTCATCTTCCGTTGGTTTCGGGTTGTGTGTGACCTGACACGGCATGTCCGTAGTACCGGCGATGGTTCCCTTCAACCACGGCAGGAAGAAAATGACGCGACCATCAGAAGTAGCTGGGTCAAGAAGACCCATGTGCTCTGGACTGGAAATAAAGTAATTTATAGGAGTTATTATTCATAGCTACTACCAAGTTTTATGTAGAAATATATCGAACTAAACGTAGATTCCTAAGGAAATGGTAAAAAATATGATAAGTCTTCAAACCCACTGGCTATAAGTGGAAAATAAGTTTGCACTACATTAAATCATGACGAGTTTGATTAGATTTTTCTGGAGATGATTAGATAAGTTATCTTAATTACAGACAAATATTAATATACAAACTTAGAAAGCATTGTAGGCAAAAACAGAAATACCTTCAAACTGCAATAGAAACTGTATATATTATTATAATAAAGCTCACCTATAGTATCCCGGCAGTACAATATGCACGCCAGATGACGGACAGCAGATATCTTTAATAGTTTGATCGTCCATTTTCCTGATGGAGTCCGTGAACGGACCTGTTGCGTTTATTATGGACTTGGCTTTAACATCCCATTCCTTGCCTGTCAATTCATCCTGAATAAAAAAAACAAAGGAATTTTACAAAGAAGTCTTCAATCAATTCAAATAAGGAATATTTTTGTTTTAATTTCCTATTCTTATTTTAAATTTCTCAATATCATTGACACTAAGTAGGTATTTAATATATTGTATTGTAGGAAGTGACGTCATAGCTTACCCGGACTCTAGCGCCACTAAGCTTGCCGTCAGTTTTGTGCAATTTGACAACAGACACGTGGTTGGCGATGGTGGCGCCATGACGCGCCGCGGTCAAAGCGATAGCCAGGTTCATACGAGCATCGTCCTGCTGCCCTGTGTTATAAAAATACGGACATTGGCAGAATGATTTGAATCGTGGACGAGAATTTAAAGAAAAATAAAACGATATTCCTATTTTAAATTTAACTTTTTTTTTTTTTATGTGAAAGCTGGCAAACGAGCAGACGGCCCACTTGATGGAAGGTGGTTACCGTCGCCCATTGACATCTGCAACATCTTGATGCGGATGCGTTGCCAACATTGTTTTTTAGGGATAGGGAGGGGTGGGAATAAGGAAATGGTAGGAAAGGGTGGGAATAGGGAAAGGGCAACCGGCTCTCTCACTCATCAGACGAAACGCAGCCATTAGAGGCTACTTCACGCCGATCTTCTGTGAGAGGGTGCTACTTCCCCGGTCGAGCCAGCCCATGTTCGAGCTGTAGTGATTAACTACAGCTAGGCTCTACCACCTAAAAACTTTGGAAGTTTTTTATTAAGTTGAAACGAGCAGTAACTCACCATCATAGTATACTATGCCGCCACATAAGTTATCGGATTTCAACATAGGGAATAATTCTAGAGTGTTCTTTTTAGATAGATAGTATGAGCTTTTCAAATTTCTGTCACCGGCTACCAAGTCGTACATCTTGATACCAAACCAGTAGTATGGGACTTGCCACCATCTGAAAATAACACAATAAATATAGAACTAAGAAAAGTAGAGGTAGAAAAGAAAAGTAGGTAGAGCCTAGCTGTGGTTAAGTTACTACAGCTCGAACATGGGCTGGCTCGACCGGGGAAGTACCACCCTCTCACAGAAGATCGGCGTGAAGTAGTCAGTAATGACTGCGTTTCGTCCGATGAGTGAGAGAGCCGGTTGCCCTTTCCCTTTTCCCAACCTTCCCTTGTATTTCCTTATTCCCACCCCTCCCTATCCCTAAAAAAAACAAGTTTGGCAACGCATCCACAACAAAGATGTTGCGGATGTCCATGGGCGACGGTAACCACCTTCCATCAAGTGGGCCGTCTGCTCGTTTGCCACTTTTAACATAAAAAAAAAAAGACTAAGAACATTATACAATTGCAATACTCACTTGTAAACTGGCAACAATATAGGTAACGGTCTTGTCAAATGAGGCGCGACTTCCAGCATATTGGCCCGTTCGTGTAACGCTTCTTTGACCATTTTGTATTGTTCATAGTCGAGCTGCATTATAGCCTTCTGCAAGTAACGTACGCCGCCGTGAATGAGTTTCGTTGATCGACTCGATGTACCGCTGGCGAAGTCGTCAGCTTCAACCAAAGCTGTGCGAAGACCTGTAAATAAATTTAATGTTAAATAAGGTTGAGACAAGACATAGTTAACAGTACCGTAGGTACGTGAGTGCTGGAAAAATTCAAAATATATTTAAATGAAACTAATATTTTTAGGATATAATACGCAACTTTATTTTTGATAAAAACAACATACTCCCGATGTTTCGATTACTTTTCAGCAATCGTGATCACGGGCAGACGAGACGGTTGCTGAAACGTAGCCGAAACATCGTGAGTATATAAGTTTTTATCAAAAATAAATTTGCGTAGTATATCCGCAAAATAATAGTTTCATTTTAATTAATAAGAAAAAATCTTAGACCTCATTATAAAATATATTTTCTCCTTACCTCTGGTGGTAGCGTCGAGCGCACAACCGGCTCCAGTGGCGCCACCTCCTATAATGAGTACATCATAAGTGTGTCCCGCTTGAAGATTTTTGACTTGGTCCGTACGCGAGGGTAAAGGACGCTTCCTACGCTCGGACTTAGCTGCGACTGTTGTCGATTTGTACCACGACTGGAAAATATATATAAACATATACAGGGTGACTGGTGAATTACTATCAATATTTAAGGAGCATACTCGGTACATGATTCTCATTCGAATTATGTAAAAAAAATAGGTACTTAATTTTTGACCAAATTTCCGTATAAATAAATAAAGTGTGTACACGTTCCAAGTGTTCCAAGTGTGGACGCGTGCGGCGGCGTGCTGATACAACAACACGCCGCCGCGCGCGTATGTGTGAGTGTGTGTGTATACCTAATCTGTAGGGTGTTCATACGATGTGTAATTAATTACATAACTTTTGGTTACCTTTACTTAGAAGTTTATTAATATTTATGTTATATTAATTTTTATTTCGTCATATATGATCGTCAAATATCACGTCCTCAAATATCGATAGTAATTCACCAGTCACCCTGTATATTACTTCCCTAAAAATATACGATGTCATAAAAAAAATTGTGCTTGGAATTTCTAAGCGAGGAAGAAGTGAAACTACGTAATGTCAAAATGAAAGAAGGAAAGGGTAGAATTTTTTTTTTTTTTGTGAACTCATATTGTTTTTTATGGCAAACTTTATGAAAATTGCTAACAATTCGCAACTGACCCACCCATCTACTCCGGCTCTGTCTCTTTCTATTCCCCGTCCAGAAGCGTTAAACGTTTAACGCAACCTTATTGGAAGTCGCATTAGAAGTTCACTTCAAAAAAATTCTTCCACTCAAAAATATCCGTTAATAGTTGATAGTATAACATAAGGTACAGTAAAACATTTACAACCATCAATTAAATTCCCCGATATATATAAAGTATAACATACAATAAAACTACAAACTGTTACTATGTAATAAAATAACTACGATTATTCACTCACAATGGGATTATAGTGATATCAGTTTTATGACATTTAATTAGATTCTGATATAACATATGATAAAGTGGAACACGTTTATTCCGTGTGCTCTACGAAGCCATCCTACTAATATTATAATTGCGAAAGTTTGTGAGTGTGTGTGTATGTTTGTTGCTTCTTCACGCTCAAACGGCTGAACCGATTTTGATAAAATTTTGTATACAGGAAGCTGACGTCCAGGAATGACACATAGGCTACTTTACATACCGGAAATCCGTATTTAATAATATATTGTATGTATATGGAATACTTACTCCTGGCCTGTCGTCAGCCGAGAGAGCCCACGCCGTGACTAAGGCACCGGCTGCCCCGGCACCATACACCACCAGCTTCCTCCGCGACATCTGGAATATATCACTGGGATATTAAAAGAAAATACAAAATCACATCTAAGATTTACGTGACCATTCACGAGCATGCGAGATCACGATTGCTACATAGTAAACGAAATATCGGAAATTTGTCGTCAAAAATAAGGAACGTAGTAAATCAGAATAATATTAGTTTTATTTCATGAAATTACAATAATAGATACGACTTAAGTATATGTATATGAAATTTGTATATGTTATAATAAGACATTAAGTTTATTAGCAAAATTCATAACACCTGTTTTATATAATGTAAATAAAAACATAAATTAATATTTCACAATAAAATATCCTATTTTAATATTTTTATACTAGCCTTTGACCACGGCTTTGCTGGTTATAATTCGGATACTGCATTATGAAGCTGTTATTCTTTTATATTTCTTCGAAATTGAGAGTAACTTACTTAAGTTAGGTTAAGTATGGAAAGTTACTCATGAGTTAAGATAAGAAATTTCTAAGATAGAGCCCTTAATGTTTCCGATAAAAGTCCCATTAAAATTCAAACAGTCATTCCAAACATTTATGACAGATTTTAAAACGTATTTATGACACAATATACAGTTGTATAATAATAAAATAATCCCATTTATTATTTTTATATAATAATATTATCAATTATATAATAATTAAAAAGTTTTTGTGTATATTGAAGTGACATTTTAATATTTTGGGTCAAATTATAAACCGGAAGATGTTGACCCGTCGCGGTCAAGGCTACTCTTGTCACGAGTCAATGACGTTGACAGTTAAATTGTCCGATAATTTTTTAATGTACTTGATTGAAGGTATTCAACCTTCAAGTTTGTAGAAATAAAACAAAAGACATATAAAAGTAAAAATAGAAAATGTTCATATCACTTAAAATGGGATTTTTTATGTAATAAGTAAATATATGAATAAACGTGAATAGGAGTTAAATGCTTTAACAAACCCCTACAAATTACTCGTTAAATTATATTTATACGAATAAGATAATTAGATGTTTTTAATTAGATGAATTCCTAGAAAAGAGTGAATGAAAAATTCATCGACTTTCGACTCTTTTGTGTATGTTTTATATGAATTTTAATACAAGAATTTCATTCGACATTGCTTTACCGTTAAAAATATAGGTATTAAAATCTTTCCTCTTGCCTCGATAGCCTACTTATTCTGTAAAATTTTGAATATTTTACACTTTTCTTTCTCTGAACAATACTTGCAGGTAAATAGAGCACGACCTACATAAGGCCTTCACTAAAAATAAATACTTATGGAAGCATGAATGAATAAAATACACTCGTATATATTTTGAGAAACATTAAATTTTACAGCCTTTGCTCATAAAGGTCATCAACTTGCTTATAGGAAAATCGAACCAATGCAGGTACTCTTTGCAATTAGATAGTTTTGTACTTATAGATTGATAAACGGTGGTCGTTCAATTAAAATAATATTTTTGAATAAATATTAGGGGATCAAATTAACTATGCAGCTTGAATAAAATTAGTCTTATACATCGACACATATGTCTATCTGTTTATACAACCTTTATAAGTATATCATCACAAAATGACGTTTATTATGTAATGTACATAACTACAAATTACGGTTCATTGAATTTTTCCTTCATTTCTGGTCGAGATATTGCTTCTTGACAAGTCTCGTGATTCAGAGGGAAATCCGTTGCAGTTTTTAATTTCCTCGCGAACATAACATTATGCACAATGTAAGGAAAATTAATAGCTATACCTAACTAATTTATTTAGACTTAGTAGTTCGTTTTTTTTTTCAAAATCGACATTTAAAAAAACATGTGCACAGAAACAAACGACCAAGGAGTCTGTAATAATTCCGTCGTAAAAGTTTTAGGTGTGCAACCCTACAATGAAATTATTATTTAATTAAACACAATAAAATATCTATATCATGCAACACTTGCCTATCACGAAGGACGCCATGCATGCAATTATTGACTTACATGTCATTTGAATGCGTCACATTTTACGTCTAATAACTTCTTACATAATACGCCTATTAATATAGTTTCCAATTAAATATAATAATAATAAAATAAATACCTACCTTCTATAATATTATTCAAACAATACAGATAATTATAAGAAATGTAGAAATAAAAATGTAGATTATATTAGATACTGGTTGATATCATTTATAGCTTTTTAACTGGTCTTCTTAAATTATTTTTTTAAAAATAGTGTGTGTATAATTCGTAATAACAAATACAGATTATAAAAAGATCGAATTAAGCTTCTGTATTTGACAGATAATTAAAATATTAATTACGATATTGTAAAACTAAGCAGACATGTTTAAGATTATTGCACCCGATGAGTGATTACACCGTTATCACTCATCAGTAGATAAAGTTGAACGAGCGAGTTTTATTAAATGATTATCACTTCCTATAACAGACTGATAAGAGGGAAACACGACCGTGAATAACTATTAGGTTTTATCTGAATCACACTTTTTATATACTAGAAGACACCCCCGACTTTGTCGACGTAAAATTGTGTTTTTAAAATTCAAGCGATTTAAATTAGAAAATAAATTAATCCTATTCTACAGCTAAATATTTACTTTTGTAAAAAAAAACCTTTTTCTGTTCTATTATCCGGAAGTTGAATGAGGTAGAAAAAATATATTTACTTTTTTCCTTTTATAGGTTTTATATTAATTAAATATAATAATAGAGTTAATGGTAAGTATCTTCATCATTTGTAATTATTGTTAAATGACAGACAATTACCCCAGATGTTTATAAAAGGTGAGAAATTAAAATTTATAATGCAGGTTGTTAAATTTTTTTATACATCCTTAGTAATATTTAAAGTGAATACAAAAACATTAAATAAAGAAGACAAATTAATTCCATAATTTGTATTAACATTGTAAGGAAGAATATTTTTCATTAAGTTATAATAATATAATAAGAGTTATAAAAATCGTAATCACGATACCATTACGTGAACATTTAAAAATATCACCGGAACGTACTCCCTAGTATACAACAAGGACGTTCGCGCGTCGTGTTAGTTATAACGCCATTGTTCTTAATTATGTCACAAATGTATCTTAGATTCTAAACGTGTTATATTTTTATTATGTATTATTTTGGCAGCATTGCAACTAATTAAGATCCAATTGCAATTGCGCCAAAAGCATTATAAGTGCCAAAATAGTTTTCATGAACTCTTTGGTGTTCGGTTGCGTTTGATTTGATCAAAGAACGAATATTATAAGCAGATGCATTTTACTATTTTATCTATACATCTCTCATCTTCAAAACAAATAGTATTTAAACTATATCACTACTTGTAACATTATTTTCAACTTCATTAATTGTTAAGTTTGTATCTTAAACATCTGTAAAACATTTTGAGTTTCTATGAAAAATAGTAGCTCCAATGTTACCTTCTCACCTTAGTGTGTGATAACAAGTTAATGGCTACTAGATTTTAGCTTATCTATTCTAAATAACTAGGCGTGGTATGTCGAGCCAAAACTGAAATAGACTGAGCGGACAGAAAACATTGTTGTAAGTTTATAATAGCCAAAGAGCTCAGGTGATCGATTTTGTTGTAGGTGATATAGAAAGGTAAAAACTAAAATAACATAACGTACTTACAACTTGACCTACTATACCGTAAGAATGACCTTGAGTATGACCAAAATGATGTCATATACGAGCGATTAGATTTAACTTTAAATGCTCGATATGTCCTTCCTTGTATCTCAGTTAACTTTGTACTAATTATAGTTAAAACTAACAAAAAAATATTTCTATGATGAAATATCAAAACAAATTAAATCACCTGATTTCTTTCATAAAGACAACCTTTTTAACAAAATAGAAGTAGCATTTGTGAGACTTAACATAACAGAAAAAAATTCAGGAATATCTTTTAATTATTTAATGTTAATAAATTTTTTAACTTAATGTTTAATTTACTGTTGTTGTATTTTATGAAAACATTTACCTTTTATAACGTTCGAGCAGAAGACGAAAAGCAAGGGCGCATTAGTTACTCATATAAATAAAAACTAATTTTACTCCACTAGGGCACTGAAGGACTTTTCCTATTTCAATTTCGATTTAAAATATATCCCACTCTATTTACTTATTTTATATTAACACATCACTTTTGAGTTACGAAGATTAAGGTTACATCACTATTAACTTTTATACATAATTCTAACTCTAGTCGTATGACGTATCAATTCGTTTGATGAGGCATCACTACAACAGTGAGAGACCTCAGGCAGCCCACTCCTAGAGCGACTGACTGACTATATTTATGTTAATGCGCATTATCTGTGTCGAGTGACATTCTAAGCTGAGTTTTTGACCGAGAGCGTAACGAAGCGATCAATGGAGATCTCGCAACTCGTTGCTAACTTCGTTTCGTTGTAGTGACCTCTATTGATTTTTTTAAGTTTAAAATAACATTAGTTTTTTTTCTCTTGGTATGTTCTTTAGATTCAGTTTTATTATTAGGAAAATAATGAAGATTATTTAAATATATCTTTACTTTGCCAATGTTTATGGTTTACAATTATATTATTTTTTTGAAATATAAATGAACAAAGATTATGTCCGCGTGGTCTTCGGTATTAATTTAAGAGAAAAGAATACTAGTACCTATTAATTATGTGTTCACCATTCATCAATGACATCTATCGTCTGTGTTATGCGACTTTATACTACATTAATGATAAAACTGATGATGATGTTGTAGTGCAGACTTCACGGAAAGTTTACTGTTTAACACATAAACTACATTGTTGAGCGCATTATAAATAATTTTGATAGCTGAAATAGATTAAACAGCAAGTACAATACCCACAAACATTCCATTTTATAAAAAAAGATTCAGATACGTAGTCACAAATAATCCTATTATCCAAATATACCCTAATGACTTATACATATAATCATGGAAAGTAACGTCAAAACTCCAGTCCGGCGCACTCTTTTAATATAAAACATCTTTTAATGTTAAACCATAATATTTTTATCCTTGTTTTTCTTAAAAGTTTATTGATATTATTTGAAAAATTATAATTATTTAATGTAACAACAATCACTTTTTATCATGCATATTTAAATTTACTGTCTAAGGTAAATGAGACAAAAATCTAAATATTTTCCATTTTCCTTATACAAGAGGAAGCCTCTCCCATTATCTTTTTCATTTCCACGTCTTAGACAAACAATCCTAACCGCACTCATGAAATCAAATTAAATTTGTTAAAATTAATATTAAATCTCAATGAGTTAAACTTTTGAAGTTACAGTTTATGATAAAACTGATATTACAATTAAATTTAAGCACCAATAAAAAGCAGACAATAAAGTAATTTAAAAAAAGGAATCTTAAAATTAATATTTGTGAAGATACTTAATGAATTTATATTAAATTCTAATAAGGATTTTACAATCTAGTAATAAAAAGTAAAATAGATTTATATATTTTATTGAGATTAAGTTAAGTAATTTTGTGACAATTCAATCACTTTTCCTTCTTCTCCGAAGACAAAGAGTTGTAGAGCTTGGTGATTTCATTGACGATGACGCTCTGAACAACAGTTCCGTTGTTATCAATGTAGTTAGCAAAGGATTTGTTTACGGTCGCCTCCCGGGTTTTGCCGTTAGCATCACGCATTACTAGAACAAGACTGTATTTGTCATCGTGCCTGAAAATAAATAGAGTTTGTTAAAAAACATAATTAATTAATATGCTTAAGACATGGTATTAATGCCATCAACATATAATGAGATTTAAGATTTTCGCGAGTATTAATTTAAATGAAACTAATATTTTTCGGATGTACTACTATTTTTGTGTGACGGGCACACATCTTGTCTGCCAGTGATCATGGTTGCTGTAAAATAACCGAAATGTCGGGAGTATGTAGTTTGTATCAAAAATAAAAAATTACGTAGTACATTCGAAAAATATTAGTTTCATTCATCTGTATATAATATTTTTTAATTACAAAAGCCATAATTGAGATATTTCAGCAACAGCAACATATATCTATATGTTAATTGACTTATCATAATAAAATTAACAATTTATATGTGGTAATTTTTTAGTCTCCATAAAAGTAACATACTGTTATTTATTAAGTAGAGATTATTTTGTCAGCAAATGTCTTTTATAATATTTTTCCTGTACATTTTGATGTCATGTGTTCAGCATTGTCCTCATAAATTTTATAGTATAGCACATTTATAAAAATATTGTATTTATATTATAAATATTGATAATAGTCAAAAAGAGACATATTTTTTAAGTTACTACATTTTTTACCCTTCAGTAACCTTCATTGGTTATATGTGAATATTATATTATATGGATCCTTACTTCTTAACATAAGAGCTTGCTTCCCAGACTCTTGAGTTGTTTCCTGTTTTCTCTTTAGCCACAACAAAAATGCCCTTTTCTTTGAATGTTGTGTATAAAGTTAAGATGCTCATTAAAATAAAATATGAGGACACACAGATGATAAGGACGAGCCTGAAAAAGATATAATAAATACATTGTGAAAGAAAGAAAAGATAAATATAATCTTGTATGAAATATGATATTTATTGAACTATCTTATTGTATACATAACTTCTTAAGAAAATTCCCCCAAAGAAATAAAGAAATCCAAGAATCCATTTTTAAAACTAAAATTATTTTTAATAAAATGCTATACAATTTTCTTTTTTCATACTTTTGTCTATCTATCTGTTGATTCTGTTTAGTCTCTGAAATAGGAAGACCAATTTTGATGGGATTAGGAGGAATAACTCAAGGTACTTTCATTTAAGAAGTTATTTTAATTAAAATACATAATAAAAATACAAAACAACTTAGATAAATTTTTGGCAGTGAGGTATTTTTAGAAGATTGTAAGTATAATTGACAATTATTAATATTGTGTACATCAAAAATAAATAATAAAGTAAAATGTGTATGTAATGAATTAACTCACTTGGACTGCGGGAATGGATACAGATAGTCCCAGAGTAAAGCATAAAGGGCCACTCCTACAGCCAGGGCGCAGAGAAATAGACGGCCATCAATCAGAGCAAAACTCTCCTTACATTTCAGCTCACCGGTAAACACCTAGATAAATATACAGGCTTTGTTTAAAGTGAATTATAACTAACAACAAGATTATAGATTAAGTCAGTTATGGCCTAGTGGTTAAAGGGCCCGCCTCTTGTTGCCGAGGGTGCGGGTTCGTTCCTGGCCCGGGCAAGTACCAATGTGATTTTTCCGAGTCATATGTACTTTCTAAGAGTATTTAGACATCACTGATTAATGCTGATTCCCAAAATGGGGTTGATGTCAGGCAGGTGGCGGGTCGTAAAAACAAATAGCCAAAACTGTTCACAATATGTAAGGCAGACCCTGGCTAAAGCTGGGAAATTGCCAGGTAGAAGAATAACTAACAACAAGATGTTGTTTAAAAATATTTGTATATATAATCTAACTTTTTGTTTTTAATATATTTGTTGGGAGATAAATAATTATTATTGCCAGTTATTTACCTCTCTGATCGCATCATCGATAGCATTTTTAGCAGCGGCTCCATCCCATTTGTTAATTTTAACAACCTGAAATGTAATTTTATTTTGTAATACAAACCAATGATTGATATATTTTTTGTAATTTTTTTTACTTCATTCAGTTCCAAAGGATCATAAATTATATTTTAAGAGATCCCATTGGCGTATTTCTTAGACAAATCACATAAAAAGTAGATACTTCATAGAAAAAGTACAAAACATTTTTCTCATATATTTCAATTACTAAATAAAATTTTGTTGGTTATGTATTTTATTTATTTTTAAATACAACGCTTATAGTTTAAATTAATGTTAATATTAGTATATTATTATAATATCTCAATACGGCAACAAGAAAGCATAAGTATCGTAACAGTGACGTGTCCATAAATATTTGTGACAATTTTAAAACATAACTTAGTTTATACCTCTGGTGTTTCGTTCACCATTGCTGCGATTTATATGTTCAATTGAACAGGTTTAATAGAGATTACTTGTTTTTACAATTTTCACTTATAACAGACTTCGCAATCCGGCTATGTAAATGGATTGCAAATGTCGCTTACTGACATTTGCGGTTTGACGTTGATTATTGATAATTTAAGCCAAAAACATGGCCAACACACGTCATCAGCTTCTTAAAGCACAGAATAAATCAGAAATATGGTTTAATACAATTTAAAAAATACGAATGATATTTAAAATATACTGATAACTATATGTGGTACATTCAGAAATATATTTTGCTGGAAAAGTGGTGTATTGTATATAGTTCATAATATTAAGCAAATATTTACCAGCCTTTGTTACTATGTAGATTTTTTAAGTAATTATTATTTAATGAGAATAATACTTGCTTATAAATGAGTTGAATAATAATTTTAAAATTAAACGTAAAGATATTTTTTTAACTAGTGACAATTCTTACGTAAAGTTGTGACTTACGAACGGAAACCAAGTCTCACAACAAATTTAATGATGGATGCCAATAAAAAGTAATGGATTTATAAAAATGAAATTGTTGTTTGTAGCATTTTAATTTTATTGTGTTAAAAACTTGTAAGTATTGTGTGATTTTGTGGTACATTATGATAACGATCCCATTGAAAGTCGATATATATGATGATATGTAGTCAATTCAATTAATAATACTTTATAGGGACGACAAACCGGGTGTTACGCTTAGTGGTTTTACAAATAATTGTAAGACTTTCCTGTACACATATCTTGACTGAAAGAATAATTTTGTTGATTGATGATTATAATTTTAACTACGTTTACAACACAACAACAGTGTGGCATTGACAGACAAGTAACGATCGAAGGAGGTCAATGTGTCTGCCGTATATTTTGCTGGGCATGTTTCTTAATTGCATGTCTTTGCTTTTGTTTACAGGTTGTCCAAAATGGCAAAGAGGAGGAAGCCCGCTAATGGCGTCCCCTCGCGTAGATCTAGTCGACGCGGTAGGCAGGGAGAAGGAAGTATCGCTACAGTCGGTCAGCCTTCTACTTCTAATGGACCTACTCCTGAAACGGCCACTGAAGATAAACCACCTTTAGAAAATATGAATGAAATCTCAACTGAGCAAGGGCCTCTTATAAACACTCTAGATTTAACCACAAAGCTAAGCCAAAGTAGTGCAATGCAGCCTGTTGTAGCCTTACATAAGAAATTTGGCAAATACAGGTGTCTATTCAACGGTGAGGATGGGTCTATTAAAAGATATGAAATAGGTAGTGAAAGTGAAACAAACAGTAATGAAGAGATAAGAGTCATTGATTTATGTACTGGCTCGGAATCAGATTCTAATGCTGCATTGGATATTCAGTCTGATACAGTAAGTGGAGCATGCTCTAGTCCTTTAGACTCCCCCATTGACCATTCTCAGGATAATGTTGGTGAACCTAAACCTGATGAAACCGATAAAACATCAGAAAATGAGAATACTGTTGAAAAAGTTCCTGAAAGCTCAATTAATCTTGAGGTAAGTATAGAAACTCCAACAGAGATAGAAATTAATGTTCCAGAAGAGGAACAGACTGAAGAAGTGCAAACAGAAGTAGTCAATCATAATGAAAATGAAGAAGTGGATCAAAATAATCAAGAAGTAACACTGGAAGAACAATTAGAGTATGGGGATGATGATGAAGTTATTACTATAGTGCAAATTGTTGAAGATGACAACGCTGAACTTTATTATAATATAAATATTGGAAGCCCGAAAGAGGAAGAACCAGCCGAGGATGTGAATACTGAGGAAAATAAAGATGCGGAATTCCAAAAGGACTTTGCGATGCTAAATATTGTTAATGTAGACTCTAATCCAAATTCACCCATGGAGTGTACAGAAATCCATGACTTAACAACACCTCCTTGCAGTACACCAGATCCACAGTCAATAACGGAATCATTGACAAGACCAGACCCAAGCCTTACACCAAGTTCCACTCTCTCTGACGATAGCAACTGCTCTCGGGTCACCGAACCCACAACTAATAACTCTAACGATTCATCAGAGTCTTCACCGACTGGAGTTAGAAGATCGAGTCGTATAAAAACTATAACTACTATGAAACAAAAGACAAAAGGATATGGTTTGGTCAAGACTCCATTAAAGAAAGCTTTGATAACACAAACCAAATTGAAATTGGAGGAATTAGGGTCTGACAGTCAGGAGAAAATGGAATTACAGAATCATGCCAATCCTTTGACATTCCCCATTCCATCAGAGATGCCGGTTAAAGTCAAATCTCGATGGCGTAGGTCTAGCGAGCTAGAAATGGGTGCGAATTCTCCGGCCAATTCCCCACTTGCCAGCCCAAGTCTGCCTCAAAAGTTACCCCTTCTGGAGGAAGTTCCAAAAGTCGAGGAGGACATTGTCGAAGAACCATTGAGTAAAGAGGCTTATGATAAGATAATTGAAGAAAGAATGAGTCAGTACCAGCATTTGGATGAAAATGAATATCTGTGTGAGAGAATGGTTAGTAGGGAAACAAAGAAAATGATCTGTGATTGTTTTATGACTAAAGAAGAGTTGGAAAGAGGGGAGCTAGCTTGTGGTGAAGATTGTTTGAACAGACTGCTCATGATTGAATGGTAGGTCCTTAAACTTTCATTATAATTTCATGTTTATTTTGTGATATCTTCGATATTTGACAAATATTTTCAGTAATTCAAGATGTCCAGTTGGAGAAAGATGTACAAATAGAAGGTTTCAGAAAAAGGAAAATGGACCTTTGAAGGTATTTTATGCTGATAAAAAAGGCTGTGGTGTCGAGGCTACTTCAGATATAACAAAGTAAGTTCATCAACTAAATTAATAATTATTAAACTAAATTGTACATATTAAGTTGTAAAAATATTAAATTTAATGATCACTAGAAGCTATGATTCACTTATTAATAAGAATTAGTTTGCGAAGGCTTATTTTACTTTTAAAATAAAGCAAAAGCGAATTTTTTATCCATAATAATATTAAAACTGATGAATATATTAGAAATAATTGAATTGTTATACAACTATATTATAATGTGTTCATTACAATGATTTTTTAGTTATCCATTGTTTAAAGTTATATATTTAATTCAAAAACCTTGAAACATTTTATCTTTATGTATGATATCCTTAATTTTTTCGTTTTATTTGCAGTGGCGAATTTTTAATGGAATATGTAGGCGAAGTGCTCGATTACGACCAGTTTTACAAGCGCGCTCAGGCTTACTCAGACGACAACAACTTACATCACTATTTCATGTCGTTGAAAGGCGACACAGTCATCGACGCGACGCTGAAAGGGAACATATCGAGGTTCATAAACCACTCGTGTGAACCAAACGCTGAGACACAGAAGTGGACGGTCAACGGAGAACTGAGAATAGGGTTCTTTAGTAAAAGGGAAATCGCTGCCGGAGAGGAAATCACTTTTGACTATCAGTTCCAAAGATTTGGGTGAGTTATTATGGATTAAATATATTCTTTGTTCCATAATTAGGTGTATACATATATTCTATTTGTTGTGTAGAAAAGTAGCGCAAAGATGTTACTGCGGTGCAGAAAACTGTCGTGGATGGATAGGTGCGGAACCGGACTCTGATGACGATTATGATGAAGAGGTATTATACTCACCAAGTAATTTTTTATACCAAACCAGTATTGTTTTAATATAAATCGTAATTCCAGGAGGAGGAAGACGTAACAACCTCAAAGTCGGGCACTTCAGAATCCTCTGAAGATAAGCATGCTGTGAGCGCTGCAGACCAGGTCCGACCGAGGGTACGGAAACCCAAGAGAGACAGGAAGTATAAACCTAAGTCTGGAGACTTAGTACAAGACGCTGATGTGAGTAATAACTATATACATGCTATTTCTCACTAAAACACGCCCACCTATAATATAAAAATTCATAAATTTCAGATCGAGGAGGATCTAGAAGCGCTCGGTCGTACCGGTATTAAGAATCAGGCTCACACGCTGCGATTGTCACGTACGGTGGTCCGCGCTAAAACAAGACGCGCACAGACCGCCCTGCTGAGACTATTGAGAGACGCGCACCTCCCGTGCCGCAGACTGTTCCTTGACTACCGCGGGCTGAGGCTACTGGCGCCCTGGTGTAATGACGCTCCTTTGAACTTCAAGTACGTACATACATTCTGTTATACTGCTATCTCTATCTATCTCTACTAAGTCAGTGGTGGCCTAGTGGTTAAAGGGCCGCCTCTCGTTGCCGAGGGCGCGGGTTCAAACCTGGGAAGTACCAATGTGATTTTTTGGAGTCATATGTACTTTCTGAGAGTATTTAGACACCACTGACAGATGGTGAAGGAAATAATCGTGAGGAAACCTGGACTTATAATTTCACAATTACAAGTTTGAAATCACGAACCCGTCTTGAGCAAGCGTGGTGATTAATGCTTACCTTCTCCATGTGAGAAAGAGGCTTTTGCTCAGCAGTGGGCTCTGATAGGCTGATGATGATGATGATGCTATCTCTATTTCCTTATATTATTTTCACCTAATTTTATGGTGTATATTACTTGTTTCAGATTGGAAATGCTCCAAACTGTTGATCGTCTACCGATCACCAATAAGACTATGGTCCAAGAGAGTCGTTTCTTCACGATCGTGGAGCGATGGCTCAGCTCCTCGGACGCTCCTCCTGAACCCGTCTTCATTGATGAGGCCACTGGTTAATATTATTTAATAATATATTATAGAAATATCGTTTCTACCGCTCAGGGTAACCATAGATTATGAAATTTACGTGATATTTTAGGCTTGCCAGTAGAACTTCCGAGAGCAACTCCAGAAGAACCCGTCACACCAGAGAAGACAAAAGAAAATGCAGCAATGTCTGAAAAAGTTAAAGATCTCTGTAATCAAATGCTTGAAAGGTGGTCCAGTTTAAAGGTATGTGTGTTTTAGGGGAGTGTCTCTGTTAAAAGACTTATAAGCATATGATATGACTGCTTTTTGGTTTGTCTTCAGGAAGTCTTTAAGATACCAAAGAAAGAGCGGATACAGCAAATGAAAGAACATGAGAGGCAAGCAAACGTCGAGAGGCGAGCGGCTGATTCGAGCGGCACGAGAGATAGAGATAGAGAACGGGATAGAAGGGACGAGAGGGATAGAGACAGAGATAGAAGAGATGAGCGGGATAGAGAGAGGGACAGGGACAGAGATAGAGAGAGGGAGAGAGACAGGGACAGAGACAGGGAGAGGGAACGGGAGAGAGAACGAGAGAGAGACAGATATAGAGACAGAGACCGGGATAGAGATAGAGACGACCGGGATAGGAGAAAACGGAGAAATAGTCCGGAGGGAGGACGGCGCAGCATAAAGTACTATAATTATACATATAAATGATATAATAACATTTATCTACATCATAATACTAATATATTGATATGTCCATAGACTGAGCGAGCGAGTGTTAGCGGCGGTGCCTCCTATAAGTAAAGAGGAGCGGCGACGCGCGTTCGCTGAGGCTGCGGCCGCCGCTGACGAGAGCAGGAGGCAGAGGGAGAGGGAACACGCGCAGGCCTGGCACTACACTCACTGGCCGCAGGAGGCGTTCGCACAGGTTATATACACACACACACACACATATATTTAGATACAAGAAGACCCGGCGAACTTCGTATCGCCCTATAATCAAGAAATATCTGTTACATTTCTTATTTATATTTTTTGAGTTTACCTATTAATGCCACAAATCTTCGTGTTTTGAAGTGCGACAGAATGATTGACATATTAGTTAGTTGTCAAATCTAATGTCAAAAAAAAATTATTAAAAAAAAGTTGTCCAGCGGAAAAAATTGTGAATCTAAACCATTCCCAGCTCCCCTTGAACACACACAAAAAAATTCATCAAAATCGGTCCAGTCGTTAGAGAGAAGTTCAGTGACATACACACAGAAGAATTATATACAGGGTGACTGGTGAATTACTATCGATATTTGTGGACCTGATATTTGACGATCATATATGACAAAATAAAAATTAATATAACATAAATATGAATAAACTTCTAAGTAAAGTTAACCAAAAGTTATGTAATTAATTACGCATCGTATGAACACCCTACAGATTAGGTATACACACACGCACACACAGACGCGGCGGTGGCGTAGTGTTGTATCAGCACGCCGCCGCACGCGTCCACACTTGGAACACTTGGAACGAGTCCACACTTTATTTATTTATACGGAAATTTGGTCAAAAATTAAGTACCTATTTTTTTTACATAATTCGAATGAGAATCATGTACCGAGTATGCTCCTTAAATATTGATAGTAATTCACCAGTCACCCTGTATATAAAGATAGGATAAACTATATGAAAGTCTGTAAACATTATAGAGTTTGGTAAACTTTAGCTAATATTTATTTAGATTAAATCTCGTAGCATTCCTTTGATTCACCGTTGGGTGCCGGGACACTAATCGCAATATTTTTTAATAATTCTACTTCCTATCTTGTTCATCCCTTACACATGATGTGAGACTCACCTTCTCTTTAGTACGTGTCTCATCATTTCTTCAATCATTTTCGTTTCTTTGATAGAAGATCGCTCCGTCATGAATTTGTCTCCTTAAGATAATAATCTTTAATGGTCCAATTTAAACTACTTTTTAATGCTAAAGGGCAATTCTTTTATTAGAATTACAATTACAATTTTTACAAAGAAGTCTAGCATCGGCTTGAAGTTTTATACATTTCCATTTTCGTCTGGAGTTAAACAACCTTGTAGCTGCTTCTGAATGGTTTAGGCAAAAAAATACTTTCCATTTATTGTACCAAATTGATGTTCAAAACAATATTTAGAACATCCTGTCGTTTGTTAATCTTAAGTATTACAGTCACTGGAATTATCTTTACATATTGTTTTACTGAAATATTTTTTAATAGAAATTATTTTGAATTCGACGAAGTTTTGAAGGTCACTTAGTGATATGAATATGAAATGATCGGTTACAGATGTTTCCTCAAGGCATGATGGGTAATGGACCGAATATGATGGGTAGCGGACCGAACATGATGAACGGCGCTCCGAATATGTTAGGGGGAGGTCAGAATATGATGGGTGGACCTAATATTATGGGGCAGATGGTACCTGGGATGTTACCTGGAGTCATGCCTTCAGAGGTCTCCAATGAATGGATAGGTCCCAATGGAGAATTTCAAGGCCCTCCCGGGTTTTGTCAGCCGTTCCCTGGACCACAATCGTTTTGTCTGCCTCAGTCTAAGTAAGTTGTATTCAATAGTTTCTACCACAATAATTATATTCTAGAAACTATAATAATTCAACGTCCAAAAAATAATATTTTGTAATTTGTTTTTGATCGTCAGTATGATGGGTCTACCCGGTTTCGGTATGGGTGGTTTTATGTTCGGTCAACAACTGCCAGGCGCCTTCCCGCCGACGCAACCTGCTCTACAACAACCACAGCAACCACCGGCGCAACCTCAGACTGTCACAGATAATATAACGGTAGAGTACAAAAACATTAAAGAAACCACTTAATGTACATATAAACAAGTAGAAGGGCACGATAGCTTAATTGTTAAAGCGACTGAACATTCCAGAGGTTCCAGGTTCAAATCCTGTTTGTGTCAAAATTATCAATTCAAGAATAAATGCGATTGACTTTATTTCTGTCATCAATTATTTTGATTAATAATGATATAAATGATCATTATTTAAAACAGAATTTAATCGCATACATCCTAGTGACGTATACTATTGATATTGATTGAAATAAAATCACAATTTATCATTTTAGATTTATTGAAATTTACCAGATGTTATATTAAAATCGACCTTCAGACGTGTTCATTAGATTATATTATTGGTAGAAATTTTATTAGTTGTATACTACATCAGGAACTCCATATAACGTAATATATTTCAGGAGTCGGGTGGCGAGCCTGTCCTGCCGTCGATGTGGCGAAGCGCCGTGGACGGTCGAGGTCGTCGCTATTACTACCACGTGAAGCTGAGACAACCACAGTGGCTGCCACCGCCACCACCACAAGGTATAGAAAATAATTAAAAATATATGATAAACAATATTTGTAGGCCTAACATTATCAAGTAGATCTGCAGGATGATGCTAGTTAATAAATGTCAATGAAATACTTGCAGAGGAAAGTTCGTCTGAGGAGGAAGTGGAGCCCATGACCGCCCTGGAGTCTGCTGTGATCGGCAGACCGGTTAAAGGGAAACTTGTTGAGGGGGTCAACGGTATATATGAAGGTAACACCGGCTTCTACTTATATTTTTATTAACATTAGTATTTTTATATAAAATAAACAGATATATAAAATTTATAAATTACTGCAAAATAATTTTGAAAACGTCAAAATAATGATTTCATGTAAATTAATATCTGGTACTGGTTTTAATTAATATCTGAGTCATCAATCTTACCTCATAAAGTTTATTACATATCGTCGGGGATAGTGAAAACCCGCGTACTACCTAGTGGAGTGCCGTAAGGTTTATACCTCGGAATCCAGGGCCAGTCAATGAATCTTAATATAAACCTTGAAAACATGTTTTTAATAGTATAAAGAAAAAAGTTACAAAATAATTTAAAAAAAAAAAAAAATTTTAATTTTTTTTTAAATTTTTTGGTTTTTTCATTGATTTATAGAAGTGACAAAGATAGAGAAACTTGCTTTGACAGAGTGAGATAGCATTAGGGACCCATATGGGTCAATTAGCGTGGGGTAATTTATTTATTTCTCTTTACTGAGGTCATAAACGATGTTTATGAGTTTTCCAAATATTAAACAATAGACGTCTTTAGCTGTTACCCTGCATAGAAAATTTGGCTCCAAAAAAAATATAGAAATATGTAACGCTTTGGGCTTTTGTGGATCATACAAAAGAAGCAATAATCTATGAAGCTTCTGCAACCTTTACAGATTCTGTGAAAATAAAACCAGGTACTTTTGTACAATTTGTGCACGATAACGCAGATTTCAACGTCAACACACTGGATGGCAAAGGTACTTTCCATAATTTGGGTTTGATTGAAATCGTAACTCCGAGCGATGGAATACTAACTAGAGAACCAATTAAACGTTTAGATAAAATTCCAAGAGAGACAACCATTTCCGAACATGGTCATATACCGCTTCAAGTATATCCTGCTTCTGCCGGTGAAGGATTGAGAAAACTTCAAATCAAAATTTCGAAGGAAGAACCAAATTTAACCCCTACAATTCCCTCAAAACTAAACTAATAATGAATTCCCAGGATGGAACGGATTTATGAATCTGTTAACTAGTGCAAATGGTTTTGACACTTCGTCAATAATATTCTTACCATTAATTAACGCATCTCCAAGTGATTATAATACTTTGTATACGGAGATGAAAACATCAGTAGAAAACGCACAGTCGTGAAATATGAAGACATGCATTGTAAGTTTTGATGAACCTTTGTACATTAAATCGCGATAACTTCAGCGGTATGTTTATCAGATGAAACGTTTACTGTTGTCAGATTGGGTTTTTTTCATACGCTAATGTCCTATATGGAATCTGTTGGTTATATAATGGCCGGAAGTGGAATTAAGAAGTTCTCTCTACGATTTATGCCACAAATACAATCGATCATATCATGTCAGGACGAGCATATGCTAGAGCGGTAGGTGCACTTATACTTCTGCAGCTAGCTTTATCAAGATTAATTTTCGGTGATCTATTAAAAAATAATTCGGATTTCAAAACTGTCATTGCTGATCAAACGAATTCCAATATTTTTGAAATGTTTAATTATACCGAAATAACAGAAAATATTGGATTTCAAAGTTTAAATGAAATTTTCGAAAAAAAATTATATGATTTAGAGAATAAAAAAGAAACGTCCAGATTATGGATCAGCTATTTTCAAATAGTATCAGTACTAAAAGATTTTATTGCAGCTGCACTAATCCTTCACCTACAATCTATATCGACGAGATCGACGACGACGACAATAATGATGTGACAATGTGTATAGTTAATAATATATTTTTTTGTAACTTATTTTTAACAATAATAAATAAAAATTGTAGTTAATCTGAACATATTATTTATTACAAATAAAATTGAATTAAGAGGTTTTAATAATGCAGTCTCATACTTGATATACAGATTCATTGACTGGCCCTGGATTCCGAGGTTTGTCCATTTTTATGTCTTACGGCACTCCATTAACCATTGCAAGCAGATTCTCAGAAGAATGTTTAAGCTAAAGTATTTTCTATATTAACGATTTTTAAAGTATTTTTTCACAATTAGTAATAAATTAAACACAAAATTATAACTAAATGTAAATTACATAAATTTTTGTTTTAATCTTCAGTTATCAAAGAGGAACCCCAGAACGGGCTCATTCCAGACCACGCCTTACTCAACATGAAGCCGCGCAAGAGAAGGCCCGGTTTGGTCACTGAGAGGCCTATCAGTGTAAGATTAAATAACTATCTTATAATACACATTAGTAGTATTGATTGGGTGAAATTGACGCACATCTATCTAAACATATTATGTATAAAAGTTATATTATGTATACAGGGTGACTGGTGAATTACTATCAATATTTAATGAGCATACTCAGTACATCATTCTTATTCGAATTATGTAAAAAAAATTGGTACTTAATTTTTGACCAAATTTCCGTATAAATAAATAAAGTGTGTACACGTTCCAAGTGTGGACGCGTGCGGCGGCGTGCTGATACAACAACACGCCGCCGCGCGCGAGTGTGTGTGTGTGTATACCTAATCTGTAGGGTGATCATACGATGCGTAATTAATTACATAACTTTTGGTTAACTTTACTTAGAAGTTTATTAATATTTATGTTATATTAATTTTTATTTTGTCATATATGATCGTCAAATATCACGTCCTCAAATATCGATAGTAATTCACCAGTCACCCTGTATAATAATAATAATAATAAAGCTTTATTTATTCCATCCATAATAATACTTCCATGCATAATAATTATTATAACATTCGATTGTAATTTAATACCCTAACTAGATTTGTTTACATTATAACATTTTTTTTTAATAATAATCTGATTTTCATAAATTGATATGATAATTCATTAATTATTTTATATTTAATCAATAATTAATTAATGCATGGACCCCGTTCGGGTAAAAGCCTCCTCCAAGGAATGCCATACTTCTCTGTCATGTTATATAATTATATGTTTATATAATTGTTTGAATATATATTATCATATACAAATTGGTTCCCCACAGCCGAGAACCGAAGAAGATAAGTTGGCCGGACGTATGGAGGTGAAGAGATACAAACAAACCAAAGAGAAGTTACGCAGAAGAAGAGAGAAGTTGTTGCAGAAGGTGAAGATGTTGACTGACAGGAGAAGGAAAGATATGAAGGTATGTATTACTATCCCTACTTAATATTATAAATGCGAAAGTAACTCTGTCTGTCTCTTTGTTACGCTTTCATGCCTAAACCACTGAACTGATTTTAATGAAATTTGGTACAGACAGAGTTGACCTTGAGAAAGAACATATGATAGTTTTTATCCCAGACTTGTAAGGTTCTCTTGAAAACGCGATATAACCGAACTCCACGCGGGCGAAGTTGCGGGCGGATAGCTAGTTATAATATAAAATACAATAATGGTTCAAATGACTGATTAGATTTGTCATTGGTAGTGTATAGTTAGTAGTATTGTATCTGGCCATTTAAAGAATGATAATACTAAAATTGACATCCTAGTTAAATCAGGCTATTTATATAAGATGGTATTTAAAGCTAGTACACATTAAATTAACACTATGTTATTGTGTAGGATTAATATCAATGTATTTTGTATTAATATATATTTATAGCTTATGTTTTTTAAATATACAAAGAAGCTTTATATTACTACCTAGTACATAATGAACATTCTATGAAAACCAGATCAGATAAAACAAAATAAATATTATTGTTATTATGACATACACACACTACAGTCAGTGTTGTATATCTTATCTCTCATAGTACACATCACTCACTGAACATGAATTGACATGAATGAATATCATATCTGTATCATTGTTTGACCGACTTCAAAGAGAATGGTTCTGTATATAAATAGTATGTCTGAAAGATTAAATGTTCGAAATTACCACAAATACGAATCCGCAATTTCTTTACTCTTTATTTTCAAGATAATCTTAATATTTGTTTCGCAGTTCATTGACCTGGAAGACAGTGATACTGAGACGGAGGAGTCTTCGGATGAGGAGAAGGAGTCTCCCGCGGGAGGGGCGGTAGGGGCGGAGGCGAGTACCGTCAGCAGCGTGGAGGAGAGTGCGAGGAAAATCAAGGAACAGTTCAGAGCGAACATGGCGCGGGTGATGGTGCAGCATCTAAACCCGTACAGACACGCGGACGCGCCCGCCGGCAGGATCACTAGCACGGCTGACTTTAAACATCTGGCTAGGAAGGTACTGAACGAATATTATTATAGATAGTTTAGATTATGTAGAATGTTGGGTGATATTTGTATAATTTAAATGAATCTGCTCACGATGAGTCGGTTACGTTGCAACCGTGATCACGGGCATACAGAAGTGTCCGTGAATACGAATATATTAGTTTCATTTAGATTTCACATATGTATAATTATCACAAAACCGCTTCGTCACAGAACATACGGAGCGTTAACAGTTTTTAATACATAAATCTTCGTTCATACTCAAATGTAAAATTAACTTGTTAATAATACCAAGCTAATTACAGTCATTATCATCATCAGTCTATCAGAGCCCATTGCTGAGCAAAAGCCTCCTCTCACATGGCATTAATCACCACGTTTGCTCAAGACGGATTTGCGATTTCAAACCTAAAAACATCGTGACGAACCTTGGACTTATAAATTCCAATTAGAAGTTTGAAATCGCCAACAAGTCTTGAGTAATTATAGTACATTTATTAACCATTAATTATTCCCAGCTGACTCACTTTGTGATGCTGAAGGAGTTGAAGCACTGTCGCTCAGTGGACGAGCTGATCGTGACGGATTCAGTCCGCACTAAAGCCAAGCTGTTCGTGAGGAAGTACATGACCAAGTTCGGGCCGGTCTACAAGAGGCCGCCCGAGGAAGCCGACTAGCGACTAGTGTGCCAGATAAAGGCAGACATACAGACGTTCGTGTTATAATAAACAATAGTATATAGAGTTCAGTGACCTTCGAAAATTGTGATGTTCAGTGTTACTGTATATAATGTTTTGTGATGTATGTAATGGATACTTTTGAAGTTGTAATTAGGTGAAATTTTATTATTTTATTATATATGTATGTATGGATTTCATTTTGTACTCGGAGCAAGAATTTGATGTGTACAGTTGATATTGTTTTACAATGTATTGACAGATATCGTAGATGGTTTTGATTGTAATAGTATAGTCGCAAATAAACAGTTTTATCTTTTATATAGAACAAACGAAATACTAAATACATGACTTATCAGAGATCATAAACAGTACTTGTAAGTTTCTCATTAAAGTATCTTTCTATATGTATTATAATGTAATTTATATAGTAACATGATTTGAAAGACACTTAATAACCAATGATTTAAGAATTTTTTTATATATATAACTAATTATATATATCTCATATACTTGATTGATGTCACACATTTAACATAATGCAATAAATATTTGGGTGTTTACTATGAGTTAATAAAATCTGTTCCTCTACATTATTGTAATGTATCCAAATATAATTTCTATATCATGTATCTTAATATGTATCAGGATTTATTTCTCCTGCGTCTAGTTGTAAATGTATATATAGTTGTAAGTTGTATTAAGTAATTCCTCATTTAATTAACATCTATATTTATTTTTGATATCTTGACCACATCAAAGATCAAGACTCGAATAATGATTTAAGTACAGTATTATTAGTAAATGATTGTCATCATGAATTAATAAGAATAATACATTTTTTAAGATTATGAACTAGTTATATTTTTTGGATATGTTCAGAATAATATTGGATTGAATCTTAAATGTACATTGTGAGTAGTTATTTGTACAAAAATGCTTTGTAAACTAAAGATTACATGAAACGCTGATTGGAAATTATGAGAAAAATTTATCTGATTATGAGAATATTTGACTTTCATTGTATTTAAATCGTAACTTGAAATAAAAACTGATAATATTCAAGATTATCTGTGACTTTGTCAGACAAAGAGCCACTGTAAATGTTGTAAATAAATGACATACAAGTAGATTGGTCGTTTCCACTGGTTGGTCGTGTCGTGTCGTGCTCGTGGTCGTGGTCGTGTCGTCTAGTGTGAGCGGCTTGTATCTGTTAAGACGCTGTATGTTAATGTAGTATAGTGGAGTGTGTCGAGACACGTGGCAGAGATCGAGGTCGACGAACAAGTAAAAATTATTTCTTCTATATCGACTTTGTTTTATTTTTACCTGATTTTTTATCATGCCAAATGTTCATACATATGAGTTGCATTTTTATGGCAAAAAAAATATATATTCTTAATAAGTCAATAGCTTTTGTTTTTCGTCTTTTTTGTATGATAGGTGCATGTCAGAATAGTGAGAATAGACTAAAAAATTAATGACTTAGATTATGAATGTTAAATTTTTATGTATTATCTGAACGATAAATCTTTATATTATGATCTTGGTAAGTATCTCTCAATGAAGCGATCGATCTTATAGATTTGCATTTAACTTAAGGAGATAGAAGGATGATTTATTACAGTTGGAAATCTACGACAGATGTCAGTTGTCGAAATCTCAAAGATATGTAATAGAGCGTATTTTTTGGTCATAAACGTATATACCTACATAATATATACACGAAGAGAAATGTTATTTAACATGAAGTGTGGTGAGAGGATTAGTTTCATTTCTTTTTTTTTTTTTTACTAACAATAGACTATTCAAGGGCTAAGTATCTAAGTTTCTAAATTTATCAATAATTTGGTAGAGTAAATATTTTATTTATTCGTAATGGAATATTTACCAGGAGGCGAATGAAATAAAAATGAAGGTGCAGTCGCATTAAAAGTTTATTTTTTGAAATATTTAGATACAATTATTACATTTTCATTACTAGGTACATTATCCGAGGGACGCCTTGCATTTGGAAGCGTTTTCCGAATGCTTTGCGCAGGTCTCGTTTTTGTTCCACGAATCACATTCCTGGAAGAGATACAAAGAGATGAACCTAATATTATTCGGATTACTACACGTATTTTACTATTAAAAAAACTACATAGGGTACTCCCGACTTTTCAGCAAACGTTATCACGGGCAGACGAGATGTTTATAAAACAATAAAATACCCGTAGAAATCCCAATAATATTATTTTCATTTAAATAAATACTCGAAGTCTTAGATCTCATTAGATACGAATAGAGTTTATTTCTCTGTAAACTAACTTTACAAGCTAAATATAACGTAGTGTACTCACCACGACGGTATTTATATAGCTGCAGAGGAAGTACTTCACGGATGGACAGTCATCATCTGTTCCGTACTTCATATATTTTCCATTCAGGCAGTATTTCATGATCCTCTCCGCCGCCTTCTGAGCTGGTGGGTTCTTGGAGTCACTCTTTTGTAATTTTGTTTTGACCGCGTCGTCGTCAATACCGTCGTCTTTCCAGACACCATCGTGCTTGTAATAACATTTAATTGTTTCACACTGAAACGAATGATTGATAATACATATATTGATAATATAAATGATAATTTCATGTAAATTAATGCCACAAAGTCATTAACCTTTGCCTCGTCTGTGCTGAAATCATTCAGACAGTCAGAAAAGTCTTCTTCCTCTTCACTTTCATCATTAATTTCAAAATCAGTTTCACAGCATTCGTTTTCTAGGTCCTTTATTAAAATATATATATAAAAAAAATATAACTGCTAATATAGTGAGCGTTCAAGTATTACGTAACGCAATTTTGGGGGGAGGGAGCGGTCTCGTAAAACGTTACGATGCGTTACAGGGGCGGGAGGGGGTGTCTCTTACAAAACGTTACGTAGCATTGCTTATTATATTATGTTATTGCTTAATGGTTCAATTCAATTCATTCATTAATATTAGGCACTTGTAAAAATATATTTTTTTACATAAAATGATGATTTCTACTATGAATATTTGAAAACAATTTGTGGGGAGGTAATTTTTTATTTCATCGTATAATTCAGTTTGTTAATTAAAATAAGATGTATAAAAATACAAAATACCTATTTATCTCTTATTTGTACGTTAGAACCGACAAAGTGTAGGCAAAGACGAGATTACCTCAATTTATATTAATAATTCAAACGAAAAATAATAATGACATATCACATAATTAACTATATTATGTTCATAGAGATTTTTACCAATTTATTTTTAATCTAAGGTCTCTGAGTGCAACGTGTATTTGAAGATATTTTCATTTTAAAATACTTAGTTCTTCATCTAGAAAAAGGGATGACCTACAAAAGACATTTAAAAGTTTCGAAATATTAAGATCTATGAAACTTGCCGATATAAAATAGTTTAAGATGGTAGCAATAAAAGACAACCAATCCATTTCTAACAATTGAAGCGAATACTTTGTAGTTGATAAATCTTTTAAAGATATTTCGCTAACTCGAATAATGTTTTAGTAAAGAGAAACATATAAATAATTGTAAATCTTTCAGTTTGAACACAGTAAGAAAATTACTACTAAAACATCCTACCTCTGGGTCGAACATTTCGAAACATGATTCATCGATTTCATCTGCAGCTGACACCTTAAAAAACACATATTTTAAAAATAATTAAAACAATAGACTCAAAAATTAATTTTAATATTATGATAACACTCACAGTGGATATTAAAAAGAGCACAAACAAGTTCAGTAAATGCATCATCTTTGCCATCTTCACGCACGTTTATCAACTATACAATAAAACGTGAAAATTCTATATTTTATATAAACATTTACCAACTTCCGGTCAGCGATGGCTTTATTACATGAGACCATTGAGTTCACAAATTATCTCCTTTGTCCATGTCATTATTTTGTCGTTATGAAAAAAAATATTCTGACCTTCACAAGTAATTCAACTAAACATTACAATTTGCAGATTACGAAATCAATGGGTAATCTTAAAATGTCGAGTTATAAATTTTTTTATAATACATTTTAAGGTCATTTTGTCAAAACTAACAATAGTTTTGTTGAGTTAATGATTTTTTTAACAATGATTCGTTTAAACAGTAATAAATGTACTTAATTTTTTAAGGATTTAATTGAAAAGTAAGAAATAAGAGAATTCTCAAAATTTCTAACGTGAAGGTTGAGCCCTATTTCAGTCGACAGAGGGCGGCACTTTGAGGGAGCGCTTAATTTGAGTTACTGCAACGTAATACATAGAAACGTGGGGTCACAATTATTATTTCATAATTAAAAAAACGATACTATAATAACAACAACAAATTACCATTTACCAATTTTACCGTTTTTAGGTATTTGGCATACCAGCAAAGATACTCAGTCATTACAATTTAAAAGATTTGCTCAACATTTCTTATTAGGTTGATATACTAGAGGCTAGTATATAGTTCAGTTACGGTTTTCGGTATATATTTTTTTAACATTTCCAAATTGAGTAGAAATAACTGTAATGAATCATTACGAATAATGTTCTTCGAAAGTAAAAGATAAGTAAAGTTATCTTTAAGAAAGAATATTTAATGAAGTTTTTGGGATTTGTTCCGGTCTAGTGTCTAGAATTTACCTTGAGTCAATTAACTCAAACCCAGCTGTTGCTTTAGGAATACTGTTTCTGTTTTTAGTAGATTTGACCCTGGATAATTTAAATAAAACAACTTCATATTCACATTCAACTTAACTATATTATGAGCTACTCTAAAGTAATAACGGTTTTCGAATATAAGTTCCACTCTCAATGCCGGCCAGCGGTTTGCTGTTGGCGCCAAAATTCTTCTCTATTTTCTAAGAAACGTATTGCCTCTTCTGCTTGTTTCATAACTATACTATTCTTTTTGTCAGCTATCGCCAGATCTGGGTTTTTGAGTAAATTCTCAAGATAAATCTTGTCCGACATCAACTGACCCAGAACAGGTCGAGAGGATTTTGAAGTGGACCGTTTTGATGTCTTTTTCACAGGTTTTACAGCTCCGATAGTATTTTCGATTGCTTCCTGAAAACAAATTATATTTTATTTTTTACAGGTGACTGGATTATACATACGATCTTCTTCTTCTACCTGGCAATTTCCCTTCCATAGCCAGGGTCTGCCTTACGTGTTGTGAATAGTTTTGGCTAATTGTTTTTTACGACCGGCCGCCTGCCTGACATCAATCCTCTTTTGGGAGTCAGCATTAATCAGTGATGTCTAAATATCCTTAGAAAGTACATATGACTCGGAAAAATCACATTGGTACTTGCCCGGGTCAGGATCGAACCCGCGCTCTCGGCAACGAGAGGCGAGCCCTCTAACCATTAGGCCACCACTGACTTTACTGGATTATACATATGATAATTACATATAACAGATAAAAGCCGGTTTCTTTTGTAAAATGCGTTTACTACCTGTGCCTTCTGAACTCCTAGTCTAAATTCATTTAAATCCGGCCTCGCCCGCAGTCCTCGATGGTAATGGACCAAGCTCATTTCAAACTCCCCACAGTAGTAGAGGGCTTCAGCTTTTTGAAGGAGGGCCTTGGCGTGCTTGGGATCGAGTTTGAGCGCTGTTTCTGCATCTTCCAAGGCTTTACGCGGCTCTCCAAGGAGTAAGTAGCATTTGCTGCGAGAAACAAAGGCGGCCTTTTCATCTGGAGCTAGCTCTATGGCCTGTAATAAGAACAAACAGTTCATTAATAAATTTATTTAAAACTATATACATATTTTTCTCATGAGGGAGTAATCTGTTAAATTATTACATATTGTATAATGTACCATTGAAATTCTTATTGTTTATGGGTATACATATATTTGTTGCATCATATATTTTCTCTATTTAGCCACTTTACAAGTGACTTTTTTTGTTATTATAAACTTACACCTAAATAAAACCGCTGTTTACTTCATCTAAGCATCAGTACCTTGTCAACAAATGTCAGTGCCGTACGATATCTTTCCCTCATCATTTCCGCCCTGGCCAGCGCTAACAACGTCCCAGCATCAGCTTCTTCTGGTATTTGTAAGGCGCTGCTCCTCTCTGCTCTGTCCTTCAAGTTCAGAGAGTGCTTGATATCTCTCGATCCCATCACCACGGCGGCCGCTCGATCCTTGTCCGTGTACAATTCTTCTTCTCGCCGTCGTCTTTCACGCTTAGGTTTTCTGCGGAATCTCCGCTTTTGAGGCTTCCCAGATTCCTTTCTCGCTGGAGCGGAAAACTTTTCCTCTTCAGCGAATGAATCAGCCTTCTCAGCGGATTGCGGCGCTCGTTTGCTGATCGTAGCCTTCGGTACCGGCAGCTCGTCCTCGTCATCACCCACACCGACTCTTACGAAACTTTGAAGGAACTCGGCGTCTTTCGTCGGTCCGAGTATGGACCGTACTTGGGCTTTAGCATTGTCCTCACTCTCTAAAGTTTTCAACAGAGACATGACTGATGTGTCTCGTATGAGTGTTGTTATGTAACACGTTGTAAAGAGTCATCGATATCCTCGCCCGAGCTGTGGTCGTCATGGTAACTCAATGTGTTTTCGCACCCTCTTATTGAAGTTTTCACACCAATTCGAAATATACATTTATTTAGCTATTAATTTTATTTTTGTATTAAAATTTATATTTTCTTTAAATATATGTTGAGTAATATTTTAAAATCAATTGTTACAATTGTTATTTACATAACAATTGTTTATTTATGCTAGCCTGAAGTGTAAGGTTTGTTATGGTACTTTTATCGTTTATCTGTAAGCGTAGTATTAAAAATTCGTGTGTATATTTTTATATAACAACTGCAGCTCTATTTTACATAAGGACTGTGGGTTAGACTTCGATATGAGTGAATTTCTGAGTGCAACATTGCAATATATATATTGAATTTATAATAACAGTAGGTATATTAATTATAAGTAGTTGTTCGCTGTTTGATTGCGATGGTGAATGTATTGAATTGTTGTTGGTTTGTGAAAACATCGGATTATATAGCATTCGATAGCAATGTAATAAAATCCTTAATACAATATTAATTCTTGTATTGCTGTAATAGAATTTTTAGTAAGCTTAGCACAAGTTTGCATAGATATTCTTCATACAACGCATTTTTCGTTTCTCATTCAATAATCTACACCAATAATATAGTGTAAAACTGTTAATGCTCCGCATGTACTGGCGATACGAACTTAGAATAATCCTGCTGAGGTACAAGTTACTTGAAACTGTAACTTGAACCTTAAAACTGTATGTTTATCGAAGATTAATATATTATATTTTCAAATACATTTATTTTTATATATTCCTTTTGCATACACAATAAATACGAGATAATAAAGTGACCTGAATTTATTTTTTATGTCCTTACCTATTTGTAACGTTTGTTATGCATAGGGTGTATTATAAACGCAACATTTTCGAATCGACTTAATATTTTCTATACTATATTTAACTTTCTCATCTTTTAGTTCAAGTTATATATGTATATCGGCGCTATCTGCTTTAATAATGGATGCGACATGAATATAATTTGAGGCTGTCATCAATTCTTATTAAAACTCATTAGTATTCATGATTATTGTTAAAAGTAAAACGAAATCAAAGATTGTTTAAAAGGAGAATAGAACTATGTTTAAATCTTGGTATAAATATGACGTCTGAATGCACGACGCGACGGCAGAATTGAGAGTTGAGAGTTCAGTGAGTGTGTATCATTGAAGTATGTGATTATGAAGAACCTTCGAGAAATACAGGAGCATTAAGAACAATTGAAGTTTCATTTTAAAATATCATGGAACTCTCTAGAAGAAGTGACATTAGTTACGTCAGCGAGGCTGGCGACTCTCTCTTTAAAAACAACGAATGTGTAATAAATCCGATATATTATATAACACCTTGTATTTATTATAATCAGTACCTTATCTAGTGACGTCATCGCTCGCCCGTAGTTCCCGTTCTTGAAATGTCCGTTCGCTTCGTCTCTATGTTTCTTCGCCTCCACCGGGTTACTCGTCGTCTGTTCAGGCTCCTTCCCTCGACCCATTGTAGTTAATTACTGGAAGTTGAAACAAAAAGGTACTTTAGAGAAATTTGAGAAGAAATGTCTAAGAAATAAGGATTATTGTATTTTAATGTTATTAGGGATTGTATTTTACTGATATTAATGAGTTTTATCACTTTTTTATTTATAATGAGTTTTTATTCGTAGCTTCGAATCTGATGTTATAGAAGAAGAGGTTAATTATTTCCTCTCTTAAATGGAATAAAAATTTAGGACGTTCTTAATTGTGTCTGCGAATATTTTGTAAACTCAAAACTGTATGTTGAGTGGGTCATTTTTATAGCTTATATTGATCTCTGGTTTTTTCAATATAACGTGTGGTATTTCTAGAGGTAGCCGTCAGGTGGCGCACTTCAAGGTACCAAGTGACCCGTGAAAGAATGTACTTGTCCACTATCAAGATTTTAGAAATTCAGAATCCTTAATTCTTTAAAAACACATATTATGTAGTCATTTCAAAGCTACGGTATATAAACCTTACTTTTTCCTGAGGCCAGCGTATATTAAATTAAATTCCTTGATTCATGTTCTTTAGACAATACATCCAAGATTCACGAACTTGGGTTTAGTCATCTTTACAAAAAATATAATAAGTGGATTCAGTTCTGACATCAAATTCATCGGTTGATGATTGTGAATATTAGTGAAGTATTCCAAGTCACCCAAATTTCAACCGCCGGAACTGGCGTTGGTTTTTTTTTTTGTCAAAGCATGTGTCATTTATCTCTACAAAACCGTAAAATTACCGTTTAACTGTGTTATCTTAAATTTAATAATAAGTAGCTATGAAACAAGTATAAATCATATCATTACCTATATTCTATTTCATTTGAATAGTGCATATAACATTCAATTGCTTCACATAAATAAAATAAAATATACAAACATATATTATTAATAATTTTCAGCACATTTTCTATATCAAGTAACAAGTCGAGCCATGAAAATGTGTTCTGGATCTTGATGAAAATCCACTAACTATCTAATGACAGTGTTGTGAAGCGTGCCAGCGCACATCATGATGACCACGACAGTTCTGCCAAGAACGTATCGACTTAGAAGAAGAATCTAATGATAAAACTTATACAAACGCGTATCAACCTTAAAACTATGTTTCTTGATCAAATCAGAATCTTTTTAGGATTTTAATGTATTGTTATCTTGTTTTCTTCACTTCTAATCATTATTTTTCTCTTACTTTTGGTTTATAACATATGTACATAGTGTGGTGGCCTGGAGGTTAAAGACCCGCCTCTCATGCATGAGGGCGCGGTTTCGATCCTGGCAAGTACCAATGTGATTTTTCCGAGGCATATGAACTTTCTAAGAGTATTTAGACACCATTGTCAGAGGGTGAAGGAAAACATCGTGAGGAAACTTGGACTTATAATTTCAAATTATAAGTTTGAAATCACCAACCCTTCTTGAATAGGTAAGCGTGCTGATTAAAGCTCTAACTGTCTCCATGTGAGAAGAGATGGTTGCTCAGCAGTGGGCTCTGATAGGCTGACGATGATGATAATGAGGATAAATATATATTTCATTTTTATCAAGCATTGCGAGTGTGTTTTATATAGAATCTTTGTAATAAAGTTTCATTATGGTTTATATATGAACTGATAAAATATTTCAGCAGATCATGAGCAGATTTAGAATTTAATTTGAGATATGCTGAAAATGGAGAATGATATTAATATTCGTAATTCTTTCCCGTAATATGTCATATATAAAGACAGAGTTGGCTCAGTAAATGCAAAAGATATTCTAAGACTTGAGTGATTGCTTAAATCTAAATATTTACTAATATCGAATATCAGTTATATATGTTACTATGGGATCGCCGATTAAACATGTCTGAGTAATATTTTTTTTGGTAAATAAAATTGATCGATGTTACCTTTCAACCTCGATTGCCCAAAAAAAGTACTTCGTAAAACGGGTAAACATTTGCATAACCGAGGCTCAGCTTGATGGATGGTGCTACGCCACAGAAGCCAGTCATATAAATTACGCTATTTTTGTCTACCAATTCTTATGATCTGATAATTTTAACTGCTTTCGCTAAATGGCTTCGTGAGTAACTATATTACTTCCGATTTTAGTTAGGTATTTGCTTGTTTTGTCATCGCTGTTACACATAAATATGATACTACAAAATTATCCTGTTTTATTTGCGAAAAATAATTTATTTTGATTATTATCAATAATAACTAATAATTGACACAAATATTGTCAGACTATTAATAATAATCGACGATAAGTATATATAATAGAATAATTTACTTAAGTATTATGTTTATTAAAAGTAGTTTTATGTAGTATGTTTCTAATGTAATCGTTAGTGGGGGAAGTTCGTGTATCTCTACAAAGTTGATTATAATTTTGGCATCAATTCTGTCCGTTGCGCTTATTATACAAGAATTATTCATGCAATAGTCCGCTTTGTGGGCAATCTTCGAAACTTTTTACCATATTGCGGAGAATTATTTGGTGCATCGTTTAGAAAACTTGTTCATTACTATGATTTAATAGCATACAAATTAACATTTGTTATGTAGACTTATTGGAAATTGTGTTATGTACATTGGGTTTTGTTGCCTATTATTTGGGTTAAAGAATCAGTCGAGAAACATCTGGAATGATAGTATTCGAGTGAGTTGGAAAATAAAAAAATTGAGACTGTTTGTTAAGTTTGAGGTTGCAAACTAGAAGTAAGGGAACAGAAGTTATAGTACATAATACGATTAAATCAATAATTATAAGTTTGTTCCATTTTAAAAATGACACGATCAGCCATTTTTAATTACACAACAAATTTAACTAATCATGTAGTTATTTGACATTGGAATGCCATTATCAAATAACTTAGAAAGCCTCAAAAGGTCTTTACATATAGAGAATTGAATATATATTAAAATAATTGTTATATATCGTCATTTAAAATAATCTGATATCTTCCGTCACGCGATATCGTGACTTAGGACGTTGGAAATAATGAAATTAGATATTACGATGCTAAAAGCTTTATGACATCCGTTCATAAACATGGACGTTCATTGGATCGTCTGGCTGTATAGTTATAGCTTAATATATAGATCATACTTTATGATAACTAGATTTTATAAACTAAAAACAGATTGTATAGTATTTAAAAATATATATCCCTACTAATATTATAAATGCGAGAGTAACTCTGTTTGTCTGTCTGTTACGCTTTCACGCCTAAACCACTGAACTGATTTTCATGAAATTTGGTACAGATATAGAGTTGACCTTGAGAAAGAACATAGAATAGTTTTTATACAAGACTTTTGAAAGGTTCTCTTGGATAACCGAACCGAACTCCATGCGGGCGAAGCTGCGGGCAGATAGCTAGTACAATATATAACAACGAACGGTCGATATTTTGTTATGATTTTTTTTGCTATGGCTGCATTAGTTCTGGAATCATCTTATATTCTGCCAATGTCAGGTTTTTCATTTTTTAAACCAATTATTATAAGTCTGACTACTTACTGTGTGGTAGGTATTTGAAGTTTAATTGTAGAGGAGAGATATTATTTTATTTGACATTTTGTGACAATACATACATACATTGAGAAATACGAATTGACACATGTGTGAATCATAATCATGGTAGTGTGTGTAATATTTATTTTAAATAATTTGAGTATTGAGACTTTTCATTAAAAAATATTTTTGTACAGTTTTTCCTCTTATAAACTTTGACTGTTTTACGTCTTACTTTCATTAGTTGGCGCAATTCTCTTTAAAAGGAACACAAAGTTTACAATAAATTTATTATCATTGCGACAAAACCTTATAATTATTATATTTGTTGGATTGAGAGCTTGTGCGAGACTCAGTTTTAGCTTCTACTAAATAATTTGCTTAATAAATTTCTCTACTGTACGTTTATACTTTATTTATTTATTTACTGTTAATTTTCCTATGTTTTTCAATGCCTTTTAAACCGCTAGTAATAAGTATATAAGTTTAATAAAAGTTAATGCTGCAATCCTTAACGCGTTAACAAAACTAGCTTATGTAATTCTGCTCCTTATATTCGTTGTTTTGCAAAAAATATTCATAATAAATGAATATTTTAATTTAATAATAAATGATAGGCTATAGTGTAAATTTACAAATATCACTTTTTAAAATTATGTTAAATATTTATTAAGAATATTTTCATCTAAACGTATGGACTTTAGGAGTTCATGTTTTAAAAGTTCGAAAACATAAAGAAATATAATTGACTAACTCAATCATCTGATAATATTTCAAGATTAGAATATTCTTTTATTTGTATAAAATAAATGAAAATCATTTATATACTTCCATTCCGATTACAAAGTAAACAAAAAAAGTAAAAGGGACATAGAAAAAGATTATTTTATGCTACGGCTGTAAAGAATATGAAACTTATTTACCTTTTGTCAACGTCAATATTATTAATTGGGTACTTTTTCTGGATATTAAAAAAAATCTCTTCAGCCGAGCTGCGTCCCCAACGAATGTAAGTACAGACTGAGCAACTGGTTATGTTTATATTTTCTTTTAAATCGCTCCCGCGGCCCGCCCCTAGCAAGAAGGTTGCATTTATGCCATTTGTCAAGAAAGAACAAATTAACTTAAACTTTTTACTTTGACATTATCGCCGTGTTTTTGTTAGAAATATATGTTGTTATTTCTTTTACTAATGTACCAGTATTAGACTTGCAATTCTTTTATGATTTTTTGATAAACTTTTGCATTTTCAGGTTATTTTTTAATTTAGGTACATGACAAAAGTTTGACATTAAGTAATAGTGTATATTAACGATTTTAATTAGAAAACTTTAAGGAGAACCGTACGATAGCACTGAGTCGATAGTATTTTCATAATCTTTGAATCAGTTTCTAAATGATAAGTATCACGCACCCTATTTATGTAAAGCTTACAAACAGGATCATAAAATATGATTCGATTATGACCCACTTAAGGGAACGTTTTGTTGGTGATTTTCAATATGTATCTTGTTTAATTTGTCATAGAATTTCATATAATTATGTATACAAAACTTACGATAGTTCAATATATAAAATATTAAGAATTTAATTTGCTTGTGTTCTTAAATACCAAATAATGTTATTAAAAATACGAGAAAAAAATATGAATAAAAAAAATGGATGAAATGAATGCAAAATGCATGTTTGTTTAGTATTTAATTGATAACAAAACTTGGTCGATTTAACGAGTTTCGTTGATGTTAAAAAATGTTGTCGTCGCATAAAAATTGTCTTTCACCGTAGTCTGTGCACGCAAGTTAGCCGTAATAACATAATTATAGCTTAGATTCCATTTGTTCCGGGGAATGTTTTTAATGAAGGATTCGTTTATAAACTTGCCTGTTATTTACATTAGGGTATATATTATTGTTATTTATAAGAAAATATCTATTTTATATTGTTAATGCTTTTGTTACATGAAATTCAAATACATGTCTTGTGTTTAACGAATTTTTGATAGATTTATAAGGTTATTTGAATTTACTAAAAAGTTGAAATATTCAATATTTTATATAAAAAAATGTGTCTTTTAACCTTATTATGTGTTAACATTGTTTACATAAATACAGACAGTTTTTAAGTTTCTCATTAATCATTTAGCAACGATACGTTATTAATTATTATGCTTATGCTTAATTAACAAGATACGATTAAACTGTTGTTTTAAGTGTACTGAAAATTTTAATCAATATATATTTCAGTCCGACTGTTATTTTACCTGATAGGAGGAATTTATGCTTATCGTTGGGTGGCTTCTCTCCTTACCAGTTTATTTTTTTTTTTGTATATTGCTAAGAATATTTTGTAGTAAAAAAAAACACAGCCGCTGGCAAACTATTACGACACTTTGCTGTGAAAATGAAGAAGTAGAGAGTATATCACTTCCTTTGATTATTTCTTTCTTTATTATGAGAGTCCCTGTTTTTACGTAGTCCCGTGATAAAAAAGAGTTTTTTCTAAGGTGCAATTACGGAGATCTGAGAGCCAGTAATCGACATCCAACATGTTTACAGAAAACAGCTTAAACACACTCAAAGCCAATGGAATGAGAGACGGAAGCCGCCTCTTATTTATTGGAACTATTGTAAACAAACTTGAACTAAGGCTTGCAGGCCGTGATTAATTAATGAGGCCGTATTGGTACATTATTAAGATCAATGATACTTGGCCAGTGTGTCCAGTATAGAAAAAATATACATTTTCCATTATAAATATCATTGCTAAAAGAACATTGGTATATAAATTCGTTTCTCAGCGTATTTTAATAATATTTATTATTAAAAATTTGAAACTTATTACGTACGCGCTATATATGAAGAAAAAAATGAACATCGCCGGGGCGACATCTTTGTATCGGTAAAATGTCGTACAACAAGTGACGCCCCTGACTCCGCGGAACGAACACCAAGCCGTGTGAACCAGAAGATTGCACATACCCCACAAGCAATAGAATGCCATTGTCATCCTAATATGAGGGCAATCATGTAGTCTTAGGTATAAGTTTTAACATGTAATTCGTATTTTAATATATGTACATATAAGTATGTTTCGTAGTTTTCCTGGAACCTCCGGTTGCCAACCTACATAATTAACTCCTGTAAGCTTTATAGATAAATCATTATATGAATGAACGAATGAATGAAAATGAATCATGGTGTAGAAAACTTTGGATGTTAAAAGTAACAATGCCGGAAAAAAAAATGCTTCATATTTTTATTCGTATTGCGTAGACTTGTAGCGATTAGCTACGATTAAATAAATAGTATTGCTGTATGTTAATCTTCGGCTTTATGTATTTCGTTATAATTTTTAAGAAATTATTAAGGTGGCACATTTATCAAGTATTATTTAATAATATGCTAAAGTTCAAATGTATTCTTTATGTAAATCTTTTATATATTACGGATTAGTATTCTGTGAATCGAACCAGTGAACATCTCTTGTATATACTATACCGGGTTTCAACTTTTTCCCCGACGTTAACTTTTTTTATATAATTTTGATTAAAAATCATGTTCTGCTGTCAAGCAGTCCCATCACCCTTCCACCTTCCCCTTCAATTATATCCTAAGCCGAGGTCTAGCCTCTTAGAGGCACCCTTGGAACGGAAGTACCTTCCAGGGCCATTGACCCCCGAATTTAATGGCTAGACCCCATCGGGCCACTCACTCCTAACGGTAACGCTGTCAAAGCCATTAGCTAACAGCTAGATAAAGTCGAAACTATAAAAAACAGGCATTTGTGACGTCACTAATGATGACGTCATACTCTTTGAAAACATCGAGTTTTTAATTCAACATAATCTAAATAGAAGTCAACTGGTATAGAATAAATATGTCCATTTATATACTGAATGTGACTTATTTTTGATGTTGTGTCTTATAAATTTATACTTATTTAGAAGAAAAATCAAATAAAACACGAATATGTTGAGCGTTACGTTTATTACTCCTTTAATACATACAGAGCTAGACACACATAACAATTATAACTAGACAGGTATTTGAATAAATAACTATAAATATTTGTAAAGACATTTCCATATAAAATTAAAAATAATTTCCATATAAAAAGAAACATATATAAATTAATATTTATTTAGTAACAACAGTCTCATGATACAATATAGTATTTTTTTATATAAAGATATTAAAATAGGTCTAAAAGAAATTAAATAAAGAGGTTTTATATATTAGGACTAGATAATAATACACTGTGACCTTAGAACGAGTCGAACATAACTAACTCGATACTTACAGTATTAAAGTTTTCTGTTACATCTAATGTAATGTAATGTTCACAATATATTTAATATCTGCGAACAATTTTAATTGTTAATACATACTACTAGGTAAGATTAACATCATTTTTTTTTTCTACAGCTCCATAGATTGATTAATACTAACATATTTTGAAGTTGGTTAAATATTCTTATTCTCTGGATAACACGATGGTCGGTAGAGGCGTCCGTCCACGCGGCACGTTCTGTTAAAAAAATATTATTATTCTCCATTATACAGGGTGACTGGTAAATTACTATCAATATTTAAGGAGCATACTCGGTACATGATTCTCATTCGAATTATGTAAAAAAAAATAGGTACTTAATTTTTGACTAAATTTCCGTATAAATAAATAAAGTGAGGACACGTTCCAAGTGTTCCAAGTGTGGACGCGTGCGACGGCGTGCTGATACAACACCACGCCGCCAAACGCGCGTGTGTGTGTGTATACCTAATCTGTAGGGTGTTCACACGATGCGTAATTAATTACATAACTTTTGGTTAACTTTACTTAGAAGTTTATTAATATTTATGTTATATTAATTTTTATTTTGTCATATATAATCGTCAAATATCACGTCCTCAAGTATCGATAGTAATTCACCAGTCACCCTGTATATATACACACACACTTATTTAGGTACTTCTCCTTTCACCATTATACATCCCGTGTTTACTGTAACGCCTAGCGTTGCCTTCGGGATCGTTTTATATGTATAATTTATTTATTATTTTATTTTTATTTTAATTCACTAACATTCTTTTATATTACATCAAATCCATATCTAATGCGATACCAAGCTCTATTCACTCCAAACTGAACGTCGTTCTTTTTATTTCTTTTTTAGAGTTAGACAAAAAACTTTTAGAATTAAATTTTATTATATTTTAAATAGATACATAACATAAGTGCTATAAAATAAGCAAAATTTGTAAAAGGCCAGATGGAAATATTTTGAATATTGTGGAAAAAAAAAAATTGATTTATAAGAATTTTGGAAAAACTACAAATTCTTATTCACTTGACACTGCGTTTTCAACATTTTATATTGCTATGAGTACAAAAGGTGAAGTGAGGAAGGTGCGGGGCGAAGTAAAAGCAGTACAAACCGGTTTAAAACTAGAAAAGAACGTGGTATTCAAAAATTTGACATCACACCTACACTATCCGGGTGCACTCACACAAATGCAAAGCTCAGCTTAAATCAAACGCACTATAACTCTTAAAGAGTCTCCATATCTCAGTACTCACCTTACTCGCGGACACAGCGGACAGTCTCCTCCGCGCGCCCCCTCCCCTCGCGCCCTTCCCTCCACCGCCACCCCCTCCGCTGGCCAGGCTCCTCCTCCTCCCCTCCTCGCTCCTCCTGCCCTCCATCTTCTGTTCTATCCTTTTCTGTACGATCCTCGCCGCGTTCTCTCGTATAATCTGATCGGCTCTCAGTCTCAGTATCTGAGCGGCTTCTTTATGATATTTCAACGCGGCCTCTAGATCACTTCTGGATAGAGCGAATAGACTCGAATATCCGCGGGACCTGGGATAAATATATATGTCATCAGCCTATCAGTGCCCACTGCTGAGCATAGCCTCTTGTCACATGGAGAAGATTTGAGCATTAATCACCACGCTTGCTCAAGACGGGTTGGCGATTTCAAACTTATAATTGGAATAAGTCCAGGTTTCCTCATGATGTTTTGTTTCATAGTTAGAAAGTTCATGACACAGAAAAATCACATTGGTACTTGCCAGGTTTCTAATCCTCCCTCATGCATGAGAGGCGAGCTTTAAACCTCTAGGGCGTCACGACATACCTTAATGAGTATTAGTATGACTCAAAGTAAATAACAAAACCTCGTTGTCTTTAAGTCGGTTAAGTTACCTGACGGTAGCTGTTCGTCTCCTCAACCCGTCGATCCCTAGTAGACTGATCTCACCGAACACAGAGCCGGCTCTTAATGTGGCGAGGACCTCCGTCTCTCCTGGAGACATTACCTGCAAAGGATAAGAAAAAGTATATATTTTCTCTGAATTATTGATCAAATTTAATGTTTTAATCTGTAATCTATGAAAATATAATAATTAATGATATTAGTATGTACTTCATAATAATTACATTATGTAACGGATCCAATCGTAAGTTAAGCTTTACGAACAATTAAAATCAAATATGAATACATATCATTGATTTTCTTTCATGCTATGATAAACCGTCTATCATGTCCTATTATTACGGTTTGTTCCGTTACAAATATGTCAAAACAACGCAAAAGATACAAACTCAAATGAGAGGTCCATAAGTTCAGTTATCAAATTGTCCCTAACACAACATCCCAGCAGTCACAGGTTCCAATCCCGTTCTCGCCAATTAGATCATAATAAATACAAATGGACCCAATTATCTTATATTTTATTAACTACTAGCTTTCCGCCCGCAGCTTGGTCCGCATGGAGTTTGATTACATAGCGTTTCAAAGAAAACTTTTCAAAAGTTGAAATAAAAACTATCCTATGTCCTTTCTCAAGGTCAACTCTATGTCTGTACCAAATTAAAATCAGTTCAGCGGTTTAGGCGTGAAAGCGTAACAAACAGACAGACAGAGTTACTTTCTCATTTATAATATTAGTAGGGATATCTCACGCAGCACTCCCCACACTTGATTATATACATGTCATGCCCCACGTCTCCGCGCCTCACTAACACGTCTCCGGGCAGACAGGACACGGGCCGCAGTTGTAGCACCAGGTCTCTTAGGAGAGACGACGAACAATCACGGAATAACTGCACCTGGAAGGAGAAAACAAGTACCAATGTGATTTTTCCGAGTCATATGTATTTTCTGAGAGTATTTAGACACCACTGACAGATTAAGGAAAACATCGTGAGGAAACATGGACTTATTCCAATTATAAGTTTGAAATCACCAATCCAACTTAAGCAAGCGTGGTGATTAATGCTCAAGTCTTCTAAATGTGAGAAAGAGGCCTTGCTCAGCAGTGGGCTCTGATAGGCTGATGACAAACAGGAGCAGACGTTTAGAATATGGTCATACTAGTTTCACCCCGCGGTGTTACCCGCGGATCGTAGTAGCCTACGTGTTATTCCTGGACGTCAGCTTGATGTATACAAAATTTTATCAAAATCGCTTCAGCCGTTTGAGCGTGAAGTAACAAACATACACACACGCTCACAAACTTTCGCAATTATAATATTAGTAGGATGAGGAACAGAAGAAATATCATCATCATCATCAGCCTATCAGAACCTAATGCTGATTAAAAGCTTACTCACATGGAGAAGATGAATGAATAAAAAAAGAAATAGTATGAGACTTTAAAAATTATTTTTTATACCCTCAAAATGTTACATACCTTGCTTAATATATTGATGTGCACCTCGAGCGCCACGTCGCGTTTCATGTTGTAAGGAAGTGAATTCAAAATGCTTGGTTCATCTGGAAAATGGAATCAATATTGATATTTTATATAATTTTTACTAGAAGACCTGGCGAACTTCGTATCGCCCTATAATCAAGAAATATCTGTTACGTTTTTTTAATTATATTTTTGAAGTTTACCTATTAAAGCCATAAATTTCCGTGTTTTGAAGTGCGACAGAATGATTGACATATTAGTTAGTTGTCAAATCTAATGTCAAAAAAAAAACATTTGTATCAACAACTACTAATAAATTAAAAAAACATTGTCCAGCGGACAAAATTGTTAATCTAAACCATTCCCAGATCCCCTTGAACACACACAAACAATTTCATCAAAATCGGTCCAGTCGTTTGATAGAAGTTCAGTGACATACACACTGACAGAAGAATTATATATATAAAGATATGGATCATATGGAGTAGATATTACCGAAGCAGCGCTGCTGATTCCAGGTGTAGCTAAACCAGCAAGTGACGCGTCTTTGCAGCGGTAGAGGCATGTTGAGACGACGAAGGTAGCGAGTACAACCATCAACTGTCTTACGATACTCTGACTGGAAATATAATTAGTAGCAATATTAAAACATGACCGTAAAAATCATTAGATTGGTACATAATTTGTTTATGAGACAATTATTAAAATATTTCGGGAATGAGTGGAAGAATACTTGGTAATGTATGGAAAATTGGAAAACAGTGATGGAAATTATAGATAAGGCTTAAATTCTATTAGACCGGTCAAATTAGACCAAAAAATAAGAGTTAAATTACCTAAATTCGCACCAAGCTGAAAATCGGTAAGATTGTTTAAAATATAATTAAAAACAAAATTTGAAAGTTCCCTATCTTTCCCCTGTAAGGAAAAATTTTATTCAAGGTCAAAGGTAAACAAAATGAGTTTTTCTCGATTTTCAGCAAAACGGTTAGTTTTATCATAAAAATATCTCAGACAAAAATTGTAGATCATAAAATTATGTATAAAGAATTAATTATTACTTTTTAAACTTCGAATGTCTAATTTGACCGGACTATATTGCAAAATTACTCAGTAAATTAGCCAATGACTATACAAGTGATGTTTAGACAAGGTGACAGAAAGATCATACAGCATTGAATTAAGGTTTTCAAGTGAAGTTTTTGTTGGAGTCAAATAACTATTGAAAAATTCTCACCCTGGCTCTAGTCGCTGTAGCTATAATGTCTCTTATCTGTCCTATCAGTAACGCGAACACGAAGACACCCATCAACCAGGCAGCAGTCATATACAGATACTCCATAGTGTTTTCAGGTTTAGGATTTTTACCTACAATTTTGGTATTATTAGCATTATTTCTTTATATTGCTATATAGTATGACTTATTCTTCCTCCATATTTACCGATGGAAGTAGCAGTTTTGGTAGCGAAGTAGAAACAGCGAATGTAAGCATTTCCCTGGTTGTCGTACACCCAGCCGTTGGAGGCGAGTCCTATGTAGTCACTCATAGCGTAATAAGCACAGGCGTTCAGATGTATCAAATAGAAGATATAGAACAGAGTCTTGCCGATACGGACCTAGAGTGGGAATCAAATATTTAGAACATTACAGTCGAAATGGAATTGATCTAATAATATATAATTCACTCACGATGTACGGAGATGATAAGACCCGATCCATAGCCTGGTGGAACTCCCAAAACGTTTGCAGCTTCAGTACCCTCGGTAATCTGAGAATAACTTTTTGCGGACCGTAATATATGTATAATATATCTAGCGGCAGAAGCGATATCACGTCGAACTGAAAAATATAACCCATTATACCTAGAAATTCCCATCAAGGATTATACTTCGATTATTAGGTACCTTGTATTGCAATTTCCTGCGATAATTCTTCCTGGTTTCAACTGGATCGTCAACCCAGAAGCCTTCGTGAAGGAACATAAGCCTTGGTTTGACCAGCACTAAGTCTAACATGTACACCGCGTCACAGAGGTAGTCAGCCATCATCCATATAGCAGTATTCTCGGGTGTCTGATAAGGGAAGGTGGCGCGGAGAGCGACACACCACGCATTGTAGCTGTAGCAGAATGTCACCAGAAGAAGCCATAATATATAGGCTCGACCTAACAAACGAGTTTATAGTCTAAATCATTTTAAATTTCCTATAATTATTATTGTTGGAACATTCAAAATAGTACCTATAATACAATACGTCTCACTGTAGAAAATCCAAAAAAAAGGAAACTTTATTCAGAATAAATATATTTAATAATTTTTTTAAACTTAAACTACGTGCATTGTTAATGTCACTGTCACTTCATAACTCACAAACTAGAGCTGCTACATAAAAACGGTATATATTTTTGAAAAAAGCGTAGAAAAACTATTAAGACTCGTGTAAAAAATCTCATGCAACAGATATGCTGATTTCCATTTTACAGTGCTATAAGTAAAGAATGTCATTTAGATTCAGTCACTATATCTACGAACCAGATTTCTGCAGAGCAAGACAATTCTATACATTTAATATATATATAAAAAATTGTATTGTTATCGGAAAAATAAACCATTTAGTCTTAATAGCGTCCAGCAGCGATGCTAACAAGTTTTATTGGTCGTTAAATAGACATTTAATATGACGAAATGAAAATATAGAATTTTAAATTAATAGTTCTTAATATGAAAAGGTTCCTACTAATTACTCACCTTGTGGATCTATTGGTATGAATGGATCCAGTAAAGCCGGTAATCTCAAGCCTTTGCATTTCTTTTCTCTCGATGGAGAAGACGGTACTGGGCTTTGTGGAGTCTCTATGACTTGAATCGTCTTGTTTGGAACCTCGGGTAAACTGACAGAAAATATCTATAAGTATATATCCGTTTCAAGTAACTGATGTCCAAAAACCTACTCACCCTTTATTGCATTCTGATTGAGGACTCTGAATTTCTTCCAGTTCAGTGATACACTCCTGTATTCCCACTTTTTTGGGGGAATTGTTGAATAATCTCACTTGTTGTATTGGAAAGAGTGACCTTGAAGTTTAATGAGATACATTATTTGGAAATACTACGAAAAGATGATTATTAAATAGTGTAGTATTATACCTCCTGTTTTGATTTGAATCCTGGATATTACTCCTCAGTTCATTGTAGAGTTCTTGTTTAGATGGCGTCTTTTTTATACTGAAAACGAATAATTCAATAGTAGGGTATCCTAATAAATAGTAGGGGTATTGATATGAAATATCAACTAACATATTACGTATAGGCGTTGTATCCGGAGTACCCCAGGACTCGTGGGGTCCTTTGGTAGACTGGTCATTCTTCTTGTCTGGTGAAATTGGATGCACGGTGTGCTATCGAACAGTATAAGTTGAAATATTAACATAACTGTATGGAATGACGTTATAACAATACGTTTGTACCTATGCATCATTTGTTTAAAATACTGCCTTTATAACTCTTTGTATGGGTGACACTGCTAAGTCGAAGTTAATTTATATCGTGAGTCAAACAAAAGAGTGAGTGAATACATACATACTCGTACTATTACTTTTTATAATGAAAATAAAATTTTGGAGCGTGCACATTTAAATGCAACCAATTTCGGACACTACGCGTTTTTTATTATTATTTAGGTATATCTGCGTAATCTCAATTTTTCGGTTGCTTTACAGCAAACGTGATCACGAATTCACGAGTACATCAGATGAAGAGGTACTGCTTTTTATTTCCCATCATGTTAAAAGTATATAATTTACCTAAATTAAAAACAGTAGCCTAATTTTGCTCTTTCCATTATCAAATAGGTAATAATATAGTTTCATTACTACATAATATAAAAAAATTCAACCGATGCTTTAATTGTTGATGAATTAGCTGAGAGCGTAATGTAGAAAAATTAATATTATATTTAGAATGAAAAGAAAAACTAGTGAAATACTTCGTAGATGCTTGTGTATTGAAGGAATTAAAAAAAATCTTTTCCATCAAATTCGTTACGTACCATTTATATGATAACCAGTATTATATTAGTAATAGGATATGAAATTTAAGGAGTGGACGTACTTTTATGGTGTCTATAAAACGATCATAAAGTCTTTGTATTTCTTTCAATAGCTGTCATCGGTTTAAGATACATTTAACAGCCGCTTTGTCCTAAGCATATACTATACTATATCCTATATATATTATATACTAGTTTTCACCCGCGACTTCGCTTTAATTTCGGAATTAGTTATACATATATGTATGTATAGCTAACCGGGAGAAATCTATTCCGCCCTATAGACCTTAAATAACTAAATGTTGAAGTTTATTATTTTTTTCCTTCTGTTTCGATCGAACAGAATTAAATCTCTTATATCCGTCTCCTAATTCTAAACTATCTCCTCTCCAATTTTCAACCACATAACTACAGCCGTTCTTTAGTTATAAATAGTGTAACTAAAACAACTTTCTTACATATATGTAGGTATACATGATATTAAATACAGTTTTCTTTTACTTTATAATTATTTCGTATATCGATTTACCTTAGAATTTAGATAATAGATTAATGTTTAGTTCTCATTAGAGTGGGTTCATACGTAAACATTTACTCGGAATCGGTTCGTTCTCTATTCAATACAAACCTTGATTAAGGCGAGGTTAAATAAATAATTAAAACTATATATCTTAGGTATTTTATTAAAATAACCTCGTTTATAGAATAATGATACTAGGAAAGTACTGACTCTGTATGCAAAACACGCTTGTCGGTAGTCGGAGGTTAATGGGCCGTCCTTGTGAAACATTACTGTATCCGATATCTTGATTTGAATTCGATACAGTTGTGAGGATGGGGTGGAATTCAGAATGTGAAATGATTTAAATTATTACTTAAAAAATATATATATATTATATGTATATAGAGTGGAAAATGGGAAAGGTCATACTTGATGAAAATCTTCTAACATATGTATTGATTAAATTAATATATTCTAGCATTATATTTTGAGTGTAAAACTGAAAACTATGTGTATTTAGTCTCGTGGTAAGGGTGAAGGATGATGATAGGCGAAGTACTTTTAAGGACGGTAGTAGGTACTTGAAAAAAATTAAGAATTTTCCTAGTAATTATTATCTATATTATGAAATGTTTGATTTGCTCAAGATTTTTTTTTTTCAAAAACATCGATTTGATCAAGTAGTTATTAATATCTTTAAATTTGACTAATTATTTAAAATATATTGATGCTATATACATATATGTGTGTGTGTGTGTGTGTTTGAGTATAGAAATATTTTACATAGCACCCATGTATTTATATACATATATATGTACATAATCATTAACATTGATCGTTGTTTAGTTAAACGTTATTTTGTTAAACGCCGCATCTTAAGTAAATTAATTACTTAGCCTGAAGGGCAGGGTGGGTCACTTATTCGTGTGACGATACCTTTAATACAAATATATATTATTACTGTTTACTTCCAATATATAAATAACTATGTATATATATATCTATATATATATAGTAGACAATTTCGTGACAAACAATAATAAAATAGAGCGAAGAGCTTAATTGCTTCTGAGAACGTTTAAAACAAATTAGTGTTAAAACACAATTTGAGATTACTAAGCATTAAATATTAAGGAAGTTTCTTTTAAATATACATATTATTATCTAAAGAACCAAAAAGTTTTTAACGACTTTATATTTTAATTAAGTACTTTGTTTTATTTGTTACCAATGTTGTTCCATATAACTAAATCGTATTTAATATTTATATACTAAAACAATCATATGTTAGGGATTCTTTTTTCAATACTACATAAATAAATCGTAATTATTCAGCCGATGTCTTTTTAAAAGTATATAACTAAAGTTACATTACAAAGAAAACAATAGGTAAATTTAGTCATAACGAGCGTTAGTATAATAGAATAACATCATAGTAACGATTTTCAATTAACGAATATAATTTCGTAGATAATATTACAAATTAAAATCGACTCACCACGTCAACTTTTATTTCCATTCTATCAAAATATTTGAAAACGTCACCATAATAAAAACAACGCTATCAGTGTTGACAAAATTACCACATTAAGGACGCGTGCGTCAGTGAAGCCACTCGCTACTTGACTAAGACCGTCGCATACAAACTGAACTTACAGCTACAATACGCAGGTTCTTTACGACAAATTAAATCTAACTCAACTCGAGAAAATTGTTTTCTAAATTTACTAACTTACTTTTATAGTATTATGTAAATTAAATCTGTAAAATACAATTTATCCCTTCAAATAGTCTAGGGAATAAAACAATGTCTAAAGAATGAAGTGTGTTACTCGCATTATATAACATTTGTTTGACGTTTACGCAATGGATTAACCAATTAAACGAATAGAAATAATTGTTACCAATATGGCGGATATATGAAAACAAAAGAAGAATGAATATTATATTAGTATTATTAATCATGAAATAAGATGATAAATTTAAAATTAAAAGTTCAGTACAGGAAATTCTATTGATAAATTATAACGAAAATGCTATCTGAGTTTAATTAACTAGTAAAACCCCGACTTCGCCTACGTGGAGTAAACAATTACTTAGCTAATTTAGTAAAAAGACAGTAATTGGTTTTGGTGCTTAATGTTCATATTGATTACTACAACAAAAATTGTTTTCGTAATTTCTTTTTATGTATTGAGTTTTTAAAAACCTCTAGTTTATCCTTACAATAGGTATTCAAATAATGTAACACGATAACTTCAGAAGTCAGAAAACCATTTTTTTAAGTCACAATCAGAATCTAATTTATTTATTGGTTATAATCAATAAAAAAATATTAAACCTATAATTAAATAATTTGTTTCAAAACAAACTGTTATATGAAGATATATGTATTAAATTCATTCAGACCTTATAATTACATAGTTACAAATATGAAATAATTCACAAGGAATTAAAGCAACAAGAGACAACTATACGACTAGTACATATGACACTTAGAACGTTTTTAAATAATAAATCCTATTGAGATAAAGGAAAATCCTGATAAAATTCGCCAAGATTTCGGTCTAAAAACGTATTGACTGATTCCATACATATATTTGAAATTATTTATGTAAACTGTATCAAAAATCGCCATTAAAATTTCACGATCTGCTCAGCGTATATTTCATAAAATAGATTTATTTTAAACTGTCAACAAAATCAGACAAATGTTGATGTTCTTTATAAAAATATGATGAATTAAACTTACATAGCACACGTTTTTTATAATTTCTAAATGGTTACATCAACAAAAGTATATAAAAAATAATGAATTAAGCACAAAGATTTTTGCTCAGAGGATTTATAAAGTATTGTAAAAATCTTACCCTTTTAAATAGCTTCAACATTTCGGACGCCAAATTAGTTATCGAAGTAGATTTTCACTAACGATCTTTCATTTAATATCTCAAACAGTATGATGACTCCATTTTGACCGAACATATCATATGTTTTAATCAATATCACTGCACATGATCATTTGCAACCCCATCCCCGTGTCTCAAATACAAACAGATTTTAATCCGGACGATTTAAATTGCCTTAAGTAAGATGAAAAGTTATACTAGAAGTGTACTTTTCATTTTGGTCGTATAATAAATTATTGACTGCCAGGCTAGTAACAAATATTTGCTGTGATACATAGTATACTTGTACCCTGCTGCGCTGTGTTGTGATTCTACATGATTGATTAAAAAGCGCTTTCAGCGCTGTACTTTTAAAAGAAATTAGTTTGTCATATTCCCTTCTGATTTTTATAATTTTTCATTTTATATAAAATAATTTAGTACTTAAAAATATTCTTTTAATGTTTATAATTAATATATATTTTTTTTGGGAAAGAAGAATACTATTTTAATTCAGCGCTTTAGAAGAAGTTTAAAGCTTTCTAAAGCGGAAACTTGTGCTTTACCTGCCACTAATGTGCGCGCGCTTACATTGGATTGCGTTCCGTTTTCTAAAAAGTATAAGTAAATAATGTAAAGACAACTAAATTAAAAACATCCTTAGAGTTTATATAAAATATATATTAAACATATATAATAAATAGTCTTAGTAAATATGTTATATATTATAAATACTAGTCCGAAAAGTTTTTGAAATACGGGTTTAAAACATCATATTATACGTGTATAAACTAAAATTTAAATTAATATAAAACTGTATATTTTTTATACACTTTCCGTTGTATTTTATATTTCATTATAAATTCTACACATTTTAAGGTTGAGAAATTCCAGTAATTTTTAGATTTAATGATCAGTATTGATTTTAAAACAATGAGGATGGTTTTTGAACAAGAAACTTTTATAATATTTCAATGAAAAACATAAAAAAGACCAAATTTTGATTTAATATCCATATAAAACAAAAAAGAAGTTTTCTCTCCGGCGGGGAATCGAACCCCGGTCTCCCGCGTGACAGGCGGGGATACTGACCACTATACTACCGAAGACTGTATTAACTTGGTCAAAATTATTCAATAGATACTGCAATTCAATATACATGAATTATTGTTATATTTTTTTAAATCTATAATATTTTTATTAATTAATTTATAATATGTATAAATAATTAATGTCAGCAAAATACTGTGTAATGATATATTCAATTTCAAAACTTATATTTCGTCTTTATCAAATTTTTATATTTTAGTTCCAGTTGTAATTTTTCTTTTTTTTGCTTGGATTTTTTTTTAACACTAAATCGATTTTATAAACAATTGCTATTATATTTTGGAATACGTCTAAAGTAATGTGCGTCGAAATATATAAGTACCGGTTCTTTAAATCTTGAGTTTTAATTTTCGTGTTGAAAATGAATAATTGAACATTAAGTCTGGACTCTGGACCACAGGTGAACAATTTTTCATTGAATTTACAAGGATGATATACCAATTAAAATAATTTTTGCGTTAAATCATATACTGATTTAATATTACCTAATAATTATATGATTAAAGTACTAACGTATGTTGCATCAGTGTTCTTAGTTTGTTATTTAATTATATAACTGCTAGGGTCATTAAGGCCGTCTAAAAATAACTCAGTGTATTCTAGGAATTATATACGCAGAAATTTAACTGGACCACAGACCTATTATTAATGTAGAGTAAGTTTGTCTATCTGTTGAAAAATTTACTTATTTGTAAACGCAATAATTAAAGAAAGAAAGAAATTAAATTTGGTATTTTTAGATAAGACTCTGCAGGTAGGAAATATTTTTTTGCTACGATAAGAAAAAACTTATCGTTGTTAATTGAGAAAAGAATTTCTGTTGCGTTCAAACAATAAGAAGTTCAAGGTTTATTTGAAATCTAAGTTTTGTATCTGTATTCTGTATTTTCATTATCAATTCATAATTTAGACTCTGTACAAATTTATATTTTAAATAATTTTAATTTGAAGTTTTTATTTATTTTATTTACAAATTTTTCAAATAAAAATGATTACCCAAAATTTCGGAAATTTCCACGTTAAATAAGCTTTTTGGCTATTTTAAATTGGAAGGCGTCAAAGTGTATTTCTTAGTAACTTAGATTTCATTAGTCAAATAATTTACTTTGTTTATTCAACTTGTACAATAAAATACACTTTTACTAGTGGAGAAAAACAGTGCCAAATAAACCAAGCCCGGGATGAATGCCTCTTAGCAAATACTCTTGATAGTTCTTTTATTTGCTGAGAAGTTCTGTGCGAACTGATGCTTGTTTAATGATGAGAGTGACTTTTTTGTGACAGTAAAATATACTAATAATATTAATTTTTATTCCTTTGTATTCTATTGACGTATGAAACAAAATTAATAACAAAAAGTAAATGTATAAATATAGGAATTATGATATAAATAAAATATGAGTATGTTTATTTATTTATAGATTAATTTAATAATATTTTATTTATTTTTCCCAAGACCTTTTGAATCTCAATAAGGCTTATCATGTCTAAAAAGATAAGTGGAGTCTTTTAAGTTTAAGTTACATTAGATACATAGAGTTTAGGAATAATTTTAAATAGATTTGACCTAAATAGCACGAATGGACCGCATTTAACTTCTATCGACGTTTATATGTTGATAAAACATTATAATTATAACTGAACAACTGAAGGTCATAACGTCCATTGTTCAAAGATTCCTTATTTACGAAGCCATTTAAAATTCAAAGCATATATAAATCAAATTATCTGTAAAGGGATAAGTCCGCGGACATGGTGTAAGCGGACTGTGAATGAGCGTTTCACGTATTATTAAAACGTGCTGGGATCACACAGTTCAAACTGATATCGCGTTATAACGTTTAGGGATAATTTTGTTAGTTGATTGCGTACAATTATCACGATCGTTTATTACATATATAATATCGATGGTGACCAAATGTGTAGATCTATGATGGTGAAAAATTTTGTAATTATTGCATTATTTATATGCAGGTAAGTGTTGTGTGCTTTGATGTTTTGGTATAGTGACGTGGGCTATAATAATATTTGGAATTTTAGTGGCCGCTGTAAAGTTATTATTCATGAAGATTTGCCAGATATTACGAAGAATCTGGTGCAGAATGAAGTAAAGAACGTTCCCTCCATCGTAATAGATCTACCGGTACACAAGGAACTGATAAGTATAATAGCACCAAAGGATACTCCAAAGAATGTGCCAAAATTAAAAAAATCTGCTAATACAAACGAAAACGGAAACCAGAAAAACCAGTGTGCGGGCGTAAATGACACTATATCAGATAATTTAATAGATTCAGATGAAAATGTACCTTGTGAGATACCGTTTAAGATCGACAATGGCACAGTTTTAATTCTCACGCCTTACATTGAAGAAGGCCAAGTCGCAGAAGCGCGTAATGCGAGCATTGTCAACCCTGATGTTTTTCTAGGGTATGAAAGCTATTCAGGCTTTATAACGGTGAATAAAACTTACGATTCGAATATATTCTTCTGGTATTTTCCTGTGCTCAAAAAACCGGTGAATGAAACTCCGTGGATAATATGGCTGCAAGGAGGCCCTGGAGCTTCGAGTATGACGGGACTGTTCGATGAAATAGGGCCATTTAAGCTGAACTCTATAGGAGAGTTGACACGTGAGTTAATTAAATTATAACCAGGGATAATTTCAAGAATTCTTTAATGAGTAATGTTTGTAAAACGATTTTAGACAACCCTTACTCATGGATACACAATCATTCTCTGGTCTTCATCGACAACCCTGTGGGTACTGGTTACAGCTTCACAAAACACGTCGATGGATATTCTAGCGACATGGTTGAAGTAAATATATTAATTATCATAACTATAACTTATATTGTAATGTGGGGGAATCTATTTGTTCTTATGTAAAATTTTTACTGATGCTGACTTAAAAGACATACAAATTATAATGTTTTGCAATACTATATATAAAATACAAAGAAGTTTAATATATACAAAATGAATAAATTACGATAAAGACAGTAAGAAAATTTTTTGTACATAATTTATTTATTCTATTTGTCATAAAATTTCAATCACATGAAATTCTATAAAGCTTTTTAATAATAACAATCATAACAAAAATGTTTTTCTTCAATTATTTCAATATAAAGCATTTCGTCTAATGTGAATGTGACTTTTGTATTAAAAAATTTTGACTCATGTCTATAAAACCAACGAGTTTATAAATTCATCCATTAGCAAGTACAATATTTTTGCAAAACATTTATTTTATATATTTAATATAAAGATAACATATTATGTTATTATACTTAATTACAATTAATATTCCCATTATTTTTGACCGACATTATTAAGTTTTTTCTTGAATAAATATTTGTGATTATCCTTTCTATATTACTAAGTTATTATCCTAAAACAATGAGTGTATGTAAAAGATATATTGCATCCGATCGTTTAATCTTACTATTTACAATTCTCATAATTTTAGTATGGAGCCAATTTGGCTGAAACCGTACGTCAGTTCCTTCAAATATTCCCTGAACTCAGGTCAGCACCGTTATACGTAGCGGGAGAATCATATGCTGGTAAATATGTACCAGCTCTCTCTATGGAACTTCACAAGAAAAAAGATGACCCTGGATACAAAGTCAATTTAACGGTGAGAATATTTTGTTATATCAAACAACTAGTTTTAGCACGCGACTTCGTCCGCGTTAATTTCGGAATTAGTTATATGTGTATAGCTCACCGGGCGAACTCTATTGCTACCTAAAGGTCCTAAATAACAAGACATTGGAGTTTATTAAGTTTTTTCTATCGAACAGAATTAAATCTCCTATATCCATCTCCAATTTCCAACCATATCCCTACAGAAGTTCTTGAGTTATAAATAGTGTAACTAACACAACTTTCTTTTATATATAGGTTACATTGTTGTATTATGTATAATGTTATTTTCTTTCAGGGTATGATGTTGGGCAATGCTTACATAGATCCCAGTATGATAGCCCAAGTTTCGTATCCCTTCTATTATTTTGGGCTCCTCAGCAAAGAGCAGATTGAGATAGTTGACCCGCTCTTAAAATCCTTTCAACAGGACATAGCAACGAATAACAGCATAGCTGCTAAAAATGTATGTAATTAGTATTTAAACTCTTTAAATATTACATAAATATAACAATATTAATAGATAAGTAGGTATTAAAAGTCATTGAAATAGCAAAAAAATGGAAAGTTCCACAGACTAAGAGCGGTTTTTTATTTAATTTAACAAATAGAAACGCTGTTTTTGTAACTTATATTTTTGTGTAAGCTTTTTAGTCTAATATTTAATTTAATATTATTTGATCAAAATACATTACGAATGTTTTGATTTCCTGATTAGTATTACTCATCTTGCTATAATTGGCATTTTAATATAATGATATCTAATTAGTTAACATAATTTACAGAAATGGAACAGCTTGATCGCCGTGTTGTTGTTTCTAACTCATCAAAAGCAGGCTTACAATTTTCTCAAGGACGATATATCTGTGGGCCACTACGTAAATTTTCTCAAAACATCCGAAGTAAAGAGGGCTCTACACGTAGGGGACATAAGGTTCTCTTTTGTAAATCAGACCGTGAATTCAAAGATGGCGCCTGATTTCTTGAGCAGTTCAAAGCCATTGTTTGAAGAACTTTTGGAACATTATAGAGTTCTGATTTACTGGTGAGTACATTAAGGGTGTGTGTAAAATAGAAGGACATTTATGATTTACCTTAATGTATCAATCAGTCTGGTTTTTAATATATTTGAAATGTATTATAATGTAGATCAGTATGGATAGATATAAAATCGATTTAGCCATTCCCTTAGTGGTGACGCTGTCAAAGCCATTGTAGCCATTGCAAATCGAATAGGAAGAAAAGCAACAGACAATAAAAAAATAATAATAATAAAAACACTTAGCCTTAAACTTTTCAAGAAATTAAAAAAACGTAATACTCGAGTTATGGATATATTTGGAATAGGCTTTGACGTTATAGCATTTTGTGAATTGAGAGCTTACTACATCTACATTCGTCTATTGAATACGAAGATTTCCTAGTTTCTGTTCACAAACCTACGTAGATACTATCCTGAGGGAAGATATATGAATACGAAACTGTGAACTCTCCGTACGTAGTCAGACCACGCAGACATGTGGTAAGGGTACAGCTATTTTACCTATCATGCCCACCATCTGAATGAGTAATCGTTGATGTATTAATACATAATTTATATTTAATCAAAAAATGAGAATAATTTATATATGTGTCTATATTTAAAATAAAAAAACATCTAAGAAAAACCTAATTAAGATAAGGTTTTTTCGACTCATAAAATATGAAATAAACAGGGGATTTACGTTAGATACACTGATAAAAAGACTACTACTGATACTATTAGGAGTAGATAATGTTTATTTAATTAATACGTCATTATTATTAGTAGAGTCCGAATTATTATAAAACTCCTAGTAAACCAAAGAAGTTGTGTTGTTGCCCCGTCACGTTAATGATGTCATTCCTTTGAGGGATTATAATACTTCATTATTAATAAATTATTAATACTGATCATCAGATTCCTAAATTCAGACCAATAAAGCTTTAATTGACATTTAAATATTTACTATTTACTAGAAAAGTTACTTCAACACATTACACAAGGAACATCTTTCAATGTTGAAATTTTTCTGTTGGTTTTAACTTATATAAAAATAACTTTATAATATATGTATATGAAACTATGATACAAAATATTGGTGAAACAATCAAATTCATGTCCATTTCGTAAAAAGAAATTTTATCCAAAAATGTGATGATATTAAATTTGATGGCGTGACAATGGCAAGACACACTTCATATAAAAATTTCAACTTCGGTTGCAATATTTATTGTGTTATTATTGTGTAACTAAATACTATCCTAAAACAAATAAAGTACCTACTATATAGAAAACAACTACAAAATGAAACTGTGTTTAAAAAGTAATATTACTCTTTCCCGCCGCGCCGGCTAGCGCAGAGAGCGAGTTGGTTTTGTTTCGGAGTTATTTATCATTGTAATCTTTAAAGTTTTTTGTTGAAATTAAGTTATGTCAAAGACAATTTTATTCACAATGAAGTACTCTTAACCAACAACATATTTATTTGTTTATTTGAATAAAGATTAATATTATTATGTTGATACAACTTAAACAAATTATTTCGACCAAATTAGGTACCATAAAAACGGTTTTTGTAAGTTAATCTTATAAGATAGACATATACTGTCGCGGACTGTTTTTTAGATCATTAAAAGAGCTATTATTCTTTCATACATATTTTTTGTGTATTTTGAACCGTTTTCACGGCGCACGCAACGGAAGGCTTCAAAGATGAAATAATTTCTCCCGTTTTTTACACATTTACCACTATATCTTTGCTCCTATTGGTCGTAGCGTGATGTTATATAGCCTACAGCCTTCCTCGATAACTGGACTATCCAACACAAAAAGAATTATTCAATTCGAACCAGTAGTTTCGGAGATTAGCGCTTTCAAACAAACAAACAAACTCTTCAGCTTTATAATATTAGTATAGATTGAGAAAAAAAATGTTTCTTATCTTGTGAAATATATCACAAAAAATATATACACGAATAAAATGATTCTTTACAAATTATAAAAATTTATTTATGTGTTTATTGAGGATAGCTACAAAAATATAGTCGTTTTTTAATACATATATGTTTATTAACCTCATTTACATGTCGTTTCAGTGGACATTTGGACCAAATGTTGCCATGTGTGTTCACATCAGACAATTTCAGAACTTGGACGTGGAGTGGATCCAAGGAATTTCAGGAAGCAGCCAGATATCCTTATATTTATAAAGCTAAATTATCTGGGTTAGTATATGTATATAATTTACACATCTATTATTTTATTGAAACATATTTTTTTTCATACATATGAGAGTTTTCCATCTTTGTCTCAATTTAAACTTCCGTCTATATGAAATAATAGTCAATCACTATCTAGTATCCAATGCATATTAAAAAATACATGCATGAAGGGCATTGGTCCGCTCTATGTCTCATAGAATTATACAGACGAAATTTTTGGTATGAAAACATAAAACGAAAAGTTATTGACACTGAGCAATCAAATTCCTCGTCCAGATAGAGACAAAAATTTGTAGGAGTCACTTGACTACATTCTCTTATTTCATACGAAAATAATAGCAGTTACAGCCAAAAGCTACTTGCTAGCTAGGTCGCCTAGACTCCTTAACATGCAATAAAATTAAATGCAGCATAGAAATAAGGTCAAAATTGTTAAGACTTCCATATTTCCAGTCATTTCGTACGTAAGCTGAGTTTATAGACGCTGTTTCTGTACAACTAAAAAAATACAAACCATTGAGCAATATGTGACAATGCTACAGAAAAAAGTAACATTTTGACACTATACATAGTTAAATCGTGTTTTATAACCACAGCTATCACTAATGAAAGCAATATTCAAAATACGTCAGTTAACGATAATAAAAAATCAAATAATTTAAGTAAACCCAATAAATATAAATGTTATTCAGCTACCACAAGACAGGAGGTCAGCTGACCGAGGTCGTGGTACGAGGGGCAGGTCACATGGTACCGGTCGACCAGCCAGGACCCATACAGAACCTGGTGGCACGCTTCACCCACAACAAACCACTGAGCCAGCGCTTTGGACTCCTCGAAGGATCCTTCATACAGGAGTTCATTAAGAACCAGACGGTTGTGTATTTGTAATTTGTAAATAAATTGATAGATAGGTAAATTTTTCTTCATTAATTTAAAAGACCAACCTAAAACTACACATTAGAGTTGGAAGAACAAAGTTCTTAAATTTTAGATTTGATTTAGTCAAGTATGAACAAAAAAAAAAATTAAATAAAAAAATTCAATATAAACTGCAAAGAAAATATTTTTTTATTGAATAAATAATATTTGATATTTTATATCTGTATTTATTAAGCAAAAGCTATTTAATAATACAATCATGTTAAAAATTAAGGATATTAAGTGTTATATTCATACAATATTATAAATAAAAAATTTAAGTTATTTGTTTTGTTATTAAGATATACATTCGCCTTAACATCCGCCATGTTGTAATGTCAAATTAAACATGGAACCAAAAGATTTTGAAGTCAGAAATTAGATTATTATTAACGTATTCACTTAAATCAATTATGGCTATTGAACATTAAAAAATAAATTATAAGAGCAAATTTAACGAGACAATTCAATTTTCTTTCTGCCGGAATATGCTATCATTTGATCCATTCATTTCCAAGCCCACCATTCATTCTCTGGACAAATTAATCATTCATACCTTGACTGAACTTCTTTCATAAAGCTATAATAAAAAAGAACACATGATTCCGTAATGCGTCATAACATGAAAATTTCTTCAAAATCCTATTTAAATCATTTTAATGTTGCAGTTATTAAGAATAATTGAAAAAAATGTCTAAGCCGGTATCAACATTATATGATAATGTTTATTATTTGCTTCCTTTTTTCTTTAAATTAAGATTTTAATTGGATCTCGACGTTTGAGTAGTACTCATATTTTTGTTTTATTGAATTACTTTTGACAGAGTACTATTAGTATATATATATATCTACCCAAGCCGTATTCGGCTATAGTGACTTAGCTTTGTTTTATAGATTACATAGGTATTTAAGAGCTGCGATGCGACCTCACATGACTAAAGTACCCAATCTTAGCACTAAACGTGCGACCACAAGTGTCACACGTCAGTGTACCATTAAGGTACTATTAGTACTACTAGTACTAATCCTTTATAAATTAAATGTTTGTACATATTTTTAAATAAAATAGACGTGTACCTAATTTTGCAATAATGATTATTTACATTTCTAGCAAAACGTTAATAAAATGCTACCAAGAGCTTACGAATCTATTAATCATCTAAATTCTATATAAATTACAGACAGAACGCATGATTTTCTGAACATAACATAATGTGCTCTGAAATACTAAAACCAAATATATGTGACTATAAAATACGGAATAACAATAAAATAAATAATTTTAAAAACTATGTCATCGATTAGGATTTTTACACTGGCAACATATTTGTTTTATTATTCATTACATATCGTTACTAACTTACATCTGTTATTACACTGGCAACTCTTGCGCCGCTGTCTCACATTAATGCCTGCAAATTGCAACATGACAATGACATCTAAGATAACAATTTGTTATTTGTTCATTTCATTATTACTGTAGTTGTAAATAAAACTTAGAAATAACCTTAAGAAGTGTAACATTATTTATTAATTTATATATTTTCATATTACATCAAACTATTATGTAAAACAATATGTATACAGAAAGAATCCTGTTAATGTAAGTAAAATAACAAACTTATTAACAACAATTGTTGTTCCTTACAGAGTTACCTTATTAACACCATTTTTAGACACAAAAGGTTTTGTCAGCAAAATTCAGCGATTGTTTGGTTGTCGCTGTTTTAACCGACAGTTATTAGAACCTAGATTACAGTTATTTTGCTATACATTATTAATTTTGTTTATTGTTATTTATAAACGATTGTGTACGAAAAAAAATGAATCAAAATTATCACACTGACATTTCATGTAATTGAGTATTTTTGTTTTGATGATTGCACAACGATTGCGTTACGATTGTCTCATCTCAGTACTAGGGAATCCCATCGTGATATATTTAAAGCTCACATTTATAGATTCTTGATATGTATGCACGTTGTTTTTCAATGAAAATAAAACCGAAGATTTTATCAGTAACTCATATACAATACGTGTATCTCAGTTACGGTAATTGTAACCGGTCAAATTCGTTATTGTTCATTTATTTTTGAAACATATGTTGACTATATGTCTAAACGCTACGTACTATATAATATCAAGTAGGTACTACGTACTATTTTACGTAAAGTCTGACCCATTAATAAACATAATATAGTATAATGTGAGAAAAATACGTAGTTTCATTACTTTAATAAAAATAATATACATATAGTTTAGGAAATTGTTATTAACTTGTAGAAACTGAGAAATTGACACGTGAAAGTATTTATATAGTTTCGTTGAAAAACATTAGTCATAGCAATGTTTAGACGACTAGCACAAACAAAATATTAAAAAACAATTTGTGTTTAAATTATATGAAACGGGAACGTATTATTTTTTATATTAATTATTGTTCGGTGTTATTAAATACGGTTATCTAACATCATTATATCGATTTTAATTCATCTGAAATCTGATTAATGTAATCTAGAAATCAGTATTATTGTTTAGGAATACTCTATAATGTTTGTATATTATAGTGTTTAGCTCCAATTGTTCGTCAAAACACATCCATCGTGGGCTGCCTCATTATTATGTGTTTAATATGCGTTGACGGATCGATAAAAACGTTAAACGTCGAACGCCTGTCAATGTAAGCGGCTGTTTTGACTGGGAATTGACAGAGAAGCGACTTACAATCGGTTTTTTTAAATGAACGAGGCATCAATAACTTATAATATGTTTTTAAATTACCTTTTTTGTTACATTTGATGTATCTTGAAATATATTGATCGTACTTGTTCTATATCTATAATATTTTTCGCCTTCGCTTCGCCCGCGTGGAGTTCGGTTATATCGCGTTTCCAAGAGAACTTTTCAAAAGTCCGGGATAAAAACTATCCTATGTTCTTTCTCAAGGTCCACTCTATCTCTGTACCAAATTTCATTAAAATCAGTTCAGTGGTTTAGGCGTGAAAGCGTAACAGACAAACGAGTTACTTTCACATTTATAATATTAGTAGTGATAGATATTATTTAAATTCTTTTCTCAGTCAACCTCTCTCAAATGTTTATCATGCATGCACTATAAATTTCTTTTCTTTTTAGTATAACACTCACGGCTGTAGCTGATGCCGTACAAATCGATACACCTCTTTTTCTCACCGCTTTCATTAAAGAAAATAAAACTGAGGAAGCGAGAAACGCCTCTCTGGTAAATGCGGACGAATTTCTAAACATCACAAGTTATTCGGGTTTCTTGACGGTTGACGATAAATATGATTCTAATCTATTCTTCTGGTACTTTCCCGTTGCTAATAAAGATTTAAAGACGACTCCATGGATTATTTGGCTCCAAGGAGGTCCGGGGGCTACAAGCTTAGCTGGACTCTTCGATGAAATGGGTCCATTCGAATTGGATAACGATTTGAATTTAAAAAGTAAGGCATTGGTTGTACGTATTATATTCTTGTTTTTTTTTTTTACTTAAAATCTTCTTAATTTTAGAACGAAAATACACGTGGACGGATGAGTTCTCAATGGTATATATAGACAATCCCGTAGGAGCTGGCTTCAGTTTCACGAAACATGAAGAGGGTTATCCGAACAATATGGATATGGTAAAATACATACACTTACACAAAAACATTAACTGATCTTTATTTTCTTCGAGCAATTTTGATCTCTATTCGAATGTTATTTAGGTATATTTTTGTATCTTTTAGTACACCGAAAACCTATATACAGCATTGAATCAACTGATCGTATTATATCCAGAGTTAAGTGAGGCGTCTCTGTATATAGCTGGTGAGTCCTACGCTGGGAGGTACGTGCCAGCATTAGCCGAGAAAATTATGAAAGAGAAAGAAAGCCACATTAATTTACAGGTGAAGCAGATTACAGTATAACAATGCTAGATTTAAATTAACTTTGAAGTAGATTTCTTGCAAAAATTCGTATAGATATGTATTTAATATTAAAGATGTGCTAAGATTATACTTTGATTAAAATTCAAGTAGAACGAAAAATTCCTTAAAATAACCAGAATTTGAACCAGTGACTTCTAGAATGTTGCGTTTGAGTTGCTTTACCATATAAGCTACCACTTGGTATAATTGTTGTAGGGTATCATGCTAGGTAATCCTATATTAGACCGCGAGAGTCTTATCGATTACACTCGGGCGTTCTACTCCTGGGGACTCATAGACGAGCAGGGCGCTCTAGCAGCAAAACCTCTACAGGAGCAGTTCCATAAGGAAATCAATGAAGGGAATGCCAAAGAGGCATATAAGGTTAGTGACATTTGAAAATTGGCATTGGGATTTTATAGTACATATTTCAATAACACTATGAATATACAATAGTACATACCTGAGCTTTTAATCCTGGATCTTCTCCACTCAGACTTAAGAGTAATTCTAGCTCTACATTATAAAATATCCCTAATTAAAAAACAAAGGCACATTTACTACACAAAAAATATATAAAACCATAGCAAAATTTGGTACAAACTTTCCCCTTTTTGTTACAAACGGAATACTCTAACGTAATGAAATAAACAAATACTAATACCATTAATCCCTGATATTATTTTTATTCATACATTAATTTCTCTTTTTTTGTGTACTATCAGCTGCGCGACGATCTTCTCGATAAGCTCCAAGGCATAGCAGAACAATCATCTCTATACAACGTCATCACACCCACAGAAGGTTTGGAACACTTCGTCAATTTCATCACAAGTACCAAAATCAGGAACTTGATCCACGCTGGGAATGTGACCTTTGATTTTTCAAACCACGAGGTCCACACACATCTCGTGGCAGATTTCTTGGCCCCTGTTTCCAGTAAATTGCTCGCTGTTCTTGAACACTACAGAGTTCTTATATACTGGTCAGTATTATTATAGCAGCATTTTTAGTATCTGATAGAAATCTATATAAATTTATCATATAGCGATGAATTGAATCTCATGTTTTGGTTGTCTAAAAGAAATTTATTCACCAGCGGACAGTTGGACCTCACGACTCCTTGTGTTCTGAACAGCGAAGCTCGCAGAAAGAGATGGAATTGGTCTGGGAAAGATGAATTCCTTAGATCACCACGAACACCGTGGTGGTTCAACAATAGCGTGGCCGGGTATGAACATACAAACATAGAATAAATCTAACAAGTAATAAGTCAATCTTCAGCGATAATTATTATTTACAGCTTCGTGAAGTCAGGCGGACGCTTCACGGAAGTTCTAGTAAAGGGAGCCGGACATCTCGTGCCCAGGGAAAAACCGGCTGAAGCCAAAACATTAATATCATACTTCATCAATGGAACAGCTCTACCAAAACCACCTTCGTACATAATACGCCCTGAAGACACTCCGTACTATGAAGAGTACTTTGACCTGAAAACATCAAAAATTACCCCAGCCATGGAAGTAAAGTCTGGTTTAATAGCTAGTGTAGTAATAAACGTTCTACTATTAGCTGGTATCGTTTTCGGAGTATACAAGTTTCTGAAATGGAAGAGAGAAACCGATTATTTCTATTCCCCGTTAAACGACGGCATTTTAACCATGTCGTAGTTAATCAGCTGTTTAATTTTAATTTTTATAATTAACTGTTGTTTAAACGTCCGTCTGAAGTTAACTATCGGTTAAGTACACTAGTCCTAATTGAATCATTATACCTGAAAGAATTTTATACCGACTGTTTTGTAATAAATTTATAATATACAAATTCTATAATTTGTTTTATTAAATAATTATTATATCTATAAATAAAAATGGACAATGAAGTATATTTTATATATATTATGAAATAGTATTAACTTCAAACACACACAGTCTTGTGTCGTTTTTCATAAACTAAGCTTATTCTAAGTTTCCATTGTCACACTACGTACGAAGCGTCTTCAATTTTTTATACAATATCCTACGTGAATTAAAATTTACGAAAAAAAATATTGTGAACGTTACGATGCAAATAGACTAAGCATACTGTCCTAAAAAAGTAATTCTTTGTTATCATTTTTATACAAATCAGATGTATAAAGGGGTGCCGTGTGTTTATTTATTTATTTATAATAAGTACACTAACAACATACATATTAAAAGTTTTCAGTTAAGGAAGGTGACTATATTACAATAACAGATATGTACGTCAATAATAAAGTGTACATAACATTTACCAAATACAATCAAAAAAGTATACACACTAATTTAGATATAAAACAAAAATACTAAGTAAAAATAATATCACGAAAAAAATACTAAAATGCCTTCCTCCCAATTACAATAATGTAGCCAATCAATGTGAAATATATACAAAAAATAAAGACAAAAATATTTGAACGTATACCTATATAATATATTCAAGAAACCTTTTTCTACATGGAAATTCATTTACCATAGAAAAAATCAAATTTACTATGTAAACGTTGTCATTGTTTACAAAAAGCAAATATGTATGCGAATATTCGCAATGCAAATATGTCAAATTCTCCCACACTAATGTTTCAAAAATAAATATGCAAGGATTTTAGGAATTCCCAAATACTCATATATATACAAAAAAATTAAGGGCTGTTTTTTACGTAGATCATATAAAAGTCATTACAAAAACAATTGTAATATTTATGTAATTTAAACTTTTTTTATATGCGGTACCAACGATAGCACAAAGTTTGATGTTTCAAATTTACCAATGTATTCTAACTTGATACGTAGCCCCTACTATGTATTAAAATTACATACTTAAACTTCTTATAAAACCGATATATTAAAAGAATATGTACACTCATAGATTAGAAAAACTAAATCTGAATTATATAACATTGATTACCTTCTTTCATTCATCAAAAACGTCTCTCAAAATTCAAATAAAACAATTACAAGAGCAATCAAAACGTAAAAAAAGTCATCTGGACAATTCCTATGTATAAAAATATATATGTTATAATATACAATATACCTCTGTTTTATTTTAATAACTTACTTAAGTTTTTAATTGCAAAAAAAAAACTAAATGTAGGTAGGTACCTACACCAAGGGCAAGCGGTTAGTGAAACATGAACTGTAGTGAAATTTATGACTAAACAATAAACAACCTTTGACCTTAACGACGCTGTGAATACACACAAACAAAACATTATTAATCAAATATCTTAAGATTAATGTAAGTTTCATAGAAATTTCACGTAAACGTTTGAAGAAATGTCTTAGACGCACTGAGTGACAAAAGCCATAAAATAAAAGTAAAATTTTATAGAGATGAGATAATCTTAAAGATAGGAATTATTTTGTTGAATTACCAAATAAGACGTTTAACCATTTTTTTTAAATGTGATGAAAAAATATTATTGATGTCAACTGACAGTCAACTGTTAGTGTATATATTTCTGACCCTGGCCATCACGAGGCGTTTCAAATCGGCTTAATACATATTTCTATATTATGTAATGTCAATAAACAGGAGATACTCACATTTACTTAGGAAAGCCTTTTGAGATACGATAGCCCATAAAAAATTGTCATTATTAAAGATTAAGAAAATAAAATGAAGATGCATATTAAAAAATAGATTTACGCATGATATACTAAGGTTGAACCCTTCGTCCTACCATCGAGATGTTCACAGATAACATAAAAACTAAATTTGAATGTATAATTAACGATCAGAAAAAACCGGCGAGCGTGGGAACCAGCGTGTGAACGTGGTCGGCCGAGGCTCGGTTACCAAGAGTATGTTGTAAAGACTTTAGATTAATTGTGAACTACTCTCACGTATCAAGAGTAACGCATCGATGTTTGTTTTACTATCAACATCCTAAATATAGAGCAAATCACATTTTAAGAGCGTGCAAGAATCTATCGCAAAATGTTGGAAACGTGGGAGCGATTTTATGCTAAACAGGTCATTGGTACCCCATACCTGTTCACTCGTTATATACAGAGTGTTTCATTTAAAGACTCACCTTGTCATATATTACGAAAACTGTAACAGGAAACTTAAATTCTAATTTAATTAAAACCAATAAAATGAGTTTTGAAACAATACATATCACTCTTGTAAACAGTAAAACAACACAACTTTATTTTACTAGACATAAATATTTTTCTATGCTAAATATCACACCGAATGTCTTCAATTTATCATATTTTATGTATTAAATAGATGATATTTAGTTTAAATCCTTTACTATATAAGGAATATAGTTTTAAACGTGACCGAGTAAACAAATATCTGTGAACAGCCTGTACGTAACATCGAGATAAATCCAAGTTCAAGGCGCAAGTATAGAACGAGAGACGCTGAGTATACAAGCTCCAGTGAGTACTATACTTCCATTCCACCGCCAACCCTCAGGAGGATCGCACTTTTATCTTATCAATATGGTATTGAAACTACTCATCCTTTTTACGTAAGTTATTTGTTGTATTAAAACACGAAGTCTTGAAAAAGATTGTATACGTAAATACTATAAAGAATTATTTTTTTTGTCATAAATTTATACGCTTCACAGTTCATGGTGTTTTATTCCATGTTTTTTTTATCTGATCAAGCATATTGAAGAAGAAAATCTGTTTTTGCTACCGCCTTTAACAAGATGCGATAAAAACAAAGCGTGGGAAAATAGTTGCTGTATTAGAAACTTTGCTATTATTTGCTTTGCTTTACTAAAGATTACTATAGATAGACTAACGTTGTCTCCAAACATATTTATTTATGCTTAATTTTATATGAATACTCAATATTATTTTTAAGATTAACCCACAATGCCTTGGGTTCGGATCGATATGATTTGCCTGAACTGCCGCCTGGTGAGGCGCCGGAGCCGATCCTATCGTTTATGGAGCACACATACAGACTTGGTCGCGGCAGAGCAACGCATGATGGTGATGCCGGGGAGCCACTACTCTTGACGCCACTGATAGAAGATAATAAGATAGAAGAGGCTAGAGCCGCAGCATATGTGAACCCGGACTATCTACTACCTGGCATGGATAGTTATGCGGGCTATTTAACCGTAAGTTTAAGGAGTTATGATAGTTTTATATACTAAAGAGTAGAGAAGAGACTATGTTCTTAGAAAATCACATATATTTTTTATTAAAATGCGTGATATTTCTCATTTTAATTACAGGTAAACAAGGAATACAACGCAAATCTTTGGTTCTGGTATTTTCCAGTATCTGACCAGCCTGTTGAAGAAACTCCTTGGATAATTTGGTTGCAAGGAGGTCCGGGCGCTTCATCGCTATACGGACTCTTTACAGAAATTGGTCCATTGGTTGTCACGGATGAGAATGAATTGAAAGGTCTGCAATCATGAAAAGATAATCATAATAACTCAAAAATATTGATAACTTTAAGACATCGGTAATTCTATTTCTTCTAATAATATAAACCTATATTTATTTCTTTTTTAGAACTTCAATACTCGTGGGGTAAAAATCACTCGCTCCTGTTCATTGACAACCCTGTCGGAACTGGTTTCAGCTTTACTTATGATGACAGAGGTTTTGCTACCAATCAAACGACAGTAAGTGCCAACCTTCACCTTTCTAATAAAAGAATTCACCACTTGCTTCCCCCCCGTCTTAGGGGGGTTATTTGTACTTATGGTTAGATCAGAATATCAATATCGTATGAATTATAAATAAAATAAAAAATGTAGTACCGATTTTAATCAATATAAACATTATATTATTATTTATAATACAGGTATTTATAAGCATTGATTTTTTTTATATGACATAATTTATTTTAAAGTATCTTCTTTTGTATAAATTAATAATTCTTATGACGTCCTTTTTTATTGTCGTATGAATAATCACAACAAAATTTTATTGGACTCGATAATTGTATAATAATGGATAAAATACTCTGATATATGCAAATATTTATTATATAGCGCCAATTAGTCAAGATTTACAACAACTTAAATCGAATATTTATTATTAGTAATAATTTATTTATGTCATAATAACAACTTTACTATCTAAATATTTCTTTTTCTATATCATTTGTATAAATTATCATAATTATATCGATGCCTGTTTTATTCAAAGATCGGAGAAAACCTGTACACAGCTCTGCAGCAGTTCCTGACACTGTTCCCGGAGCTGAGGAAGGCTCCTCTGACTATAGCTGGCGAATCGTATGCCGGGAAACACATCCCTTCACTTGGCGTCCAAATACTTTGGAATAAACATCAAGATAAGCCGATCAACTTACAGGTAGAGGAAATAACACCAGAAATTCCACATAATTGATTTATAAAGAGTTGTATATATATATATTTATTTTTATTTACAGGGTTTAGCCATCGGTAATGGGTTCATTGACCCGCTATCACTGCAAAGGTACAGCTATTTCGTACGCGAAGTTGGTTTGGTTGACGATAAAGTAGCTAATGTTATGAACCAATTGGAAACTGCTATCGTCCAGTTCATTAAAGCCGATCAAATGCTGAAAGCGTATGCCGTATGTAATTTCATTGTCAAATTAATTGCTTACAACGATTATGACTTAATTTATAACCTTTTATGATTTCTTTTAGTACTATAATTATCTCTTGCAACTGTTTCTATCGGAATCTAAATTAAATAATCTGTATAACTATCTAGAAGATGATATAAGTTTGGACGGCGCGTATCTTGATTACATACAAAGAACGGATATCAGAAAGGCTTTACACGTAGGTAATACCAACTTTACCTCAATAGGGGTTGTATACAGAAAATTAGTGCCAGATTTCATGGCTAGTGGTAAATCTATGCTGGAAGAACTGTTGGAGAACTATCGAGTGATGTTATTCAAGTGAGAAACTCATATTTATATGAATTAAAATAAGTTTCTTCAATTTAATTTATAATATATCTTTCGTTTCAGTGGTCATCTAGATATAATAGTGGCTTATCATCCGTCAGTTAACACTTACGAGTCTTTATCCTTCTCTGGGACTATGGAATACAAAACTGCCAAACGTCGTGCCTGGTATCATGACGGACAATTGGCTGGGTAAAAGATGTATTATTTACTAAATTTGATAGGAATGTAACTTAATAAAAATGTAAACGACCTTAAGAAGTTATTTATATATTTTTTTTTATTAAAAATAACGACAGATAATCCAATGACGTGGTCCAAAGATAATACGTACATACTTAATTATTATATTAATTCTATATTTTACTTCTCTTTCTTATAGTATTTTCCGTTAATTCTACAAAGTAATAAGCTTCTCATATGTATCACTTTCACAAAATATAACATTATTTTTACGATTAATTCTAATTCCAGGTATTACAAAACAGCTGGTAATTTAACAGAGGTAATGATCCGTGGCGCTGGTCACATGGTCCCCGCCAACAAACCGGCCGCAGCCCTAGGGCTCATCTCGGCCTTCGCCCGCGGTATAACTTTAGACGAAGACACGGGTTCACTGGTGAATATAGAAAAAAACCTCTCAAAAACTCATCCTCAGCCAGTCTGAAGACGGAACTCTCTACATTCTTACTGATCTTCACCTTGGAGTACCTTTTGTGTAAATAATATATCTACGATTAAAAACTTTCTCAATGTTAAATTCTTGTTTATCTTTAACTATGTAATTATATTTGAGTGGCAACCGGAGGTTACAGGAAAACTACGTAACTTACTTAAATATAAATCTACTAGCTGCGCCCCACGGTGTTACCCGCGGATTTACGGGAATTTCGGGATTTCCGGGATGTAAAGTAGCCTATATGTTATTTTTGGATGTCAGCTTCCTGTATACAAAATTTTATCAAAATCGGTTCAGCCGTTTGAGCGTGAAGAAGTAACAAACATACAACACACTCACAAACTTTCGCAATTATAATATTAGTAGGACTGGAATAAAAATTAAATATTAAAAGTTATAACCTATATCTAATTTTATATGATTGGTGATATATATTACGATGATAATGCCATTCCATAGCTTGTGTGGTATGTGCAATCTTCTGGTTCACACGGCTTAGTGTTCGTTCCGCAGAGTCAGCAGTGTCACCCGTTAGGTATATGATATTTAACTCATATTTCTTCTTATGTAGCGCGTACGTAACAATTTTTTTAATGATATGGTATCTCGCGCTATCCCAATCAATTTTAAGAGTTTTATGTCCAGATACAAATTATGCCAGGATGAGATCTAAGATTTTCGCGAGTACCTACTCATTTAAATGAAACTAATATTTTCGGATTTACTACGCGTTATTTTTATTATTTTTGACTATGAACTACATACTCCCGACGCTTCGGCTACTTTACAGCAACCGTGATCAAGGGCAGACGAGATGTGAGTGTCTGACACTTCGGGAAACGGGAAACGTCGGGAGTATGTAATTTATAGTCAAAAATAATAAAAAAACGCATAGTAAATCCAAAAATATTAGTTTCATTTAAATTATGCCAGACTTTTTTTAACGTTTCTACCAATCGATTTTGAGAAAAAGTAATTTATTCCTCGATTGAGCAACTTTATGATTATTAAATTATTCTATGTGAAATACGGCTTAAATACCGTAATTTGAAGTTATGTTAATGAATAAGCTTAAATTATCAATATATTCACATAATCAAGTTAACGCTAAGTGATTGTGATTTCCTTAGTGACGGTGATTTTTGGTCATGGCAAATTTTAAATTTAAAGATATTATAAGTTATAAAGATGCAATTAAATGATTTAGTCACACACATTTGGTCTGTCCGTGATCACGGTTGCTGTAAAGTAACCGAAACGTCGGGAGTATGTAGTTTACAGTCAAAAATAAAAAATCGCGTAGGAAATCCGAAAATATTAGTTTCATTTAAATGATTTAGTTTTCTTTGACAGTGAAGACGATAAAATAAACTAAATTTCCCCGTTTCAAAAAAAAAAATTTTTATCCGTTTTAACTCCTTTAAGTTGACATGACACTTTTCGCTAAAAAATACAAATCTAGGGACAAATAATTAGAGAACAAATTATTATTCTTCTATTATATTATTCTTCTATTAAACACATGAATAATTTTCCTTAATACTATTTTTTTATTAAGAACTCTTTTTGAATTTTATTATAGATGTACTTAAAATTATAAACATAATTCCTATTTGAAATTAACGTCTACATCTTTTACGTATTACTATCATTACCACTCTCCTAGGGCTTCAACACGGGGCTTCCGGGTGGTGGACTTGGGGACGTTTGCCACCTTACAGTCTGAGGCCCCGCGAATGCACAGTGTACCACTGACAAATATGAAGAGTCCAACTGAATTGGAAATGTCCTTATTGGGAGATCCGACGTTGACAGATAGGAATACTTTATACTAGTATTAGTAGTAGTAGTAGTAGTAGGGTTACACTACACACAGATTCATACACTCACCGCTCTCGCCGCCGAGAGCGAGGTCCCCGCCTCCGCACGTCCCTCGTAAGAGGGCATCGAAGGCCGCCGCTGGCAATCCCCCCTTCATCCACGACGTCCTAAGTTCGTGGTCCGAGCCTCACTTTTAGCAGGCGCCCTTAGAACGTACGTTGCCCTGGGGGCCCTTCAGGTCCCCTCGAAACGGGTCAGTCCCGGCACTGGCCCACTCTACCGGTGACGCTGTAACAGCCGCAGGGCTAAAAGCATATTCATTACAAAAAAAAAAGGGAGATCCGTTGCTATACCACAGCAGAATCGAATCGTCTTGCGGGCCCTTTGCAGCTCGTGGGACATCCGTGGAGTCGGTAGTGCGTCGTTCTCAGGACGAGAATCTGACATACTCGTAACTCTCCTTATTTTCCTACTAAAGCAAGAGAGTATGCATCAAGCATTTCCCCACGCAAAAAAAAAGTGCCTCAACACAATGTCTTATTCGCTCCGAAGTTAGTTTGCATGTAATATTAAACAAAAATGAAGAATTGATTTTCAAGAGTAGATTTAAAAAAAAAATCATTTCAATTTTATTGGTCTTATCTAGAAGAAATTTAGATCCTTTACTTTGAAAACCTATGAACCTATTTTATAACTTCGGTGACTATTTTCCATCAGTCCATCACACAACACAACACAGCTAGTAAGCAATAAGTATACTTTATTGGATATATATAACCATTAAATTATATATTTCTTAACAAAATATGTCTACTTTTAAATTACAATAAAACTAAACTACAGTTCGCTAATTTGAACCGATATTACGAAACAAGTTAGGGACAAAATTATAAACATTCCTTCTGGATTGTTTATTTAAAATCAAAAACTTTTTGTATGTATATAATGTTTTTTTTTATGTTAAAGAATATTATAACAATTTATTTAATATAAGAAATAGATTTTAATTTTAATTTACTGAAAGGATAAATTTTATTTTAAAAATAATAAAACTACATATCTTTTTGATATCCATTCTGTCATTAAAAACAAAGATATTTAATAAGTCATTTTTAAATACATTAATATTCCGTATACGAATAGTAAAACACGAAGGAAGTATAATATTAAAACGATTTTAATGCAATAAATCTCGAATTTATTATCTGTTCACAGTCCACTTAATCGGTAAAGTGAAATGTTATAATCTATCAACCTATGGTGACGTTTTCGATCTTAGTTCAACTGCGACAGGATAGGAATAAAATAATAAAACTATTGAAACACCGGGCTAAATCCCGGTTGTTTGTTTGTGTGTTCAGTAGTTAATTATTATGTATGTACCTATTTCACATTTGTACAGTTTATGATAGTTTTCGGTGTAAAAATTACTAAAGAAAGCATATAATTACACATCATGTCTCTGTCGTCGTACATAGTATGCGCATTTCTGCTATTGACACCTATTAGAGCTTTTTATTTACCCGGCCTAGCTCCTGTAAATTATTGTAAAGCTGGGGACGACAATGGAAAATCCTGCAAGGTGAGTGTTTATACAAAATCATAATAATATGTGTTTTCTTACTCATTGTCTGACGTATTTTATTATTAAAATCTATTTCTGCAGTATATATAATATAAGGCCACATTCAATAACTTCTAAAAAGAATCGGTCCTATATTGAAATTAAGTAGTATAACAATAAACAATATCTTAATGTTAATTTGATATGATATAAAAAAATACTATTTACAAATAATATTAAAACTTATTGGGTTTTTCTAGGTTGAAATTCCTCTATACGTCAATAGACTGAACACAGAAGAATCAGTCATACCATTTGAATACCACCACTTTGATTTTTGTTTATCCGATGAAACAAATTCACCAGTCGAAAATCTCGGACAAGTGGTGTTTGGTGAAAGGATAAGACCGAGTCCTTACAAGATAAATTTCCTTGAGAATGTGGAATGTAAAGCAGTTTGTACTAAAACATACAAAGGCACCGATCCCGAAGCGAATAAGAAATTAAATCTATTAAAAATGGGAATGGCTCTTTACTATCAGCACCATTGGATACTTGATAACATGCCAGTGACCTGGTGTTACTTAGTTAATGAAGGCGGGAAGACATATTGTAGTACTGGTTTCCCCATGGGTTGTCAAGTTAGAAGAGATTTGGTAAGTTAAATATCTATATTTAGTTGTAAAAATTATAAAAAAGTTATAAATGTACATATACATTCAGGCATTTTTTATTATTAATCAATTAGGTCAGCTAATAGTAATATAGATTGTGGGTATAGATTAGGAGTAAAGCAATGCATTAACATAAATGTTTTAAAATAGATAACAAATATATATATATATTTGTTTTGTTATAAAAGTCACATATTTTGCATAACAATAAAAACTATTGTGAAGTACGAGACTTTACAACTACAATAGTATTACTTATAGTACATACAACACAAGACATGTACTAATTGTTATCAGTATGTAAATAAAATTGATAGAGAATAAACATCATTTATTAATTACCGAGGTGTGTCGGTAATGAATTGATAAAATAAAGTAACAGTTTTATTTTACAACTTTGTTAATAGAAATTAACAAGTTTTGAGATTATTATCAGGATTGTCTTTGTAAAGACAACATTGAACAAGATTCAAGATTGAAATAAATTTGAATTTTAATGTTTAAGTATATATTATATATTCTTAAATAATATTTAAGTCAATGACCTTGAGTCTAGATTTACAAATTAATCGATTTTCGGGAACTGCAAAAACTTTTTCATTCTCCTTAGAAGTTAGCTCACATATTTAATTGATGATAGGGACTTGGTAATTAACACATAGTCTTGTGTTTTACTGACTTCTTCATTCATCACAAACATTTTTTTCTTACATTGATAGTTGCCAACATTAAATCATGAAATATTTCTTCATTGTTTCCTATTGAACCAATCTGAGGCACTTTTTTAATGGATTTGTTCAACTCTTCATTCTTTTACACATAAATGTTTCATCTTTATAAAGATTTTTGATTATTTATGAACTAAATTGTATTTTAATGTGTCCAGATTATATTAGACTATAAATAAAGGTTTAAGACAGAAGAAACTTTCTAAGAACAAACTGAAGTTTATAATTTCTTATGTTTTTTATAAAATTTTGAATTGTGTTCACATTCATTCTTTACTCATAAAAATCATCTACACTTAATTATAAATTCAGCCACATACTAATAGCATAATTATATATTATTATCAGTAGATTAGGTATGTTATAGTTATAAAATATAATTATTGAAAAATATTTCTCATATTCCTTATCAAATGGTTATAAATAGTACTGGTTTTAGTTATTGAGTTTTTTCTATATTGCAGGATACTTGCACACCTATAGTCATCACAACTCCAAGTCAGTTGGGGACTTACTACTTATTTAATCATGTTGATTTGGAAATCACATACCACAGTGGCAGTCAAGAAGAATGGGGGGTCGGGTTTGGTGACAATGGTGGAAGGATTATATCTGCTAAGGTAACATAGATATATATTACTATTGAAAATACAGTCATAATATGAGTGAGGAAAATAGTTTAAGTTATGACTAAACCATTGTAAAGACTGTTTTTTTATATTTTTTTCCTTAGTATATCGTCAGGGATAGTGCAAAACCGCGTTACTAGAATTGTATGATTCCGCATATCTGCATATATACATAGTAATAAATCAAACACAAAATAATTATTAATTAAAGCGGTTTTGCACTATACCCTACGAAATGTCTATTTGAATAAAACGTGAATATAAATTTTAAATAAATATTTCTAGATCAAACCAGCATCAATCAACCACCAAAATCCCGAGCATCCAGACTGCAAGGCACGAAACAGTCCTCTTCAAGTTCCTAATACTATTACAGGGGACGAAACCTTTTCTGTTACTTACACTTACAGTGTTAAATTTATCAAGAATAATACAATCAAATGGTCGTCCAGATGGGATTACATACTTGAGTCTATACCGCAGACTAATATCCAATGGTTTTCTATCATGAACTCTTTGGTCATAGTTCTGTTCCTCAGTGGTATGGTCGCGATGATATTATTGAGAACTCTACACAAGGACATTGCTAGATATAACCAGATGGAATGCGGAGAGGATGCTCAGGTATGTCATATAAGAAACATTTAATAGTATTTATGTGAAAAATGTTATAATTGCTTTAGATATGGTAAAATTAAATGGTTATCTATGTTAGATAAAATATGATTCAACAGTATTAGCATACTTTTAATAAATGTATTTGTATAAAATTAAATTACTTTGTAGCTGCCTTTTTAATATTACATACTTATAAGTAGTTTCCTATTGAAAACCTCAGATGAGTATAGTTAGATGTCATATTCAATTCGTCACATTTTGTATATTCTAGGAGGAGTTTGGTTGGAAGTTAGTTCACGGTGATGTGTTCAGACCTCCTCGACGAGGTATGCTGCTGGCTGTGTTCCTTGGATCAGGGTCGCAGGTGACTTGACAACCATATCTATTATCATACACTCTCTTCTTCTGGTTAAAGATCTTTATTCTCATAAGAACATACATAGGTTAACTTACATGAGATTAAATAATGTTACATACATTAATATTTGATACATGGAATGGCTAGTACTACTTAATATTGTGTAATATATATTTTTTAAGTTTATTTTTAAAAGAATTTATTAATTTACATTCCTTTATGTAGTTTGGAAAATCATTATATAGTTTTACTCCATCAAAACGTATATATTTTTCTTGTTTTCTTCCTGGTAACTTTCCCAGCTCCAGCCAGGGTCTGCCTTCCTGCTCAAACTGTCACTGTCACTAACACTGTCTAATTGTACTTATGTATATATTGTTACCCAGGTATTTGGTATGACGCTAGTGACGTTGGCGTTCGCCTGCCTGGGTTTCCTATCACCAGCTAACCGAGGTGCTTTGATGACCTGTGCGCTAGTAGCCTGGGTGTTACTGGGCGCGGCCGCTGGGTACGTCAGCGCCCGCGTCTACAAGAGCTTCGGCGGCAGACGGTGGAAAAGTAACATATTGCTCACGTCCATGGTGTGTCCTGGGTGAGATTCATATATATTTATATTGATTGTTCAGTTTTTATCGTATATACTAATAATATAATAAAACTGTCCAAGATTTTTATGAGAATATATATATATTTAATGTAAAAAAATTCCATGTCACAATGTTAATTACCGTACTCTTCCGAAACGGCTTCACCGATATTTACCAAATTTTATATGCACATTCAGAAAGTCTGAGAATTGGCTATTTACTATTTTAGATACCCCTAAGTGGTAAGGGTCTTTCACCCTTAAATATTTTTTTTCGGATGAATTTTTTACTTTTTTATCACCAAACCCCTATTTTTATATGGCAAAACAACATTTGCCGAGTCAGCTTACTAGCTAGATACTAGCTACTACCTGCTAGCTAGATACTATAATACTTTATATATGTATATATGTTTCCAGCGTGGTGTTTTCTCTGTTCTTCACCATGAACCTCATCTTATGGGGTAAGGGCTCGTCAGCGGCTGTACCGTTTTCAACGCTGGTGGCCCTGCTCGCGCTGTGGTTCGGTGTCTCTGTACCACTCACATTCATTGGAGCATACTTCGGATTTAGAAAGAGGGTATGAACAATTATATTATATAAATGAGGTCTTATGATAAGAGTTATGTATGGAAGATTCAATATATTTTTAATCCTCTTATGATCTCACAGTAATAAATATTATTATATATGGAGTTACTGCGAATGTTTAAAAGAAATATTAACCTACTAGTATAGTAATCCCTACTAATATTATAAATGCGAAAGTAACTCTGTCTGTCTGTTACCCTTTCACGAATAAACCACTGAACTGATTTTAATGAAATTTGGCACAGATATAGAGTTGACCTTGAGAAAGAACATAGGATAGTTTTTATCTCAGATTTTCGAAAGGTTCTCCTGGAAACGCGATATAACCAAAATCTACGCGGGCGAAGCTGCGGGCGGAAAGCTAGCAATATTAGAAACCAACTAATATATAAATAAAACATTGAACCTTCCCACCATTGAGCGTAGTTGCCAATATACATACTACCCACATATTTTTTTCCACCTACCCTCATAATTCTTATTAATATTTCCATCAGATCTTGGAGCACCCAGTACGCACGAACCAGATCCCTCGTCAAATCCCCGAGCAGTCTTTATACACGCAGCCTCTACCAGGTATCGTGATGGGAGGTGTTCTGCCCTTCGGATGCATCTTCATACAGCTGTTCTTCATCCTCAACTCGCTGTGGTCCAGCCAGGTTTGTTTACATTTTAAATTCATACATAAACAAAATCAACTCTATATGAGGTGAATTTGTACTTTGTTTTTAGTGAATTATGAGGTTAGATGCATTGAAGGATGTTTTTTTATGACAATGCAAGAGGGCTGTAAATAGTATACTAAGAAAAACAACTACACAATATATATATATGTACAATGAAGTTTACTCATATGAGTAATTACCAATCATTGTCTATCCTATATTTAGAAACTATGGAGTTGCTAGTATTGTGACCTATTATGTTTTTAGTGGAGGAGATATCCGACAGTTAAATAAGTATCTGAAAATTATACTGGATTTGATGTGTATTTCACTGCGATATTATGACCAAGTAGTGTAGAGTTATAATATAAATTTAATTTAATTAATTAGTTTCTTCTTTGTAGTATGCATAATTGCAACCATGAAGAAAATATAAAGATGACGGATACGCTCTTTTTTAGCAATAATAGGAGATTATATTTAAGATTATTTATATTTATTTTAAGAATATTTAATTTTGCACCACCCTATGCTGTCTTCCAAACGCAATCCTCTAACCAGTGGCGACTGTACCTTAAGTGCACTCGTGCGCTGAACCACCAATTCAAAAATTTTAATAATTACAAAATATGACTTCATATTTAATTTTAAATTACCATTTTAATATTTATTTTTTAAACATACAAAAACGTATAAAAAATTAAATTTCCAATTATGGTCAAAAAATTTGAGCGCTTCACTAAACTAATATCTCGTGCGTTTCGGCAAGTGCACGAGGACTGCTAATACATGTTGTATGGGATACGCATTAATACGCCTGACGCGTGAAACAAAAGATAGTTCATAGAAATGTACCGAGTAATGAGTCGGTTCTCGAGCGCCGCACGAGCGGCCGAAGATTACCGAGAGCACCCGATGTATGACGAATTGAGCCATGATTGACATCTCGTTGTATTGTTTTGTTGCATTTTCTAATTTTAATATTTTAGTAAAGTGCACCACCAGTTTTATAACCCACCAGCCGCCACTGCCTCTAACCCTAGGTAGTCTGGGAGAAATGGATAATAAGCCATAAGGCCGGCTTTTGTTTCACCATTAGTTTTTAGTTTATATGTATTTTAATTGTGGTGTACCAAAAAGTGTAATAATAGTTGACTACTATTTGTTCCAGATGTACTACATGTTCGGTTTCCTATTCCTGGTGTTCATGATCCTAGTCATCACATGTTCGGAGACCACCATCCTCCTCTGCTACTTCCACCTCTGCGCCGAGGACTATCACTGGTGGTGGCGCGCCTTCCTCAGCTCCGGATCGACAGCCGGGTATCTATTCATCTACTGCTGTCACTACTTCGTCACCAAACTCAACATAGACGACGCAGCATCAACATTCCTATACTTCGGCTACACTCTAATTATGGTTTTCTTATTCTTCCTCCTCACTGGAACCATAGGCTTCATGGCCTGCTTCTGGTTCGTCAGGAAGATATACAGTGTCGTTAAAGTTGATTAAATCTTTTTAATTGCGTCAGCAGTGTCCTATATGTATTGCTCTAAATTGATAACTATTATTTTTATATTGTCCGTCTGTGTAAATTGAGACTACATAACCAAAGGCTATGTGATCGCTCGATGTTTAGATGCTGCTGTACGCGACGCGATTATTGTATAAATATTTAACTATAAATAAATTTATAATATTAATGCCCATTTATTTTATTTATTTGTTTAGGTTGTGTATAGAGCACTACTGGGAAAAACGATTTTTAACTACCTAAGGCTACAATATCAGTACATGTCTTTAGGTTGATGTTGTTGCATTCAATTATATTATATGTATTACAGAAGTATAGTATTAGTGTGATACAGAAATGAGTGTTGTTTTTACTAGGAGATTTTCGGTTTAATATAGGGCTTACCGGGATTCATTGTAAATAATATTGACATGAATCTTATTATTTAGTGTGCTGTATACGGGAATGCACAAGTTAAAGAAATAATCAATTATAATCATTAATGTCCCCATGAAAATGTCTAGATTGTACTTAATCACATTTTTCATGACAAGGAATGTAGAAGATGTAATTATCCCAATAGAATTCTTTTCTTTTTCAATCAACTGGATAACATTATAACTAAATAAAATAGTAAATATAACTAGATAATGATTTAAAACGTGAAAAAAAAGTTTAAAAAAAAAATGTTTTGAATTCTACTTGGATAATTATAATGAATCTTTATTTCTAAGTCCTAGTAATGTTACTTTGGTTAAGTTGCAACAATAACATAGAAAATTAATTTGAAAATAAAAAATCTTAAAAAATTCCTAAATTAATAACAGGCCATATTTTTTTAATTTTAATGCAACTTAATCAATATTCAAACAGAATTAATAAATTAAAAAGTTTTATTGATAATTGCTAAACTTTGAAAAGTAAAATTAAGCAGTTATAATGTACAGATTAAATATTTTTTCTTATCTGTGTATGTTATTATGTAAAATAACAAAGTTTTAAAAAGGTGATAATCGCAAATTATGATTTTTATATAGAAAATATCCTGGAGATAAGATAAAATAACTACATATTTAACACCACCTATAGAAAAGTTAGGACCTAAAACCTATTTTAACTGAATTGTTTTGTTTTTGGTAACTAAGATTACTTCTTTCTCTTTAGAATTTGTAAGTTATATCGCTATATTATCAAAAAATAATGTTTAACTGTATTTGTAGGAAGTATTTCGTTTTACTAAGTTAATGATTTTCACATATACATATGTATATGCCTTCATGTCTGAAGTTTTATGCTTTCACTTTTAAACAGTTGAATGTAAACAATAAATTTACTATTAAAAACAAATATTTTATTTAAAAGAATACCAAAAAATTCACAGCCAAAACAATATGTACATTATTTTCGTGGCCACTTAATCAGTGTCACTACTTTCTGAGAGATCAGCTTTTTCTTTAGGTACAGGGAGCCGCCTCTTCGTGGATTTCTTTTTGGGATCAATCTTACTCTTCCGAAACACTTCTATAGCCTTTAATTTATTTTCTAAAATACTTTTCCTGTCCTTCTCTCTCTGCGGTATAATTTCCTGATATCTATCTGTCTTTGGAACTGTTATATCAAATATTTTCTCCGGATCATTTACTACCGCTGTTTGTACAACTTCACTTATTTGTTTAGTTTCATCATTGCGTTTTTTACGTTTTCCTTTGGAAGGTCCTGGTTTTGTAGCAGCTTGGCTTATAGAGCTTTTTCTTGCTCTTTTGGGTTTCGGTTTTTCAGGTACATTAATTTCTTCCGGTGCCTCGGGTCCCATCTTTTGTATTGCAGCTTTAACTCTCTTACTCATTTGGTCCTCCAAAGAATCCAACACAAGTTTCTTTTTAAAATAATCATGAACAGTTTTCTGAGTCTTATTTTCTTGCATCCTTTTAATAACTGGTTTAATAATTTCATCCAGCTTGTGTTGGGACCATCCAAACTTTGCCTTCGCATACTCTCTTAATTCAGTGATGTCTGGATCGCCCCAGGAGAACTTTTCACTACTTTTTTCTACATTCGGTTCGAAGTATGCTTGAACTACCTACAAATTGTGATTATGTTATTATTTATTTCCTTATATGACATTTATTATAAAGATAAAAGGATTGGTTGTAGTCTTACCCTCACACTGGGAAAATCATCTGAGAGGCTGACATTTTTTAGTTTCTTCTTTAAACTAACATTATCCGTTCTTCTCCCAGCCTTCACCCATTTCTTAAATTCTTGTAGTCCGGCTACAATTTCTTGATAATCGGTGAATTTTGCATTTTCAGCTATTGTTTTTTTCTTGTTAAAAGGAAATGACGCTAAAATTTCCAAAGCGGTTACAGGTCCCACGCCAGTAACTCCGACCGTATAATCGCTTCCCACAAGGAGAGCCAGCAGAACCAACTTTTCACGACTCAAATCTGCAATAAGAGATAATAATATAAATATTGTCTATCTATGAAGAACATATATATTGCATAATAATACATACTAAACGATTTTTCAATTCGTTCGCGCAAAAATTGCAGCACATGTTTTTTCTGATTAAAAAAATTTTTGTACACCGTACTGCCTCCAAATAACCAAATATCACTATCATCTGTTATGGTGCCGTCAGTAAGTTTTAGGGCCTCTAGTACTGCGCATTGCGCCTCGGCCTCCATCGGAGCTACGATGTATGGAATGCCGAAGATTTGAAGCAATTCCTGTGCTTCTTTAGTCATCTGTTCAGTTATATTGCGGCCAATACGGTCTAATTTGCCTTTTTCCTGAAGCAATATCTGTTCCTCGTTCTCAATGTCCGTTACCATAGTGTTAAGTTCTTCTGTTGATATTTTTGGTCTTTCTGGTATTATTGCTTTCTGTTTTGTAGCCACATCCTGTGATACTGTTTCGTCTTTATCAACAATTTCTTTTTGTTTTTCATTTTTCTCATTGTCACTCTCTTTATCCAAACATTTTTCTATACTTTTAGTAGTTGCAACTTCATCTGTAATAATTGGTTTAATTGCATCTTTTACTTCGTTTTTGGTGGTATCTTTCGTAATTTCTTGCTCGTTCTTCATATTTGGTGCAAAATTTTTGTTATCACCTTTACTTGTAAATATATCAGCGAATATATCATCTTCAATCGTATTGCCCATATTGAGAGTTAATGTAACAACTGGTTTCTTAGACTTGGTCTCTTCATCAGAAACATCTTCGAAGTCATCCTCACTGGAGCTTGAACTTTCCGATTTAATATTATCTTTTACAGTTTCAACTTTAACTTCATCATTTTTAACTGTTTCCATTTCTAAGCTTGAATCGAGAGAAATAACATCATCAATAGATTTTTCAACACATATTATAGAAGCCTCTGCCTGATTGCTTTCTTCCAACTCATACTTTTTACTTAAACCTTCATTTTCTATTATCACTTCTGTAATATGTCTATCTTCAACTTGTTCTTTTTCATTATCACTTGATTTTTCTACTACTTCACATTTATCTTTATCATCGTCACTCGACATTAATTCAATCTGATCTTCGATAATAGTCTTTTCTTGTGCAAGCTCTTCAATAATTTCGTTAACTCTTGGTTTAATACATTTATTTTTTTCTTTATGTTTTTTAGCAACGATGTTATCAATGACTTTGTAGTTTAAGTCAGTGTATTGTTTGATGTATGATTTTGCTGACGTCATATCCGGAGGTTCGAAACCATCTTCGTCTTCGTCATCTGAATAATCAGATTCTGTGACGAAAGACGTCCAGGACTCATCAGTTTTTGAAGTACAAGCACTCGTGTCAGCTTCATCTACACATTCTAGCGACATCTTAATAGCTTTTTCTAGGTCATCATCCAATTCATCATTTTTCTGAATATCTTTGGCATCGTGTTTTTCTACTGCAGTTGTCGCTGATACTTGTAACTGCGCTTGTTGAGCAGCTTCTTCCTTTCTCTTAGCATTTTCTAACGCCTGCCTTACATTACTTATAAGTAGATATCTGGTTGTATTATTTGATGCTATTCTGCGGCTCGGCAAGCTTTCTATTTTAGTGTCTATGCCTTCTTCATTAAGTAATGATTCCAGTTCGTTTAAGGACATTCCTTCATCGCCCATCTCTTTTTCCGTTTCTTCCAAACATTCCTGTAATTGCCTCCGTTTTAACAATCTCTGCATCTGTAAAAAATAATTATTTTTTAAATATCATTAAAATTTTTCTAACTTAGTATTTGTTTAAGAATTTAAATTTACTTGAAAATCTGAAAAGTTGTCACTTTTCTTAGGTAATGTGTTTATTTTACCCCAAGAATTCATTTTTCTTGTTTCCTTCAATTCAATGAGAAGGTCATATTTTTCTTTTATGGGCATATTCTTAAATTTATCGGAATCAAAATCTACAGAATGTAAATCCACTGTTGAAGCACTCGAATCTTGTTCATCTTCAGACCTTAAAATATACCAGGAATATGGTGAATAGTAATTTAAAAAAAACTCCTAAAATCAACTTTATGTTAAGATAAGAAAAGTCAATAATAAATTGACAATATCTTATTTAGAGTTGAATTTTCAAACAAAATGTTTAAAAGTTTATGTTATTCCAAGCAAATTGTTCCTGTTAGATTGATTTATGCTAAGAATGATATTTAAATATATTAAAATGTCCAAGATTGCATAAGTATTTAGAATCACAACAAAAAATCAACAATATTAATTAATATACTAATTGATTACACACTCTGATTCAGAATATCCACCCTTTTCTGGTAATTCTGGTAGTTTAAAGATGTCATCGTTGTTAGTCTGAGGTTGTTTGTTCTTAGTGGGAGAAATCTGTTTTCCTAGCAATGAACCAATTGCAGTCTTTTTGCCCAACAGCAAAGTGATTTCTCTCTTTAATTTTTCTGATGCAGAATTATATTTTGTTTTGTTGTCTTGTCTTTTAGCCTAAAAATTAAAAAAAATAAAAAATCTTTCAAAAGGAATATAATTATATTTAAAACCTATAAATCAATGCCATAATATTTATAAGTGTTTTAGCTTAGGTTTCTAAATAATAATATTGCATTTTTATGTTTATAAACAATATCTATCAACTTACAATTGTTTCTCTTTTAAGATCTGGAAATCCACCATCAAATACAAAAACAGGTTTGATTCTAAAATATAGTAATTTACATAGTCTTTGGAACAACCCAATGAGATGAGCATTCGGTAGAGGAGCTCCTTTAGCATCTTGATAGCCTTTCACCATCTGATGCAACCATATTGAAATATCTGTACAGTAAAATGAATTGTTTATCGTCCATTATTATTTGTTATTAAACGCTTTAAATATCTAACATCTTATTAATATCTAACGCACCGACTGCTAAAACTTTATTCTCTAATGTCTCAACAGGCACGGGTTTTCCGGCCGGTTCGATAAGTCTCCAAAGGCCAGTCACTCCCATCGCATGCGATATAATTTCAAATCAGATTTTTTGTTTAACTAATCTATATAACAGTGTACATAACAAAGGTCGTTTCCCACGAGATCTCCGGTCAATCGTCGAGTCTCTTCCTCACACATCGCAACATTTTCGCTTCGTGAACTCTACTTATTTAAAACGCACACAACAATACAAAGTGACGTCTATTGCATGCTAGTTGCTACTGGTTCGCTTGTAAGTGTTCGGTTCACTACATACAACAATATCAAATGTTTTACTACACTGCGACGCCCACTCGTTCCCACACTTTATTTTTCCCACGCCCCATGCGTAACCCCACATCCTATGACCGGCCGTGTGTTCTGTCACTTGTCAGTCGGCTTGCCGAAGTAGACCGAACTTGTACTGAGTCGCATCTCTCGAGACACATTCGCGCGCGTGTAATCGACAACAAGCCTGCACATCACTCTGGATGTCTATGGATCGTCTAACTTCTTGACAGTTGATATTTTTAGCGTTGTCTACTGTCGTATTTATACTGAAATAAACATAACTTTTAAACCTTTATTTGTATAACATATTACTATTAACCCTGATCATAAAAGGATCAATTAAAATGTGATTTACTTATCTTTTGTCGTCCTATGAAGCTTGGAATTGTTTACTGGACCTTCTGAAAATTTCCCCATCGAACAGGTGTTATTGAATGTATGTGTGTTACGGTTCCCATCGTAATTATTTATTTATGGTGTTGTGAATAATATACAAGCGATTCGATCGAAATAACGATTCGAAATCGAAATAAGAAGTTAACAATAGAACGACAATACACAGTCGCGATAAGGAATAAGGACGCTAACGGTCAAAAGGATTTTGTTTACACTATGTGTCCTAGCGACAGATAGTTGGCTCATCCAAGATAAGGATATCGAAGGCACATGATGTATGGCAATTCTCAACATCAATATTGTATAATGGTGGAATCGAGGTGAGAGTGAGCCGTGGCGAGCATGCCTCACCAGTACGGCGCGGGCGCGGGCGGCATGGGCGGGGGTCCACCGTCGCCGCCGCCGCAGCACGGCGCGCTGTACCCGCGCTACGCCGCCGCCGCGGGCCCCGGCGCCGGCGCCTACCGCCCCGAGGAGCGCCGCCTCACTCGCGAGGCCATGGAGCGATATCTGCGGGACCGCTCGGACATGGTTGTTGTTATACTACACGCTAAGGTCGCTCAGAAATCCTACGGTAACGAAAAGCGGTTCTTCTGCCCTCCACCATGTATATATTTATTCGGTGATGGCTGGCGGCTGCGGCGGGAGCGCATGTTGCGTGAAGGTGAGACTGAACAGGCGTCACAGCTGTGCGCCTTCATCGGCATCGGGAACTCCGACCAGGACATGCAGCAGCTAGATTTAAATAACGGCAAACAGTACTGTGCCGCTAAGACCTTGTACATATCCGATTCAGATAAACGGAAACATTTCATGCTCTCCGTGAAGATGTTCTATGGCAATGGTCATGACATCGGTATATTTAATAGTAAAAGAATCAAAGTTATATCCAAACCATCGAAAAAGAAACAGTCTTTAAAGAACGCTGATCTGTGTATCGCCAGTGGAACTAAGGTAGCTCTTTTTAATAGACTGAGATCACAGACTGTGTCAACCAGATATCTTCATGTTGAGAATGGGAACTTCCATGCATCGTCAACTCAATGGGGTGCATTTACGATTCACTTACTGGATGACAATGAGAGTGAGTCAGAGGAATTTGCAGTCAGAGATGGCTATGTACACTACGGGTCAACGGTTAAACTTGTCTGTTCTGTTACCGGAATGGCCTTACCCAGACTGATAATAAGAAAGGTGAGTATACAGTTATAAAATGTTTTAACAACATACATATAATATAAGTTTATATATTGATAAAAACTTTTATTACATAGGTGGACAAACAGATGGCTTTACTTGAAGCTGACGATCCTGTATCTCAACTTCATAAATGTGCATTCTATATGAAGGACACAGAGAGGATGTATTTGTGTTTGTCACAAGAGAGGATAATACAATTTCAAGCGACCCCATGCCCAAAAGAGCCCAATAAAGAAATGATTAATGATGGAGCTTGCTGGACCATCATCTCCACTGATAAGGCTGAATATCAGTTCTATGAAGGAATGGGACCTGTCAGGTAAAGGGGCTTCACTAATTAAACACCCTATATATATATACACACATACATATTTTTTGTATACAATAACAAAGCCTATATAATAAGATATAAATTGAAGTTAACATATTAAAATTCACAGATTATAACTTGATTGTCAATATATTTAACATTTATTATCTGCACATTATAAAAAAAAAATAATTATAAGTCTATGACTATAGACTAACATATTCTAAATCACTAATTATAATCTGTTCAAACAACTAAGATGTGATAAATTGTAAAGAATATTATTATCTCATAAATATTTGTACAAAGACAAACACAGAGGTAGGCCAACATTAGAAAGCTATGATTGATGTTAACGGCATATAATGATGTGAACTGGGGAGCGATCATGTACAGGGGGACTCACAAATACAACACATTTTACTATTAATCTATATAACATATTATAACAAACTTATTTCATTGACTGTACGTGTACACATAAATATAAATATTTGTATAAAATATTATCAAAGGAAAGAAATTTTCATATCCTTTTGTTCTATTAAAATAACTGCTTTTTAATATCATATGCATTTTTCTACTTCTATATCAATAATAATACATATTTTTTAATTTTTGTCTGTCTGTTTGTTCTCACTACTATATGAAACAGCTAGACCAATATTGACGCGACTTCCACTGTCTGAATTAATAAGCAATAAGATAGGCTAATTTTATTAAAGAATCCGTATCGTTAAATTACACGCGGATTAAGTCGCTGGAACTATCCAGTTCGCAAAAATTGGAGTATATATTATCTATAACTAAAAATGTATACAAATTTCTTTACTATCTGTGTAGTATATTTTCTCTAATTAAAAATGAATACAAATTTATTTACTATCTATGAACACAAGGATATAAAACGCATTCCAATATGTATAACTACATTCGAATATGTGTCCATGTGTGTTCCATTTGCATGTGTGTATGTGTGTGTGTGTCTTCTATAGTTTTTCATGTATATGTGTTCTATAGATCTCCAGTGACCCCAGTGCCGTTGGTCCACTCGTTAAACCTCAACGGTGGAGGAGACGTGGCTATGTTGGAGCTGGCCGGAGACAACTTCACTCCGTCCCTCCAAGTGTGGTTCGGTGACGTTGAGGCGGAGACCATGTACCGCTGCGCTGAGTCCATGTTGTGTGTTGTACCTGATATATCACAGTTCAGGGGACAATGGCTGTGGGTACGGCAGCCCACACAGGTATGTTACAATAGTGATAAAATTATATTTTATATAATAATATTTATTTATTTATACTACAAAAGTTATACAGGTTTTCAATGTATGTATCAAATGTATTTTTTATTAATTTTTGACTAACTGTTTCGTCTGTTTTATGATCGGCTGTATCAATTTAGATGAGGGTTTTACTGGCAGAAAATAAATGTGATATGGAGAAATTTACTGCACTTTTATTTTTTTATTAGTACAAATAATAAATGAATAACTTTCCGCTCGCCCAAAGTCTAACTAGTATATTATACTGATGCAGGTCACTTTATAAAATGCTTAGAAAACTTAAACTTTAAATATTATATAGATTTAAGTTCAATAGTTTTATTATCAGTTGATAGTATACAATAACTTTATTTAGGATGAAATATATATTTTGCAACAATTTATATTATCGTAATATAAAACATACACCGATTAATTTGATGGGATTTTACCGAAATATTATCGAAAAAAATAAGATTTTTTATTTTGTTGATATATCGTGTAAAGATTAAAGTTTTGATGAAAATCAACTTAAATAATGAGATCTAAGATTTTCGCGAGTACTCATTAAATGAAACTAATATCTTCAGCAACCCGTGATCACGGTTGCTGTAAAGTAGCTGAAACGTCGGGAGTATATAGTTTATAGTCAAAAATAAAATCGCGAAAGTAAATCCGAAAATATTAGTTTCATTTAAACAACTTAAATGTTAGCCACATTACAATTAAAATGTCGATATATTTTTCGTACCTTACATATATAACCTCTTGGGAATAGTAGTAATATTAATTTTGTGGACCATTTGTATAATTATAAACAATATAGCAGACATAGGAATAGTTTCATTCATTGTATAATTGCTGTATTTTTCCCGTGTCATCATTCCTAGGGTATAGTTCACCCTAATCCGTTTTGTACGCCTGTTATTGATTGATCCACTATTAGGGAGGTCCCCCAACAAACACGTGGGCGTCCCCGCTAGCGGAGTTTGAACGCAATACTTATAAAACATTATAATAGACCCATATCAAACGAGCTTTAATTATTTTATTTATCGAATGTATTTCAGTTTTTTTCATCGCTGTATTAGGATTTTATAGTAATTTCAAATTATACCTACCTTATATTCTATATGTAATATATTATACAGATCGCATGCATTTCGAACGAACCATAGACAATGAATTGTTTTCTTTATTTTATAACCTTTTTTGTACATCGTTTACATATTGGATCCTCCCAAATTATAACAAGCTTACAATATTATATTTAATACGTAGTTGATAGTAATAACAAATGTATATGAACCAGGTGCCAGTATCGCTGGTTCGTAACGACGGCATCATCTACGCTACGGGCCTCACGTTCACATACACGCCGGAGCCCGGCCCGCGGCCGACCTGCCCGCCCGTCGACGGAGTCATGAGGCCTGAAAACTCCTGGCACGACGCACACCGGCTGCCTGACGCGCTGCAGTAGTGATACTATCAACACATACATTAACTATGATCCTATTCACCACAGAATAGGCGAATTAAGGTCCTATTCACCCCAGGATAAGTGAACTACGATCCTTTTCACCCCCAGGATAAGTGAATTACGGTCCTATTCACCCCCAGGATAAGCGAACCACGGTCCTATTCACCCCAGGATAAGTTAACTACGATCCTATTCACCCCCAGAAAACACAAGGCACGCTACTATTCATCCCACGATACTTGAACCATATAACGTTTTACTCCGCCATAAGATCCTATTCCTGTTAAACACGCCTTTTATTTTTCCTTAAAACTGACCGTTTCCAGTACATCAATCACACTAAACTCTAATCTAGTTTGTTAGATAAATTCTGTGAAATGTCTCATTGCCTAATAAAAACGCCTATTAATTAATAAGCTATTTTACCAAAATTTTGTTAGTTTTATAAAAAAAAACTTACTAAATAGGAATGAGGGGAAAATTATATTATCTGTTAATTTTGTTCCCTGTAACAATGGCAGCTTTTGTATCTTGGTAATTTTACGCAAGTACAGTAGTTCATGAACAATTCAAGAAATAATAAAAAATAGTTCGTTTAGTACCTCTGCGACTAAGAAGTGAAACTTCGTAATGTGGAAATGAAAATGGAAAGGGCTAGAAATCACTTTTAGTAAACTCAAGTGTTCCCTCAACACAAACTTTATAAACATTGCTCACAATTGACCTACCAATTTACTCTCGGTCTGTCTCTAGAAAAACAGAAGTTTCCCCTCCCCAGGAGCGTTGAAAGTTTAACGCAACCTTGTTTGATGTCACATTAGAAGTTTCACTTCAAAAATTTCTGTGACAATAATTACTTAGTTTCCTTAAATCAGCTAATTACAATATTATGTTATCTGTGGTTAAAGTTGTCAAATAGCGGGGGAAGATTTGAGATCGTAAATCGGTGTGCCTAAAAAAATTAAAATGACTTTTCGTTAATCGAGATTATAAACACCAAAATATAAGTAAGATTACTATTAAATGTTCATAACATTTTCTATGCTTTGTAAAATATATTATTATTAAGTACTTTTTAGTTTTTTTTTATTATTTGTGAAGCATTAAGCCTGGATTGAAAAAGGTTTTAATGTGAACAAGTGATGGACAAGCTAGTGTAGATGGCGGTAGTGCCAACAAGATAAATAAGAGATCTCTCTGCTCTTGAATTAATTTCATCGGGGCCAAATAGCTGTATCCATGACGAGCCATTGTTTCTTATTAAGTGTAGATTTATGTGTGACTCAGAGTCGTTCTAAGAGCTTTGTTTTTAGTATCCATCTAGCTTGGTATGAGATTTGAATGTAAAAATTACAGTATGTATGAAATATGAATCTTCCTTCATCGCTGTTGAAGGAAACCACGTCACTGATGTATGTATGTACATTACACAAGCTAACGAACAATGTAGATAAGCTAGATGTTAATGTTATGTTAAGCGACATACATTTGAAATTATATTTATTTTATGCGACCCTTTGTACAATTCGGTGAATATTTATAGTTATTTCGAACATTCCATGTGGGAAGTGTAATAAGTACAAAAGAAATATTTTTGTAAAAGATAAATGAAAGAAAGGAAAATGATTTATGTAATGTATTTCAGTATTACAAGGAAATCTAATTGAAATGTCAATTTGTATTGATTTTTTTTATTGTATGAGACTACGGTCGCGTTATGATTGTACCCTCGGTACGTCTATATAGAATCATGTTTAAGGATTTACTGTTTGTACATTCGTGTGATATTGTGGAGCATTGATTCTAAAACATGTATATTTTAGTAAAACTGAATTTAAATAAATAAAAAAATCTCTTATATTATTTTGTATATTTCCCTGAATTCCCTTTTCAAAGAGATAAAGTTTAAACTACTGATATAATGGTGTCTTAATAAAAGTTTCCTTCTATATATTTTTTTCATATTTTTCATTAAAAAAATGCAATTTCATACATAATTTGTAGAAAAAACAAAAACCTATTTTGTTAATAAAAAAAATGATACGTTACGATCGCTTTTGTTCTTAATTTGAACAAAACTTTTTCTCTGTGAATCAAATCAAAATTAATTAAGACAATTAAAATATGTAATCGCATCAAGTATTAATTATATTCCATACAATTAATTACCGATTCCGAGTTTTAATTGCACAATAACACGAAGTAATGAATACGTGGAGATTATTATGAACAACAAAAAAAAAAGATCAGACATTGTTAATTATAAGTCAAAATATTAATTTAACGAGGGTCAAGTGTAATTAGCTGATTATGAATATGAGACGATCGGGGAATCAGAGCTGTGGGAACGTCTTCAGAACATCTTCACATGAACGGTGGGCGACAAATATGTTAAATATATTATATTCTTTAATTCCATTGTAATAAAGGCGATATGTTTTTAATATGTGGTGGCCTGACCACGTCTCCTACCCTACCGTTCCGCTCCGCCGGGGTTGACCTCTGATAATCATCGCAAGTTTATCGTCACACACTATTGTTCGCTGAGATTCATAAAGAAAATACCATCATAAATATATTTATACTTTTTGTTCGTTTCGTATAAACACACAATAATGGACTGCAAATATCTTTTTTTTATACGTCATCCGCCATTAAAAACAGTTTGCACAGTGACTAAAGTATTTACATGAATACTTACATACCCTTACGATAGACAAAATAATGGTGGGGAAACCAGGCATTCGTGATAAATAAATCGAAGATAAAGATTCAAATGAATCATCAAACAATCTCATGAATGACGTACATTTTCATCTGCATACTTATTTAATTCATTGCAGATAATTAATAATTCTAAGAATGTTACCAACTACCGTCATTGTCGGCTAAGTAAAAAATACAAGCTTAAAATATCCTGCTTAAAAAGATATATACATCACTTTTTATTATGTATATGAAGGATGTCTGTAATTATATTAATTAATAGAATTATTACAAGACTACAAGTGCTATGTCTAAGACAATGTTTAATCGATGTAAAATCAAATTTTATTCCACCACGGGGCGGACATTTTAGTGGGCGTTCAGAGTAAACTGGCCATGCCTAAACATAATTTTGACCGCACCTACTTCAAAACAATAGCCATAATAATAGTTCAAAGTAACAAACCTTAAATACATAGGTATATACAATAACAATACTAAAAATACGTTTCATTTAACAGAAAATAGAGTCTAATATAACGTCATACTGTTTACACCAGAAGTTCCCACGAACTTAAATTTTTTAAACCGTAATCATGTAATGAACCCGTCTCGAAACTTCTGTTGCAGATAAAGTATGAATTATGTTTTTTTTTTCATTATGATTATTTGTATTTTGTAAGAACAACCACAGATAATAAAGCCTAGAGATGTTTTTTATTCTATTTATAGACGTTATAAATATCTTACTATGAAATGATTACACTCATTGGTTTTCTTACTGTGTTACATTTTTCCATAAATCTTATAATCAGTTGCTAGTTAGTTTCTATTATAATCTATTATGGTCATTAATCAGTGACGTCCCTTACAAACACTTTTTATCTGATATCAATCAATGACGCAAGTCTCATTCATCGATTTACATTAGAAAAAATGGTGATGATGCATTGAAAAAAAGCGAGCATTGTCTTAAAGAAATGTCCGATCTGCATCCTGGTGTAATGCGGGAAAATCTAACGGCGGGAAAATCATGTTTATCTATCAAGAAAAACTTACACCTATTTTCGGAAGACCCGGAACAGTTACTGGGCATTTACCCGCACTAATTAAATGTAACGATTATATCTGAGTTGGGGCTGTGAGAAAGCTATGTGCACACAATTGAATCATTGTCTATGGTTTTTACATTCGGGCCCGATATATGAAGGCAAGATATGCAGAGTGTGGGAAAAAGCGGAATTGCTCGTGTTTTCCAACATGTCATCTCTGGTCGTGGGAACCAATAATTTTACTCTGTTGCTGTGATAAGATTGGTTCGTAATACGTATAATTAAAAAATATGAGGCTAACTTTATTAGCTTAGTGACTTCGGCGCTAAATGAGTTTTCTTACATTTTAAAAAAATCTTTAGGAGTGAAAATATATAGGTATCGTATAATCTATTGATTTGAACTCCAATTTATAAGTTTTTTTTAAATCAGGATAAAACAACGAACCCAAATAAATCACGACATGAGGTATTATAAATCTTTTTCTTGCGGAAAAAGAAAACGTTAGTTTCATAAGAAATCTTAATCTTCAAATAAGGTTTATTGGTATAAAAAGTATTTGTTGTAGAGACAAATAAAAGCGAAGATCCATACTATAATGCATTCGTTTGCAATGGTTCCCACATTACCTAATCATAGAAAAATAAGGTTTGTTTTTTTATCAATTCATGAAATCATTTTGAATTAAATGTAAACAAATCTTCATGACTCTACTTCCTTCTAGTTTTCATATTAAATAAAGTTTTTACGATGGCTGAAATATTTTATAGAAAACCTATTTCCCCTTTCTCAATGGTCATCTCACCTTCAACAGTTCGGTACCGAGATTCTCAAACTTTTATATTTATAGTATATATTTCAAATTACCACTCTCATTATTTCTTAGTTTTGAAATTTGATACGCGTAAATAATGAGTTCAAAGATGAAGCCGCTGTCCCTTCCCTTCCAGATTTTGATATTATATTCACATGGCCATAATTTTATATAAAATATGGTTATCAAAACAATCTCCGCGTGTCATTTTCCTCAAAAAATATGAATAGTTCAGAACAACATGAGTTGAATCATTAAACATTTGGTTTATTGTGGCATAGGTCTTAAAAGTCATCATGTTTTAACTTATAATATGTAGTGCATTTTTACTGCGTAAAAAAGTATGTCCTCAATCAGACATACTTTTTTTACGCAGTAAAAGTTTATGGACTCTTTATTAAGAGTTGAAACTTCTCAGCATTCCATGG